CAGCTTCTATGTTCTCCCCCGTTCTAAGTGGGTTTCCTCGGGGTCTTCCAGTTTCCTCCCATAACAAATATACATGTCTCGCTAGTATTGGCCAAACATCCCAAAGCTGAAAAATTACCTGCAGATTTTCAATTGGGATCACAGCAGCAGTAGCAGCAGCAGCAACATCAGCCCCCACCCCACCCGACTGTAAAACTCTTGGCAGGACCCTCCTGAGAAAGTGTTTTGAGACTCAGCAGTGATGATTCGGTGGGAGCGAGCATCCTAAAAAACGACCACAATTGACTTCCCAACATAAAATTTGTACTCATTTATCGACCGCAGAGGGATGATGGGTCAAGCCAACCCACTCCAACCGGGACTGGAACTCAAACTTCCCAGTGCGAACCGCCTTGCTCAAGTGGCCGGGTTCTGTGAAACCAACAACGTCCACAAACCCCAGCCACACATCTTCCTCCTGCGGATTTTATTAACACAAGTCGCATAAGCAGACAAGGCAGGCTTAAAGCGACTCTTTTTTTAAAATAAGTGTTTTCATTGTTGGCGAGTTAGGGGTCGGTGGTGGAGCGGCGTTAGTGGTAGAGCGGCAGAGAGAGGTGGAGACCGATTGGGCAAGACAGCGGTTGTCTGTGTGTGGCTGTAGCTGGGCAGATTGTGGGGGATGGTGAGTGGCTGTGTGTGGATGCATGCTGAAGTGTAGTGGTCAGCACGTTGCATTACAAACCCTGCAACCCGAGTTCGATTCGCGCTCACGGACACCAACACCATCAGTGACGATTATCTGAACCAGTCCAGGGCTTCCCCTAGGTCGACTCAGCCACAACTGACTACCTGGTTACAGTGTGTAAACATCGCTACTGGGGAGACAAAGGTGGTCGGGTATGGTGCTGGCCACCCCCTTGTGTACCGTGCCAGCCTTTATAGGTGCTACTCATTAATAGCACTTGCCCCAACAGTATGTTAAGGCTATACAAGGGATCTTTGTCTTTGTGGGTGCAGCCACTCACAAACAGTGCTGGGCGCCCTGCCGTGCTGCTATCGCCAACCCTGGCCAGATCCACAAAAGTTCGAGGAAACGTGGCCGAGGTCTCTAGGTTTTTTTCAGTAAAAATTCGTGGAAATATTGCAGCGTATTGCAGTCCATGGGAGAGGTGGACTTTACAGCGCGACTCCCAGCGCAAACGAGTCAACCGAGCCAAGCAGGAGTTGAACTCGCAACCTTCCGCTCGTGAGTAGCACGCTCGACCGCAAGGCCACCCTGACATTCGTCTGAACGTATTACTTTCATCCATGGTCAATACACTGCTGGATGAAGGTCCCCCCAAGCCTCACAATCCTGTGATGCATCAATACATCCGATATCACGATACAGTACAGGGTGATTTGGCCAAACCTGTGGAAAATTACTGCTTATTACTGCTCTTCACTCTTAGATAATAATTCACGGGTTGGGTTTAAACTCAATAAAATGTTTCCTGTAAATAATAAAAGTCTTCACTGTAATCTTGCGTTGGTTAAATGCCTCGGCCACTCCAAGCGCCTTGCACCTCATCTCAAATATTCAAAGGGCACCCCCAGTGGCAGCTGTCCCTGTGTGGCACAATGTAACTCGGCACTGTCCGCAAGCCGGCATTTAGTCTTGTTTTACACAATTGCTGAGCTCAGGCATAAAGACCCAAAACATCAAGCGGCCAGCAACAAACATCACCATCAAAGTTGTAACAGATAAGACTTAACACGACTCTTGAATTGAGAAAGGTTATGAGAGCCTAGGAAAAATACGGTGGGAGGACTAACGAAGTAGAGTAGCGTGAGGGGAGAAGCAGAGAGAAGTGACCAACAGTGTGGTGGTAGCTAAACAGTGTGGTGGATGTCCTAATTAAAAAGAGACCTGATGGTTCAATGAGCCACTCTGTCTACAGGAAAGCTACCCATACGGATGCTTATCTGAAACCGGATTCCCACCACCATCCATCACAGAAGAATTCTCTCATCAAGACTCTGTATCATAGAGCCCAATGCATATCCGACCAGGAACACATAAGCAGTGAACTCAAGCACGTACACCAAGCTCTTAGGGCTAATGGTTACTCCGACTATACAATCCGCAAAGCTATCACTCAAACCATGAAGAAGAACCCTCTTGAGGAGCCTTTCAAAACCATCACTTTACCCTACATTGCTGGGATCACAAAAAAGATCTCCAAAATCTTGAATAAACACAAGATCCAGGTCCGTTTCAACACATTACATAAAATCCGTGATCTGGTTCCGTCTGTAAAAGATGTGATTCCGGACATACAATACCCTGGTGTCTACAAACTAAGTTGCCTCTGTGGTAGTAGTTACATTGGAGAAACCAAACGCCATATCTCGGACCGCATTCGTGAACATAAAGCAGACCTTAAACACGGTAGGACCAACACCTCGGCCGTAGCAGATCATTGTTCTAATTCAGTAGGCTCACATGCCATTGACTTTTCCAAGACGGAGGTTCTTTGTAAGCCATCTGGCTTCCATGAGAGATTCGTTCATGAGGCTATCCACATATACAAACACAGAGACAATTTCAACCGAGAAGATGGATTCTATCTTAGCAATCATTGGAAAGATTTGATAAATCATTTCAGTTCTTGATTGATTGTTCACGCTTACAGTGCCTTTCAGACAGCATACATAAAAACAAATTTCGTCTCCCCCCTCCTCTTTTCAAAAAATAGATGGACTAGTCCTGGCAAACTGCCATCGTTGCGCGTGACGCAAACGTTATTTTTTTATATATATAAATAAATATGCCGTTTTCAAAATAAATTTATGCAAACCGACACACCTGATGATGACCGTTTGAGTTATGGTCGAAACGTCGTGAGAATTTTTTTTTTTTTTTTTGTTTTATATATATTTTGTTATTTTGTTGTTTCTCTTCAACGTGACTTTACCGAAAAAACTAAGAATATGAATTACTGCAGTCACGAAAGCTTTAAATCAAAATTTAGTGTGGTGGTGGTTGAAGAGTGTGGTGGATGAGATAACAGTGTATGGTCGAGACTGAGGCCTCAACACAGGTGGAGGATAAATTAACGAGTGAAGTTCACGGGAACAGCAACCACGGTAGTAGTAGCGACAGAAGAGTGATAAGGAGGCGACTGACTGCTGGTGAGTGAGTAAGCGAATGAGTGGCTGGAGTGACTCAGGGAGTACTGGATCACCAATCACCGCTGTACGTTGAATTCTGCCAAATGTCGACATTGACGCACTCTCATACATTTTGTTTAAACGTCTTTCCCGTAAACAAAGCGGACTGCCCAGGAGACCCAGCGAGGTGCAGGTTGCATCCACAGGTTCAGAGGTTGTTTGTTTCGCTCTGGTTTCGTTTCACTTATTAAAACCCGCAGCTCATGACATCATCGAGCCTGGCGACACTCGCTCGAGCACGCCTCGACACCCACACGAAAGGGCACCAGTAGGGGAAGGAGGGGGGGATTTCCCAAGAACCACACCAACTTCAAATAATCACAGGCGTCGCTGTGCAAAATATAACAAAATCAATAATCACCACAATCCACCTCCTTCACTCTCCGCTCTCTCCATATCCCTCACCACCCACCCCACGTGTAAATAATGCAAGTATTTTTACATATCCCATCAGCCACACAAGGCTAACTGCTGATATTTTATCAGCAGTTAGCCTTGGTTGGTTGAAGCAAGTTTGGCAGATGAGTCACCGAATGTCAAAACAGGTCGAGAGTTCGATTGTATTAAACCACTCGGTGGTAGAGCGAGCGGCTCGCAATCGAAAGTTGTGAGTTCAAATCCTGGTTGTGGGATGGCTCAGCCTATCATTCCTCTGGGGTAGATACAAGTACAACTTTGTGTGCGGGGAAGTCAACAGTAGTTGTACTATGGAGAGACTCGCACCGTGGAATCTCTGTCACCGGCAGTATGTATGTATGTGCTAATCGTAGGTGCGGGGGAAGGACAACAAACTAGATATAAAAAGCAGTTCAATAAAACCTTCTTTGGTTCTTTCGGTAAAGTCACGTAGAATGAGAATAAAATAATAAATTGATAAAATAACACAATAATATTCTCACGACGTTTCTGCCACAACACAAGCGGCCTTCATCATTGTTGTGGCCGAAACGTCGTGAGAATATTATTGTGTTATTTTATTTTATCAATTTATTATTTTATTCTCATTCTACGTGACTTTACCGAAAGAACCAAAGAAGATGAATCATTGCAGTCACGAAAGCTTTAAATCGAAAACTTTTATTGAACTGGTTTTCAATTTCGATTTAAAAGTGAATAGTTTCAGTGGCTTCCTAATATCGGAAGTGTTCCAGACAGCCTAAAAAGCACATTTGAAAGCCGCTGCTGCGAGGATGACCGGCGTTTGCGTAATGGTTTATGCTCCTTAACGAGATAAGCAAGGTATTGTGGATCATTTGTGTGTAACGAGTACGATCTTATAATGTATTCGTTCGGCAACCGGAAGCCAATGCAACTCGGCGAGCACCTAACAGACTTGGTCGGATCTTGCAGTACCCGTCACGACACGTGACAAAGAGTTGTATATCTCCTGCAGATTCGCAATTTTTTTGCCAGACGTCCCGAAGTAGTAGTGAATTGCAATAATCGAGCCATATAATGCTACATGCCACCGTGTTGGCTACGGCACGACTCAATAGTGGCCCAATGTATCGTAGAGCCCTGAGATTAAAATTTAAGGACCCAACTATATTTTGCATGCGGTAATTAAACATTCTGGTAGAGCATGGTCCCGAGGCTCTTCAGATGAAAGTAGAAAACCGAGCCCTGGAGTCTGCGACCGCCACACCAATCCTTCCGCAAATCTTTTTGCCTGAACCCGAGTTGCCAACCACCAGAACCTCCGATTTTCCTGGATTAAGCGCAATTTCGAGTTCGTGAAAGCCACACGTGCGCCACTCGCGTGCGAACGCCGGGCCGGCGTGCGTCTCGGCACGTGGGGGCCTCACCTGGTCTCATCCTGGAGCAGCAGGTGAGGCTCCACGAGGAACTTGACTCGGAGGCGCAGCCGGTGCGGAGCGGCGCCGCTCAGCTGCGGGCCGAGGCGGTTGCGCAGGTTGATCCACAACGTCTCGCCCTTGGTGCCCTCGTACTGGAGGCCGAAGTAGTCGCGCTCGATGATGCGCAGGTGCCTGCACACCTGGCGACGGTGGAGGGGGGGGGTGATCGGGACACCCGCGTGAGTACCCGTGGCCACGCACAGCCACTCACCACTCACGTAGCACCCAGCTTTGATCGTTTAAGAGTTTATTTTGTGTAACCAGGCGAGATAAGCGTTGTGACCCCGCAGTGTGGCGAGTGGGAGAATGAGTTGCTGGTGCCTGGGTCTGCTCCGTGACCGCCTGCCAGCGGCCCTTCGACACTTCACGTAGCCTCAAAGTGCACCTAGCATGGCACAGGTGCCTTGGTGACGTCACCACCACTTAGTGGCGAACAGCGGTTGTTGTTGTTGGGTGGATGAGTTGTTGTGACCTGCGGTGGATGAGACGACAGTGTCTGGTATCGACAGTACCCTCAATACGAGGGGAGGAATGAACGAGTGAAGTTCACGTGAATAGTAACCATGCTAGTAGCAATAGAGGAGTGATAGGGAGGTGACGGACCACCAGTAAAGTAACGGCTGGAGTTAATGGGCGACAGTGGTGGTTCATAGGAACGTGGGAATTCCACATTCCTATGGACGGGGCGAGGTAATCCATAGAACAACCACTGCTGGACTGCCACAAGGTGGTACGCATTTACATTAATCTCGGAGAATATCACGGTTGGCTTCATAAGGTGTGAAAATAGTTAAACGTACATGACGTGGTCGACCCTTAACCTAGATTTAAACTACTGTATAAGCCTTCAACGTTATACCTGTGCCATGGTAGCGTTCGAAATCCAACATTCCCATTCCGGGGACAAGTAGCACCATAATGAAGACGCATGAGCAGCATCGCCAATAACACACCTCCCGTGTCTCTGAGTATTGTCTAGAATTATTGTCTATTAGCTGGCTTAGCGCACGCAAGGGACGGCGTGACTGTACCAATACCTGTAGTTACCTCGGCCACCTTACACACTTAGAAATATGCGCAACCGGTGATAAGCACTGCATTTCAATGCACACTGTCGTTCCACTGCTAGATGAAGGCCTCCACACGCCGCGTCAATCTTCGGGATGGCTATGCGACCATAGTTTTACCCGCACCTCCGATTAGCACGGTTGGCTACGTACGGTGTGAACGAAGTTCAACGTACGTACTGTACATACATCGCGCCGGTAGTGTGCGCGAGCGGATACGTGAGGAGCGAGTGGTCCGGTTTAGTTCTCTGCTCAGTTATCAGTCGCCACTGACGGTGGCCGTGGTCTGGAACTGAGCACGAGTCGTCGTTGCTGTAGAGATAACCAAGCGGCTAGTCGATTAGACGCCACCATCTGCATCAATCAGACACCCATGGCCAGTCGAGTTACACTGTTACACTGTTTGTATCTACGCAGCCCTGTGCTGTACTTATGTACTGTACTCGTACAGGGAGCGCATCTTCCGAGACGTCTGGTCAGTGTGGAATAGTAGCCCAAATACACTCGCCGCCCCACCCCCTCTAGCAGAGACCCTTTCGTCAGCAATGGCGCGAGGAAGACATTGCAGGGCTGCGCCTTTACCTCTGCGTCCTTACTTAAGTGTGCTATAGGCGTGGAGATGGAGCGACAGGATGAGATGTTGAGACTCGCTTGCACACCGCCATCTAGCAGTGGATAACAACACCACGGCTGCTGATGATGTTTACCTCATTCACGCAATCTTCCCCCTTCGCCTTCGCGTCCAGCTCCACCTCCATCACCACCGAGTCCGGCCGGCTGACGAGACACAGGATGGTCATGGCTGAAGAGGCCCCGGCCTTCACTTCGACAGGAAGCCGTCTCTCCCCGGGCTAATTGCCGCTAATGAATCGCTCGGCGCCTTTAAGCGCTGAGGACGTTGCGTAATTACGAAAGAGAAACTCTCGCCGAACGAAATGCGGCCCCGCACGCCAGGGGTCCCGTTTATAAAGCTGGCGCAAGTCACGCCTCCTAAGCCGCTCTCGACCAATCGCACGCCAAGACGGGGGGGAGGGGCGAGACTCAAGGCAGGTGGGCGGGGATGCGGAGATCTTGCACCACATGAGCTCCAGGTGATAGGGTTCGTAAACATCGCCACTGGGGAGACAAAGGCGGTCGGGCGTGGTGTTGGCCACCCACCCCCTCGTGTGCCGTGCCGGCCTTCATATGTGCTCGCAAACAGCACTTACCTTCACAGTCTGTTCAGGCTATACGGGGGATCTTTGTCTTCGGAATGAACCTCCGTAAATCTGGGACTGCCCAAATCATCTCGGAAGTTCCCCGGGTCCCTGCTCGTCCAATCCTCGTCTTCTACTTGTTGTCGTATGGCTGCTGATGTCGATGCAGAGCAACAAACTACGATTTCACACTCCCGTGGTCAAGCCGAGACAACCGCGTCAGCGTTAGCAGCAGCAGCGTACCCCTGTTTCCTTCGAATGTTTGTGGATATGGACATTGCGTCGTTGTTATGTTGCACTTTACGGTCTGTGCATACAAAACAAAAGGTAAAGGCGCAGTCCTGCAATTGCTCGCTCACGACACTGCTTGCGGAAGGGCCCTCCACTGGAGGTCGCTCTCTCGAGGGTTTTTTTGGGCCAACTCTTCCACGATTTTCAGACAGCTTGGAAAAGTCGGTAGGAGAGTCCTCACACTTAACCCCACGCCACCTTGCCACAGTTACTAACTGTAGCGGTAAAGCCGATTACTCTTCTGGTTGGTCAGCAGTGGAATAAAGTGCAATCTGACAGAGCATAGACCCAAAGACAAAGATCCCCCGTGTAGCCTTAAACTTTTGGGGTAAGTGCTGTTAGCGACCACCAGAACGGCACACGAGGGGGTGGGTGGCCAGCACCACGCCCGGCCGTTTTTGTCTCCCTAGTGGGGATGTTTACACACCGCACCAAGTACTCATTTTAGGCTGAGTCGACCTAGAAGAGGCCCATGACCGGTTCAGAGAATCGTCACTGGTGTTGGCCGTGAGCGGTAATCGAACTCGGGTTGCCGGGTTCGTAACGCGGCGCGCTAACCGCTCCACACACGCGCGCTGATATTTACTTTAAACGCGTTCCCGTATCTGCACGCACCGCCAAAAACAACTCGATAAACGTGCTTGACAGAATAAATAGGCAGACATCATGTCTTCCTTCCCAAATTCGTCCTTCCGCATTTTCTTACACATTCTATCAGCCACGCGGCCCTCTGAGAGTGCACGTCAGCCGCATTGGTTCAAGCAAGCCTCACTGAGAGTCTCCTGATGGGACCATAAAAGTCAAAACCGGTCAGTGTCCCTTGTGTTGAACCAATGTTGTTACTACGATTATGCACTCCCAGATGGAAGGCCGTCTGGCTGAGTGTTAAGAAAATACTTTATTTTGTAATGTTGGGGGACAGATTTGGGAAGATGAGGTTGTGGGATGCTATTGGCAGGAATTACGCTCTTTAAAATGAAATAATTTTTGTCTGCAATTGTCTGCTTAAGCCTCCGCGCTGTTATTATTATAGACTGCTTCTTTGTGTCGTCCAAGCATCCCACTGTAGCATGACCCTCGTGAACAGCAGCAGCCTCCAGACTTCACAACCAACGTGGTCTAACTTTGAACTGCAGTTACCCCTCTGGTATTGAGCCCGGGGTAAAGTCCTCCACCCCTCGGAATGTCGCGCGGCTCCACTGCGCCTCGTCGACGTTGTTGTTGCGGGCACAGCTGTGAAGAAGCCGTCAGACCCCGAAGGCGGCCGACTCCCGTGGTGTGTCGTTTGTTTTTAACTAGCCGGTGGCGCTGCAGAGTTGCCACGGAGTGCACGAACACAAATACCACAACTAAATCCCGTCAACAACACTGTGGCCTTAAGAGTAAAAAATATATACCTCGGCAACGTTTCAGACAATGGCCCTTCTTCATAGTGCAGTAAAAGAAGATAGGCCCGAGAGGCAGAATGGGCAGTAAAAGCTGGATACTGCACTTACAACCGTGCGGCCTGATAAGAATTACATGTTAAACGTTTTCTGATGACATCTTTTTTTAAACAGGTAAACGAAAAGTGACATTATTCGTAGATATCGAGTAACAGATAAACCCCTTCGACAATCACATCGTCACCACTAAATAAACGCATCTCTACTGTACATAAAGTAAAATGACAATGCTGCTGAAACAAGAGAAGGCATTGTTGCCACCCCCTTGGCAGCACATTCCCCGTGCCCCGTCACCATCTCAATAAGAGCAGCCCCAGGGGTCCAACAGCCCGTACGGCCCGACTACAATCCCGAGGCAGAGGAGGCTTAGAAATGCAACGTGAGATCCTGATATGAAACTGACATTTTAATACAATGGAAGTGAATAGGGATCGGGTTTGTCTAGAACTCGAGAAGACAGTTGGGTTTCAAGTGACGGCGATGGACACCAGACACCGGAATTCTTTGTTTTACCACGTAAACATAACACGTTCCTTCGGAGTGGGGAGGTAGGAACTTGGTTGGACCGCGCACTCGTGCGATCCGTGTTGGAAATTAGTGCCGAAACTCCAATTACGCAGTCCCCCCACACACAGGATAAAGACAAAGATCCCCCGTGTAGCCTGTAGGGGGCAAGTGCTGTTAGCGAGCACCTATGAAGGCCGGCACGGCACACGAGGGGGTGGGTGACAGCAGCACGCCCGGCCGCCTTTGTCTCCCCGATGTTCACACACCACAGCAGTTACTCGTTTGATGCTGAGTCGACCTCGGGGAAGCCCAAAAGCGGTTGAAATAATCGTCACCGGTGGTGTCCGTGAGTGGGAATCGAACTCGGGTCGCCGGGTTCGTAGCGCGGCGCGTTAACCGCTACACTACAATGCGTTACGCTTCCACATGCGCGGGTCACGTGACAGATTTTATATTCATTATTGAGCTCCCCCCCCCCAAAAAAGAAGATCAAAAGTGTAATTTTATAATTATTGCATGGTGTACAGTCTGGAAAGTACCCACATGGCAAATTTCCAGTTTGTTGCATGTTGGAAAGTACGCTAAAGATTTTGAACAGACACACATTCACAACTTTGCCTTTTATATATATGGAGATTAGTAATCAGTTAATGAGTATGTGATTCCTCTATAAGAACATGCAACATGTATTGTTCATAAAGCCTACGTGTTAAAACGAACATGTATTGTGTATTACTTAATACGCTTCCAGGCTGCGCTTAGTCTGTAGCTATCAGAGCGATTAAAATTATTGATATTTCTCTCAATTTCGATGGATTCTCGAATTAGTCTTGGCTAGTAATAATTAGTTTTGAATAGACAAATTATCCCTGGTGGGAAGTGTGGAACCTGTTGTTCCTACCTGTATAAATGTGTTGTTAAACCCGCCACCACCCAACAGCCAACTAGTAAGGGTTGTCACATAAACAGAACATGCCAATTCGTCACTAGTACAGCACTCCGGTGTGTTGGAGAGCAAAGCCGCAACATTTGAACCCTATCAGGTTTCGAGATCAGAGGCGGAGGTGGGGGTATTGTAATTATATGATAGACTAGCTGTACTACCCGGCTTCGCCCGGGACTTGGATCCACCACGCCTGGCCGCCTTTGTCTCCCCACAGCAGTTAGTCGTTTGAGGCTGAGTCGACCTAATAATTGTAATCGCTATCAGAGCGGTTAAAATTATTGGTATTTCTCTCAATTTCGATGGATTCTCGAAATAGTCTTGGCCAGTAATAATTAGTTTTGAATAACACTTCAACGTTATCAAAATCAATTGAGTGTCCTTGTTGGCAGGCATGTTCTGCCACTGCCGACAGTTGTGTTTGAGAGAATTTAATGTTCCATTAGTGTTCTTTTAGTCTTATGCTAATGCTACGTCCCATCTATCCAATATAGCATTTACCGCATAAGCAATTGCTCCGATATACACCTTCTGTTGATAACTTAGGTAATTCATCTTTAGTACAAGACACTAGTTTATTTATTTTGTGTACCGTACCAAATTTTACTTTAATGTTTTGCAAAACATTGTATAATTACAATACCCCCCCACCTCCGCCTCTGATCTCAAAACCTGATGGGGTTCAATGATGACGTCGTCCTACACTATTTAAGACCGGAAGCAGGTGGATGGCTTCACTATTCTGGCAAATCGCCCGAAGATGCTGGATGTAATTTTCAGCGAAACGTCGTACTCAAATTCTAAATATTGTGGAGAAGTAACTAATTGGTGTTTTGTTAACGTGACAATTTTTTTTACTGATTGGCTGTGTCGGGTGGTGGATGGTTGCGACACATTTATACTTATGCGATCTAACCCAAAAGCCTTTATTATGAATAATATTGGTCGCGAAAGCCTACGTGTTAAATTGGACAATTGTTGAAATTATTCGGCCCACTCCACCAAGCAGTACACACGTTTACACCACGCGACCTGCCGATCAGTTGATCGGCAGGTTGCGTGCGGTTGGGTCAAGTGTGGGTACTCCCACCTCTTTTAAAGACGTTTGGCTTGCGTGGAAAGCTGGGCCAAAACTCCCTCTCATCGAGGCCTTTCCGCCAGCACAATTTAGCATGACCTTGCTCTATTCGAGACACGTTTTGAACACAATGTTGAGTACAACTTTGATCGTGCTGTTTATAGCTGGCCACTTTACATTTGGGTCATTGCTCAGCAAACTGCTAATAAGAAAAATACAACCAGAGTCCCACAAAGACCTTACTTCGCCCATCCTCCTCGTCATCCTCAGCCATGATCTATCCATTGCTGGATGAAGGACTGCCGACACTGTCACTCTTCCTCACGGTCTTGCGATGCCACGATCCATGTCGTTCCTGAACATGAGCTAATCTCTTCACTCCATTTCTGTGGTGGTCAGACTCAAGGCTGCGTTTCTTCTTTGGCTGCCATTCTGTCACCGTCCATCGGCCATCATCTTTCCTGTCGCACACCCAACATATTTCGGGCTCAGGCGGAGTATACTTAAGTGTGCAAGGGAATAATTTGCAGCTAAAGTAACCGCGGTTCCTGTCGATTCATTAAACTACTGTGCGTGTGAGCACTGCTTGCCATTTCAATGTCACGAGATGTCCGCATATTGTGCTGTGGATATAAAAACCTGTTAGTTTAACACGTAGGCTTTCGCGACCAATATTATTCATAATAAAGGTTTTTGGGTTAGATCGCGTTTATTTATAAATGTGTCGTAACCCTCCACCACCCGACACGGCCAATCAGCAAAAAAAGTGTCACGTTGACAAAAGACAAATAATTCACTACTTCAGCCCACCGGTGTGTTGAAGAGTGAATCCACATTTACAGTTTGAGTACGACGTTTCGCTGGTAAATACATCCAGCATCATCAAGCAATTCGCCAGAATGGTAAAGCCCTCGCTTGCTCCCGGTTTTTATATAGAGCAGCAGGGTGACGTCATCACTTAACTCATATCAGGTGCATTGATTAGAGGCGGAGGGGGGGTATTGTAATTATATAATCGATTAGTAATCAGTCATTGGTTATGATTAGTAATGAGTTGTAGATTAGTAATTCTTTAAATGTAATGTGTATTATTTAATAATACGCTTCCAGGCCGCACTAAGCCGGTAGCTGTCAGAGCGATTAAAGTTATTCTTGTTCCTCTCAATTTCAATGGATTCTCTAATTAGTCTTTGCCAGTAATAATTCGTTTTACACACCACTGCAACATTGTCAAAATCAATTGAGTGTCCTTGTTGACAAGCATGTTCTGCCACTGCCGACAGTTGTGTTTGAGATAATTTAATATTTCTCTGATGTTCTTTTAGTCTTACGCTGATGTTACGTCCCATCTGCCCAATGTAGCAGCTGCCACATGAACAATTAATCCGATATACACCTTCTGTTGATAGTTCAGGTAATGCATCTTTAGTGCAAGATACTAGTTTTTGAATTTTGTGTACAGTACACAAAATTTGTGTACACAAATTTGTGTACACAAAATTTGTGTACAGTACACAAAATTCAAAAACTAGTATCTTGCACTAAAGATGCATTACCTGAACTATCAACAGAAGGTGTATATCGGATTAATTGTTCATGTGGCAGCTGCTACATTGGGCAGATGGGACGTAACATCAGCGTAAGACTAAAAGAACATCAGAGAAATATTAAATTATCTCAAACACAACTGTCGGCAGTGGCAGAACATGCTTGTCAACAAGGACACTCAATTGATTTTGACAATGTTGCAGTGGTGTGTAAAACGAATTATTACTGGCAAAGACTAATTAGAGAATCCATTGAAATTGAGAGGAACAAGAATAACTTTAATCGCTCTGACAGCTACCGGCTTAGTGCGGCCTGGAAGCGTATTATTAAATAATACACATTACATTTAAAGAATTACTAATCTACAACTCATTACTAATCATAACCAATGACTGATTACTAATCGATTATATAATTACAATACCCCCCCTCCGCCTCTAATCAATGCACCTGATATGAGTTAAGTGATGAGGTCACCCTGCTGCTCTATATAAAAACCGGGAGCAAGCGAGGGCTTTACCATTCTGGCGAATTGCTTGATAATGCTGGATGTATTTACCAGCGAAACGTCGTACTCAAACTGTAAATGTGGATTAACTCTTCAACACACCGGTGGGCTGAAGTAGTGAATTATTTGTCTTTTGTCAACGTGACACTTTTTTTTGCTGATTGGCCGTGTCGGGTGGTGGAGGGTTACGACACATTTATAAATAAACGCGATCTAACCCAAAAACCTTTATTATGAATAAAATCCTGTTAGTGCACCACACTTTGCATTATTAGAGCGCCGAGCCTGGGTTGATGGTCTCAGCCTGGTCACCAATGATTGCTAAAAAAAATCTATCAGACTAACTTTGCTTCTGTGATTAATTTGACTAAACTCCAGCTCTCAGAATTAAATATCGGTTTGACTGTCATGTAACGAACTTCACTCTCATGTGCAGAGCGAGCTGTAAAGCTCTACCGTCTTCTGTGTGGGGACCAGAGGTGTCACTTGAACAATGGTTCTCAGAAGTAGCTCTGTGATACTCTTCCGTGGGCTATATTATCCAAAACAAAGGGTTGCACTCCTCTGTGAGATGTTTCATAGGATTCTTCGTCTTTTCATACGACGCCAAAAGCACAATCGCGATCACGTTGGGGAAATTAGCAAAGTTAGAGTCCTGAGAATACCATTAAAAGGGAAATACTCGGCTGTTTCTGACTGATAATTTGCAATTGTGGCTGATGAGCGTGAACTTGAAAGCATCAAAAAGATATCATGCCCAGTGAAGCAGGCCTCATCTCATGTTTACAACCTTAAGTGGTGGAAATTACACGTTCCTATGCCAGGGACAAGTCCATCTATAAGAAAAACTGCTATTCATTTTCCCACAATACCATGAGTAGAACTCATTTTATCGAACCAGGAGGCAGGGATGATAGGCCGAGTCAACCTACCAACCACGATATGAACTCGTAACCTTGTGATTGCGAGCTGCTCGCTCTACCGCTGAGCCACCCAGCCGCTTCAAGCAAAGCTCACCTGCGATGCACTGCACTCTCGGGGGTATTGGGATAAAAGTGAAATGGTCATTGTAGAGCCACTTGGGGCTTCTTACAATCCTGGCTCACATACACGAGGGGAGCCCGCTTGGATGGCTGCAGCGATCAAGACATTTATTGTACACACGTGCCAACCGCTCAAAATCACATGCGCCACTTTCGTCCATGGGTGCAGACCAAAAAATCACTCGACAGCACTTAAGGTGGACACATTCAGATGTCTTGTATAAAATATAAACAAAACACACAGATGTGAATACAAAAAATAACCTTTTCATATGGAAACACAAGTCGTTCTGGAGAATATCAGTAACAAACGAGATTACCTCAATAGTGTCTGCTTATTATTCCGTTACTTAAATTCTTCACAATTATGCTAAAGATTATTACGTGTGAGGTATTTTAGAGTTTTGCATCAAACTAGGACCCATATGTAAGAGAGAGGATCCTTGCCTATAAACATTTGGCATTTCACCAGCATTGGTTCACCAGCATTGCCTGACTGCTGATAAGACAATGAATGTCAAAACCGGTCCAGATTTTTGCTCGTGTTAAACCAATGCTGCTGAAATTATGACTTCCCAGAAGGCTGTGCGGCTGATGGAATCCAGTATTTAAAAAGTACTTGGATTTGGATGTCGAGAGAAAGATCTGGGAAGGAGGCGTATTGTCTTCTTGTTATTTTTGCTTGTCATATGAAAAGGTTATCACAGCAGCATTCACTTCTATTTCTCATGAAGAGATCATTATGATTAAGGCGTCACCATGTTCGGCTCTGACCCACAGCCCATCTACCCTGCCGGCGACTGCACCACATTCCAGACTACGATACAGGATATGTGTTTGGAAATGACTGGGCTACAAGGGATGGTGAGCAGCGAGGGCTCCCCCATACAGGCACGTCTATAAACTTCCCGAGCAAGGGCCCCCTGCATTAATAACAAAAAATAATTCTCACGTGGGCGGGAGAGTGGTGGTGAAACTTGCACCCTACAGCCACAGGGACCCGAGTTCTGATTATAACTGGCGTGCCTTGCTGTGTGGCATTTGTATGTTTTCTCCCGACATTCTGCGGGAGTTTCCTCTGGATTTTCCGGTTTTCCTCCTGAAGCTAAAGCTACACAATGTGACTGGTAATGGCCAAATATCCCAGTGCTAAAAAAAACATACCTGCAAAGTACTCAATGGGTTTTACACACACAAAGCAACATCTCCTTCTTCTGTAAAATCTTGACAAGACAGTCCTCAGAACGGTCTTGAACCTCAGTAAGCCTTTCCTGGTAAACAAACGTAACAATAATATTCAAATCTCAATGTTTCGAGTCTCAAGGGGGGTGGGGTGGAGGGTGATCATCCCCCACGAGGCCCACGAGGGTTCGAGCGCTCAGGTCGGGGCAGACACCAGGCCAGCGGGGCCCCTCCCCAGAGTCTGCCCGGCCACCGACGTCTCCAGCGGCTTGAAGCCCAGCTCCTCCCGCGGGATGCCAAAGGCCTCCAGCTTGGACTCGTAGGTGCGCAAGAGGTCGTTGTGGGCCTGAGGGCATTTAAATGGACTGTGAGACGTTGTTTACATTTACTTGAGGCATCCATTGTCTGCTAAGTTTCACGATTAAATAGGCACCCCCCCCCCCTTCCTTAACAACATAATCGTTAGCGTCATTGTTGGGATGATAAGCAATTAACAATGCTTTGGGACAGATGTGAGGAGGCATATTGTCAGCTTATTTATTTTGTACCTCAACATCTATCAATCTCCTCCAGCAATAACTTTGCTCATACAGCATAATAGAAGTGAACTAAGTCACATTTCTAAATCACTAATATCCTTAAACGTAAAAAAAATAGTAACAGTGTCTCTACAGATCACTGGAATATAATCGACACAATTACACAGCAATCAGCTGATAGTGTATTTAACAAAACTAACACTACCAAAGTTAACAAATTTGCTAGACTGACTAACAAACAACTATCAACTAAAAATTAACATATTATAAACAAAACGGTTATCAACATGACACGTTGAATTTTCCAGCGATATGGTTTCAGTCCTGTCTCAAGGTCTTAACTTTGCTGTTGCCCCACGAACAATCCCTGTCGATGAGATCATTGCTGGAATCAGCAGTTAGACATCTCCCCCATAATCAAGCTGAGATGACTAGGCAGGAAGTTGCCAAAATTATTGAGAACAGCAAATTTTCAAAAACAAATATTAACTTCAGTGAAGCAAAAGCCTTAAGAGAATTGAGAGCAAATAAATATATGCAAATTCTTGCTGCTGATAAGGGTCAAACAACTGTTGTGATGCCCGGTGAGGACTATGATAATTAATAAAACAAAGATTTTAAAAAACGTGACCCAACCAGCACCTTGGAACACAAAACAATCGCAATCATTGCTAAGTCATTAATTCCCAAGGAAGAGCAATACCTGATCAAACCAAGGGCATTAAAACAACCAATACTTTATGGGCTACCAAAAATTCACAAACCTGATGTCCCATTAAGACCCATAGTTAGTACAATAGGCTCTGCCACGTACAAATTGGCACAAAACGTAACGAAACAAATACAGCCCAACATCGGTAGGACCTCTTCGTCATCAAATATATTAAGCTTAACCTAATGATAGTGGTAAATTTTTATGTAACTTCTCTGTTCACGAGGATTCCGGTCAAACAGTCAATTAAATTACTCGACACTCTGGTAACGAACAAAGGCTTAGCCAAAGATATCCAAAGACTAGCTGAACACTGTCTAAAGAACAATAGGAAGGAGAAGCAATGGGCTGTCCTTTGTCTCCTGTGATAGCGAAGTTGTACATGGAAGATTTTGAAACAAAATCTATAGCTTCAAGCACACTAAAACCCTCTGCTTGGTTTAGATATGTGGATGACACATTGGTGGTCTGGCCACACGGCAAAGATACACTGAACGCATTTCAAAATCATCCCAACTCGCAAAACCCATCCATCCAGTTCAGCATGGAAGTGGAAGCTGACAGAACTCTACCATTTCTAGATATTCTGCTCGGACGGGGTCTAAATAGTAAAATAACACAGCGTGCATACTGACGCCTATCTGAACGCAGTCACACCATCACCTGCACAGAAATCTGCTCGTATAAAGACACTCATTTATCGAGCTAAGAAAGTGTCAGATTGTGATAGTTTGAGAAGTGAAATTCAACATGTTAAAGAAGCGCTGCAAATGAACGGTTACAATGATGCACAAATCAACAGGACATTGAATGCCAAAACCAAATCAAATAACACGAGCATTGAAACTGCCCAAGTAATTAAAACGATCAAAATACCGTACATTGCTGGAGTAACTGATAACCTAGCCAGATGTTTGGAAAAAAAATCAGTCAGATTTGGCACGGTACATAAAATACAGAAATTAATATCTGGTACAAAAGATGTATTACCGAAACTATCAGCAGAAGGTGTTTACAGATGTAGCGACATCGCTGGATGTCACCATGCTGTGGGTGCAGTACCAGCCCTAAAGGGGCACGGTGTGCGTGGAGTGACATCGCTGGATGTCACCATGTTGTGGGTGAAGTACCGGCCCTAGAGAGGCATGGTGTGCGTGGAGTGACATCGCTGGATGGCACCATGTTGTGGGTGAAGTACCGGCCCTCGAGAGGCACGGTGTGCGTGGAGTGACATCGCTGGATGTCACCATGTTGTGGGTGAAGTACCGGCCCTAGAGGGGCACGGTGTGCGTGGAGTGACATCGCTGGATGGCACCATGCTGTAAGTGCAGTGCCAGCCCGAGAAGGCACGGTGTGTGTGTGCCGACCGAAGGGGAAGGTCGGGTAAGGCCATGACAATCTGGTTGACCTGTGAGGACACGTGACTGGTTGGAATGACAGGGGGGGCCCCAAGAGGGGGCTAGGAGGGTCACATGATTCGAACCCAGGTTCTTCCTGACGGATCTGGAAGGGGGGCATGGCCAAGGGGCGGAGCCGGCCACGCCGGAGAGAATATAAGCCGAGTCCCGAGAGGGATCTGGGTTGTTCGTCCTGGGGAAGAAACCCTTCGTCTATGATCTCTGTTCTGCGAGTCTTCCAGCACGTGGACCCGGGCAGTATGTTGTTGTACCCGGGTCCAGAGCTAATAGTTACTCAGTAACCAGTGTAGTTAGCCAGGGTGGTCACCACCCTAGGTCGTTGTCTTGTTAAAGGGTGAAGTCACCCCGTTGTTAAATCATGGGACCTCCTTTGCCAGTACAAAAATATGAGTATAAGTTTTCTCCTTTTTTCTGCAAACAAAACAGGTGTTAAGATGTTAAAACGCCAAACTGAAACCTTTTACAAGGAATCATGTCTGCATTAACCACATATACTTGTGGTCAGAATGCAAACAAAAAACAGCATTTGAGACTAGGCTCGAAAAAAACCTGTCTCTGGTGTGGACCAATCAGTTTCAAAGACAATGCATATACTATCAGAGTATGTTTTTTGTTTGGATTCTGACCACAAGTATATGTGGTTAATGCAGACATGATTCCTTGAAAAAGGTTTCAGTTTGGTGTTTTAACATCTTAACACCTGTTTTGTTGCCAGAAAAAAGGGGAAAACCTATTCTCACCCCGTTGTTGAAACTAAATAAGTTTGTTGCCTCCAAGTCTAAGAGTGTGACTCAGTTGAATCCACTAAAACTGGTGTCAGAAGTGGCCAAACGTTTTTTGTGAGGGAGATAGGCCGAGTTAGGTTTGATGTTTATGCGATGCAGACAACCTACCAGGACGTTGTCGGACGACGAAGACGACGAGGGGATTATTCCTCAGACAGCCCCGGGGATGGTGACCCCGGAAAAAAGGAGTGAGGCGCCGCCGGTGGAGCAACGCGATGACCGTCATAACGACGGCTCGCCGCCGGCAGAGAACGAGCGCCGATCATTCCGCGCCCGCCTTGCTGAACTTCTCGAGGCCGTGGCCGCGATGGTCGCAGAGCTCGACCATGAGGAGCCGGCGGTGGAGGAGAGAGCGCCGGAGTTGCGCGGAGCTGCTTCCCGCCAGCGGGAAAGCTCCGTTGCGCAGCCCGCGCACGCGGCCGCCATTTTGTTCGTCGAGCGGTACGGAGAGCCCGCCAAATCTGAAAGCCCGCCAAGTTCGCCTGCTGAGATCCCATGTCTCAGGCGCCGTCTACCATTTGTAAAGGAATTCACGGCTGCGAGAGACGACTGAGTGGCCTTCAAGCGTCGCTTCAAGACGAACTGTGATTTGGCGGGATGGCCAGAGGCGGAAGCGCTGAGAGCGCAACCCGCCGCTCTTGACGACGATGCCTTAGCGGCGTTCTGCGCCATTCTGCCGACAGAGAAGGCCACGCTTCCCCAGGCCTTTGCCCAAATGACGGCAATTTATGACCCGCCGTCAAATGTTCGCCATAAGTTCGCTGCACGGAGGAGGGGGGGGAGGCCGAGACGCCCCTCGCCTTCCGCAGTGCGCTGTTGGCGCTGGCAAAGGCTACATACCCAAAGATGAACCACACTGGTCGACTCGCTGGTCCTTGAAAGGTTGCTGATGCTGGCGAAGGATCTCAACATCGTCCTGCCAGCCTCGGAGGATGATTTATCTTCCCTCAAAGTTTCAAGGTGCATCCAGGCGCACCTGCTTTTGAAACAGAATATGGGGTTGGTGGCGTGCACCGCGCCTCTTGAGACGCATGGTACACCCGAAGATGCGGAGCCTGTCCAAGCCTGCACTTCGGTCCAAGGCGGAGGCTGGTGGGGAGACGGCATGGTGCGACGGGATGACAACACCGACGGCGGGAGACCTTTCCTCGTCCAGGGAGTGGCCTCGTCAAGTGCTACAACTGCGGCCTGCCGGGACACGTGTCGTCGGGTTGCCGCGCCTCATGACGACGCCTCCCTGGACCACCGCCATCATCTGCCCGACCCGTCCTCAACTCCGCTAAGTCCCAAGGTTCCGAGCGTTTAACACCCCCGAACCGCAGATTGCACCGTCTCCAGGAGCTCAAGGGGTGGAGCGCCCGTCTTCCCTGCTGAATGCTCCTCACGACATTTTCGAATTCCCCCCGGGACCCCAGGGAGCTTACGCCCACCTTGCCTGGGGGTCCGGCTACAAGGACTCGTTCTCATGATCCCCACACACGCACATTCCCACACCGTCGGTTGGATGTCGCACTCAACAGTCGTATTTGTCATTGGCTGAACCTGGCCTTTATTGTGCTCACGGGTGTTGTTATACGTTGAGGGTGGGTGATGCTGGTGCTGGGGGGGGTTCCCGAGATTGTGTTACCGCGTGTTTTTTTCTCTTTCTCTCTCTTCTATTGTGGTATTGCCCTATTGTTGTGTTCTGTCCCTCTGTTCCCTTTCCCCGTTCGTCACTGTATATAGTGTATATATTGTAATATTGGTTGTTCATTTTTATTTGTTGAGGCGCGAGGGGGCTTTGTTATGTTTTTAGGAGTTGACAGCCGGGACGGATGGGTTTTACGAAGGGGGGGGGGGGGGGGGGGGGGTGATGTAGTGATATCGCTGGATGTCAGCATGCTGTGGGTGCAGTCCCGGCCCTAGAGGGGCACCGTGTGCGATGTCACGAAATCGCTGGATGTCACCATGCTGTGGGTGCAGCACCGGCACTAGAGGGGCTCGCTGTACAATGAAGCGACATCGCTGGATGTTACCATGCTGTGGGTGCAGTACCGGCTCTAGAGGGGCACGGTGTGCATGGAGTGACATCGCTGGATGGCACCATGCTGTAAGTGCAGTGCCGGCCCGAGAAGGCACGGTGTGTTTGCCGACCAAAGGGGAAGGTTGGGTAAGGCCATGACACTCTGGTTGACCTGTGAGGACACGTGACTGGTTGGAATGACAGGGGGGGCCCCAAGAGGGGGCTAGGAGGATCACGTGTTTTGAACCCAGGTTCTTCCTGACGATTCTGGAAGGAGGGCGTGGCCAAGGGCGGAGCCGTTCACGCCGGAGAGAATATAAGCCGAGTCCCGAGAGGGATCTGGGTTGTCCGTCCTGGGGAAGAAACCCTTCGTCTATGATCTCCGTTCTGCAAGTCTTCCAGCACGTGGACCCGGGCAGTATGTTGTTGGTCCCGGGTCCGGAGCTAATAGTTACTCAGTAACCAGTGTAGTTAGCCAGGGTGGTCACCACCCTAGGTCGTTGTCTTGTTAAAGGGTCAAGTCACCCCGTTGTGTTGGAGCTATAGAAATGCGCTGCCTCCATGTCTAAGAGTGCGACTCAGTTGAACCCACTACACAAGATTAACTGCACGTGTGCCAAATGTTATGTTCGGCAAACAGGACGAATGATAAGCACGAGACTAAAATAACATCAGATAAATATTAAATACACCCAAATACAACTGTCAGAAGTAGCAGAACATGCGTGCCAACAAGGAAACTCAATTGATTTTGATAATGGTGAAGTTATGTGCAAAACTAGTTACTACTGGCCAAGACTAATTAGATAATCTATCAAAATTGAAAGAAATAAAAATAATTTTAACCTTAGTCCTGCGTGGAAGAGAATCATCAAATAATACATTGTTTAAATGCATGCCAATAAAGGGCACCATACCTCAATGAGGATTACCATTGGTACGGCTATTTTAATACACACAATCGACAGAAAGGACAAGATCAAAGGGCTCGCATAATGCACATGCATAATGTATGTTGACTAATTCATTCCCCCACCCCCACACTTTGCGCAAGAGCGCAGAAGTGTAGTCACCACATCTACGCCTCTATATAAGGAATGAAACAGTAAGACTTCTCCACAAATCTGGCTGTCGCCTGATGAAGCTAGTTGTAATTACTGGCGAAACGTCGTACTTAGATTGTAAATGTTGTAGCTTGGCTCTCCAACACACCAGTGTTCTGTACTAGTGATGAATTGGCATGTTCTGTTTAAGTGACAACCCCTTACTATTTTTGGTTCTTTCGGTAAAGTCACGTAGAAGGGAAACAATAAAATGATAAAAAAATATAAAACAATAAAATTATCACGACGTTTCGACTGCAACACAAGCAATCATCATCAGGTGTGAAAACTACAACAAGAAAATTTGAAAAAAGTGGCGTTTTTTTTAACTTTAGCACCATGGAGAGAGATTTGACAGTTTGTTCAGATGGATGAGTCCATCTATGTTCAGAAAAGAGGAGGGAGGAAACGAAAAATAATGGATGCTGTCTGAAAGCCACCTTCAGCGTGATCAATCAATTAAGACCCGAAATGGTTTATCAAATTCTTCCAATGATTGCTAAGCCAGAATCCATCTTCTCGGTTGAAATTGTCTCTGCGTTTGTATATGTGGATAGCCTCATGAAGACGGATTCTGGCTTAGCAATCATTGGAAGGATTTGATAAACCATTTCGGGTCTTAATTGATTGATCACGCTTAAGGTGGCTTTCAGACCGCATTCATTATTTTTCGTCTCCCCCCTCCTCTTTTCCGAACATAGATGGAAAAAACCAATGAGTAATATATGGACTCGTCCATCTGAACAAACTGTCAAATCTCTCTCCGTGGTGCTAACGTTAAAAAAAACCGCCACTTTTTTCAAATTTTCTTGTTGTGGTTTTCACACCTGATGATTGCTTGTGTTGCAGTCGAAACGTCGTGATAATTTTATTTTTTATATTTTTATTTTATTGTTTCCCTTCTACGTGACTTTACCGAAAGAACCAAGAATATGAATCCCTGCAGTCACAAAAGCTTTAAATCAAAATTTAACCCCTTACTAGTTGGCTGTGTCGGGTGGTGGCGGGTTTTAAAGACACATTTATATATTTACACAATCTAACCCAAAAAACCTCTATTATGCACACATTTGTGGTGAACATGCAAACAAACACATGCTCTTGTGATAAATGCATTGTCTTTGAAACTGATTGGTCCACACCAGAGACAGCTTTCTAGAGCCTAGTCTCAAGTAGTGTTTGACCAGAGAACGCCAAAAGGCGGAGAGCACAAAGACAATGCACTATCAGGGCATTTATGGCTCGGGGTGAGCAGCTACATCATGGGACCTTTCTTGCCAGTATCAAAATATAAGAATTGGTTTTGCCCTTTCCGGCAATAAAACAGGTGTTAGGATGTTCAAAAACCAAATAGATCGTCCTATTCTCTAATTAAACTGCACACGCGCACCACGCGCCACTGATTCAACTGTCGGCACATTCTGTACAAACTGGCACTGTGCACCATTTAGAACTGTATGTGTCCATTTAATTATCTATTTGCATCGGATCGCTAAAACTGGCTGTGAGAATGGTTCTTGAACTCACTGGTGAGGCGGAAACAATAACACTTGGCGCGTTAAATGCTTGTACATCTCATCATTCTATTTGTTTGGCTGAGAGGGTCACACGACGATAATTTGGTCACATCATTACATGGCCTACCCAAAACATAAATAATCATTAAATAAGCAAGTGTTCTGGCTTTCTCCGAATATGGATACCACGGAATTTGGAACCAGACCCACTCAGCCAGTTCAGAAACCAAAGCCAGCTCGCTTCCTAGTGGTTGTGAATACAGCAGCTGCTTTGGCCATGCATGTGTTATGGTTGACATCATTCACAGCAACAGCCCTGTTGGCAACACTCATCGCTCCTCCAGTTGTTTTGAAATAATTTCACGCTCAGGAAGGGCTTTTGGGGCTCAAAGGCACAAAACTTCAAGAGGTCGGGAGATTGAATCGAAGCGGCGACCTCTGGATTTAATTTTACCATGGCAGCTCCCGGTGTCGTTTTGTCAAAAATATTAAATGCAGAGGGACCTAGCATGCTGGCTGGACGGGTCACAAAATCTTCCCAGTAGATTTTGTTTTTATGTAAGGCAGATTGCCTGAAAGGTATGCGCCAGCCTTATTTCATATTGATTTATGTTTGTGCAGTTTTAAAAGTCTCCTTTATCACAATTGCTTTTGCTCTGATTAATATTTGCTTCCTTGCTGTACTTTGTTTTCATGTTATTGCTTTTCTCATGTTGGTGACCCAGGCCACTCTTGCAAATTAGCCTAATTTCTGGTCTCTGGAGTTCTCACCCAGCCACACAAATAAACTTTAAGCTTGAACACTGTGGCAGAAACACTGATGAAATAATGACAAAACAGAGCAATGCCTTCTCACCTTGCACACACGCGCCAGCTCATACTGCAAGTCTTTTATGGCGTTGTTCTTTGAGTCCAGGACGTCCTGCATGAAAAAAACCAGCGCGACGATTGAAACGTGCACGTTGAGACAAGTCACTCACTGCCTTGGCTGCCGCTGCTGTTCCGTCAACACCTGTGCCACATTGCTAACACGTGAGAGCGTCTGCAATGGCATGCAGCCAATGTCAATCACAACAACACTTGTTTTATGAGATAATAAGTGAGCAAGTCTCCACTAAACATTCGATCCAGACACAACATTTGCAGCTCAACAAGGTGTTTTTATTGGTGTTCTCATGTTGCGTTGTAAAACATCACGAGAATAGTCTTTCTCACAATTACTCATATAGAGTTTGTAAATGCATGAACACATATTGGACCATAAATATTGGGACCATTCCTGCATTTCTCATCTGACAGTTCACCAGAATTGGCTCAAGCAAGCCTTATGTTAAACTCATTGCTGCTGAAACTATGCACTCCCAAAAGGAAGGCCGTGTGGCTAATAGGATGTGTAAAGAAAGCGGGGGGGCGGTAGTGTAGAGGTTAGTGCACTGCGCTACAAACCCGGTGACCTGAGTTCGATTCCTGCTCATAGTGAACACTGGTGAAGATTATCTGAACCGGTCCTAGGCATTATTGGCATGCTAAACAGGAGCCATGCAAGAGAGTTAACCATTCATGACAGCGCTGAACAATATGAGAAGCTGGCCATCACGTGGCAACAGCCCTGCTGCGTCCCAAACGCTGGTCTGCTTCATCACAGTGATGATAATGGTGATAATGCTGTTTCAGCAAGTTTTCTAGACAAACAACATCTAAAGATTTAGTTTTAGCTGACTGACAAATATTGCTCAATCCTTCAAATACATTTTCATCCGGAACATTAGCTCTCTGTATATTTTTGTCTGTTAGAAAGGAATGTAAATTAGGGTGGCAGGGTGATGCAGTGGTAAGCAAGAAGGACCTGGGTTCAATTCCCGACTTGGGTGCTTTTCTCTGTTGAGTTTGTATGTCCTCTCCTATTATGCATGGGATTCCTCTGAGTTCTCTGGCCTCCTCCCATAGCTAAAACAACACACAATGTAATTTGTACTGGCCAATCATCCCAATGCTGAAAAATTACCTGCAAATTACTCAAATTAGGATTACACACAGCAACAACATTGCCCCCTACTGCAAAAAACTCTTTAAACTAAAACTTTTTTTTATTTTACCAGGTAAAACCCACTCAGCCATTACGAATTTAATAGCAGCCAAATAATGTAAACGCGTGATGTTGATTCTAAATGTGGAGGAAAAAATCCACAAACTCCAAATATCCAGGCGTCAGGGTCGGGATCGAACCCACGTTCTCCTCCATACTAGGCGAGGGAGATAACATCTCACCACCGCATCAGGACCTCCCTGAAAAAAAGTCTTGAGACTCGGCGAGGCTTTTCTGGGTAAACAAGTATAATTATAAACAATAATAATTTGAAGGAGTTGCGGCGGAGAGCCTGTTGTTACCTCCAGCTTGCGGGTGACAATGCTGAGCGCCGTCGGGTCGAGGCTGGAGGCAGACAGCACCTCATTGAGCTGCGCTTCCTTCTTCTCCATGGCGTCCGTGAGCGCCACCAGCTTGCGCTCCAGCAGCAGGCTCTTGAAGCCGCTTTTCTGCTGCACCTCGTGGACGGCCGTCACAAACTTGCGGTACAGCTCGTCCCGCTCGCTCTCCACCTGTAACAAACAGCGGTGACAACGACGTCTCCATTAAAGGTCATCACTGGTGGTTGCGGCATCGTAGAGATTGTAAGTAACAAAATAAACAGCAGACAATGCGCTTCCTTCACATATCGGTCCATCCGCATAAACAATAAAATAATTGAATTTGTTAGATTCTGCACGACGATCATGATTGTTTTGCGTTTTGCATTGTAGAGTTTTGCGTCAAACTAGGACCCATAACTAATAAGGATCTTGCCTATAAACATCAGGCAGTTCACCAGTATTGGTTTAAGCGAGCCAGACTGATGAGACCCTGAATGTGGAAAACGGTCCAGAGTTTTGCTTGTGTTGAATCAATGCTGCTATTATGCATTCCCAGAAGGCTGTGTGATTGATAGGATGGGTAAAAGAGGGACTGATATAGGAAGGGGCAAATTGTCTTTTTCGTTATTTTATCAAGGGGCAGGACAACTTCACACAGAGAATGGCTCCACGAGATTACCCCGAGATTAGTGGCTCTATTTTTTCTGCACCAGTTTTTTTAAAAACTGAGATAAATCTTTTTGATTTGTTTTAGGTTGCTGATGTAGCCCAACGGCAGAGCATTCACCAGTTGTTGCAAAGGTTCGCTGTTGCATTTGGCAGGCTGCCCTGGTCAATACTTAGTCACTGCATTTTTGCCCCCACAATTGTATTCCCATAGCACTTCCGGCATGGTAAAGAAAAATAAAATAAAAATCCCATTTTAGTACTTTGCAGCTAGCAGTGTATCACCCTGTGTGAGAGAACCACCCAGGAAGATGATGATCTTCTTTCGTATGACTGATGTAGATGCAGAGCAACAACTACAATTTCAGATTCAGGTGGTCAAGTCCGATTACCGTATCAGGAGCAGCGGAGTGTATCATCGCTGTGATGATGTCTCCTTCGTATTTGTAGATCGGGGCATTGCGTCGTTATACGTTGTTCTGGATGACCACAGTCACACACTACTGGAGAGTTTTTAATTTCCATTTGAGCATCAGGTATCCACATCTGATTGATGTCCGGACTGACATCCAAACCCGGAACACAGTTTCATTTCCGAATGTACACCCGTGACCGAGCGTGTCGTGTGGCTGGCCCAGTGCTCTGACCTTTGCGCCACCTGGCCATCGCATATTTGCCACCCTTATCTATGCCCTTGCACCAGCGTGGATACCAGGGCCAACATCCTGTCAGAATTAAGAGATTCACCAGCATCTTTCCACACATTACAACAGCATCGTGTAATATGGGGTCGTTACAACACCACTGCCGCCCACTTAGGGCATCGACGACTCGTTTCCACATGACGTGTCAGGCATTATTGCATTTCACAGGGCTGAAGAAATTAAAATAGCAATTAAAATCTGCATTATTTTTAAAATTAAAAGAATAAAATAATTGACAGATGACCAATAACTTTCACTTGGCTTGAATTTAAATTCATTTTGGCTAAGCTACTACGTATGAATGTTGAACTTATTTCGCACCATACGTAGCCAACCATGCTAATTGGAGGTGCGGGGGAAGGACAACAAATGAAATACATTTTATTGATTGCGCTTTTGGAAATGGATGTATCGATCATTGATAATGAGAGATTAGAGTTCCAAATCTAGGCTATGCACTAGATGGGGCAACACAGCTCACCCGAACAATAGCCTGCGATGTTCCCAGATTCACGTGTAGTCTGGTATTGTCATCGCCTGGCTTTGTCGTGTTGTGGAAGCTCTTCTGCCATCTGATAAATGCTCAATGCAATATATTGAATTATTTAAATTTCAATATATTGCGTGAATTATTAAATAACATTTCAACAAAATATATGAGCAGACAATACTTCACCTTCTCATATCTGTCCCTCCACATAAAAAAATATGAAAGTATTTCTTTCACATTCCATCGGCCACACGGGGCGTACGTACTTTCAGTGGCCTTGGTTTATTACAAACAAAACTTTGGACTGGTTTTGACATTCAGTGTCTCATTAGCAGTCAGGCTTTGTTTAAAGCAATGCTACAGGTGAACTGCTAGATGTTAATAGAAAAGATCCCTCTAAGTTATGGGTTATAGCTTGATGCAATCCTATATAATATACAACACAAAATAATAATTAGTGTAAAATCTCTCACTCGCCCCCAACCTTATCCCGTATAGTCTCCTTACCCCTATCCCATTCTCTCTCTCCACCACTGCCCAATACTATTTGTTTTAATGTGTACTATTAACCACAAACATTGTTTCTCCATACAAAAGGTCACCACCTCGTGTGGTTAGAGGAAGCTCCAACCCAAAAAGCAAACGGCTCTTATCGTGTGCTATGTATCTAGCAGGGCATGTAAACATTCACTGTCAAAATTCAGGGTCATGATTCCATTCAATAATCTATTCTTGCTTAACTCCGTCCAACCGAAGTTGGAGGCATTCGTGCATGAGGACCGCGCAACTGTTGGTCCATACCGCGGGTGCTCGTGATGGTGCTCGTAAAGGTGAGCCCCCGTACAAACACGAGGAGTCGGCACAGGCTTGGAAACAGCGTTTTGCTATTGGCAGCTGATGTTTTAAAAAAATAATTTGTATTATATTTTTGCTGTACACAAGAATAAACGCCCACTGCAGAACGTTGGGCAAAATAAACAACCGCACGCACAAATATCCACCAGGCCCATGTACCCAACGCGTCCTGGTTGATGAAGGGGGGGGTGGGCAGATAACCCGGGGAAGGGGTGGCAGGAGAGAAACTATTGTCTCATTTACATGGGAAATTTGCGCCGGTAGAATATCTGATGTAAAATTCGTGTTAGTCTTCCAAATTATGCAGATATTGCACTGTTGCAATAATGATGCAAATAATTTAAATAATTCCTGATCAGAACTTTCACCACCAGCGGTGTACAACCCTGCATCAAAGAACATCCGTGGAAGATGACACTACAGGACTACATCTTGACATTGTCGGAATATTCTTTCTATTGAAGGATGTTTGGCCAATTCCTCAATTAGTAATTTGAGTACACAGAGAAAATCCATGATAATTGAAAATTACGTGTGCGGTTGGTCAGATGCGCGGTTGACTGGTCAGATGCATGGTTTAGCAAAGAGTCAGTCATATACTTTTTTCACACAGTTGCTGAGCACAGGCCCCTTCTGCTAGGTGGACAGAGGAGGGCAGAGAGGGATTTGAGAAACTTGCACCATCGTTTCAACTGCCGCACTGAGAACTGGAATCGATCCGGGGACATCTGGATGGCAAGTCCAGCATGCTAGTAACCACTACACCACGGTGGCAGCTCCCATCGTTTCTCAGTTAAAAAGCCAAACACGTTGTGTGTATCGCTCTCGAAGTGTCTACGTGTGCGGCAAAACCGGCAACTGTTTTCTTACATACTCTTTGGGTCTTTCGGTAAAGTCACGCAGATAGAAAAATAATAAAATAATAAATAAAAATCCCGACGTTTCGATCGCAACGCAAGCAATCGTCTTCAGGTAAAAAAATACAGCAGGTGGACTGCTGAGGCAGGAAGAAATATAGCGAGAGAGCTACTGCAACCAAAGGTTATATAGGTTTGAGATGGGTACAACCCAAGGGTAAGTGGACGGGGCTAGAGATGGAATTTGTAAGTAAATATAAGATCGCAGAGCTAGGTATACCTCGGCTATTGTGTTGCTAGAGGTTAGCATGTCAATGTGTTCATGTAACCCCACGGCTACGGTGCTGAATAAGCCATTGCATTGCTCGAGATTAGAGACTAGAATGTCAATGTGAGACGGCTCCCGCAAGAGCGGCTGTGTTAATGAGACACATTCAGCCTATTAAACAACGAGCGTCACCGCCGCATCGAGGAAAAGGGAGCAGCGGCTATGTTAGTGAGACATTTAGCCTGTTAATGTAAAGACATTTAACAAGGTAATGGAACTCAGAGAGTTGGAAATAACTGCTAACATAGGCAGGTAGGATGGAAGCATCACATCCAGTTTTGATTTTACCTGATTAATAACGTCCTTCCAATGATTGTTCAGTTTGTACCCATCTTCTCGATTGAAATTGTGTCTATGTTTATATATCTGGATGGCTTCATGAACAAATCTTTGTTTATAGCCAGTGGGTTTGCATAGTACATTCGTCTTGGAGAAATAAATTTAATGTGTGCCCACAGCGTTAAAACATGATCAGCCATGGCAGAGGTGTTGGTCCTATCGTGTTTCAGATCTGCCTTGTGTTCGCGAACACGGTCTGAGACATGTCGCTCAGTTTCCACAATGTGACAACTGCCGCAGGCACAGCTTAGTTTGTGGACTAGTTTATCTACGTGACTTTACCGAAAGACCCAAAGAGTATGAATTCCTGCAGTCACGAAAGCTTTAAGTCAATGTCTTCTTACAATTAATTTTATTTTTCCGTTTATTTATCTGAGTGTGAGAGCTCACCTTGGCAAAGCGCTGAATCATCACCTCGTGCTCCCACTTCAACTCCTGCATCTCCTGGTCCATCACCTTCAGTCTGGCCTTCGCACTCTGCAAAGTTTAGTCAGGATAAGGAGGCCACGAGAGGTGGCATTTTATTCAAATATTTAACGTGGAAAAATCCCAAAAGCTTAATGTAAGAGCATCAAAAGTGCCAACTGACACACACATAGAAAACATGTATTGATACTATGCAATTTAAAACTTATACACTGTGAATTTATATACTAAACATCACAGCCAGTCAAACACATGAATACTTGAGTTAAATAATTAGGATGTTATAACCACAAAGGGCATATATATTGTTGGAATAACACGATAGTTGTCGATGGTCGATGTGAGGAAAGGAAGCGGCATGTCGATGTACACGTGTCGAGAGGACGGATTCCCAGTGAGGTTATCTTCTTTTAGGAACCCGGTGACCTGAGCTCAATTACCACTCACGACCAACATCAGTGACGAATATTTGAACCGGTGGTGGGTTTCTCCTAGGTCAACCCAGCCTTAAATGGGTACCTGGTTTAGTATGTAAACATCAGCCTTGGGGAGGGAGACGAAGGTGACTGGGCAGGAATGACGCTGCCCCCACCATCCCCTCGTAGGTGCGCCGTGCCAGCCTTCATAGGTCCTCGATAATGGCACTTGCCCCAGCAGGCTGTATGGGCTACACAGGGGACCTTTGCCTCTGAATACAAGGGGGGCTCACTGCGAGCAGCGTCTTGTCCTTAGTGTAGTTGGCGAGCTGCCGGTTAAGCTCGGCGACCTCCTCTCGCGCTCTCTGCAGAGGCTCCGTCAGACGCTTGTTTTGCTGCGCCGTCTCTGCCATCTCCTTCTCCAGACGCTCTTCCTTCTTCTTCATGTCCTCCACTTGCTCCTACGTGAGCATGCATACATACGTGCGTGTGTGTGCGTACGCGTGAAGGGTTTGCCGACGACCGGTACCAGCGGTGTTAAGATTGACTTCTGTGGAGGACGCAGTCGGAGGCAGACGCCCTCCAGCAACAACGAAAGGCAGAGGAGCGACACTTACAACAATGAGCGGCGCACCGGGTGGCTAGGATGCAGCAAGTTGGCACAGTAGGGGGCACAGGTGGCGCATGTGCCGATCATCTCAGTCAGTCAACCCATAAAACCTGTGACCGTCCCTTGATCTGCTGCCAGTGAACCTTCCACACTTCACGGGATCGCTTCAAAGTGCACCTAGCCTCGCACAAGCACTGTGGTGATGTCATTGCAACTTAGTGGCAAATGGCTACTTTTGTTGTTTTTTAGGGGCTTAATTCTCCCTGAATATTTCCAATGCCGCCAGTAGGAGCAGGCCTGGAGACAGCAGTAGATTGGTGGGGGCGAATTGTGCATAAATTAGGGTGTCAAGATAAAAAGTTCCGACTCGGTAATATGATCCAGGCTTTCCTGGTTAATTAAAATACTCGACAGTCAAAGCAATTTCATCTTTAAATGTGCATTGAGGAAGTGCTAATTTTCGTTTAGAGCTCTTTAAAGCCAGCAGTCGAAATTCCGTGTTACTATGGCAGGGGGGCTCTCTCAAAATGACAACCATTGTTCATTTCCTTCCCATTGTGCTCATTGTGAAGCTGCTAGGTGGATTGTAGCATCGCAGAGGAGAGATTTTAATATTTAATAGATATAATTATATTGGTGGGAGATGTATAGAAGCTTTAAAGCGTAATGTTTCCCCTGTTGCAACGACCCCAAAGCATAGATCGCTTATAATCTTGTTAGTGAAATTAACCTATTCATCATTTTAAATCCGTTTGCATCTTATCTTATCATGCACTGCGCACAGCTCACCTTGAGCGAGTTGATGAGCGCCAGGTTGTTCAGCGTGATGTCGTTATAGTAGTTCTTGATGTCGCTGAACGCCTTCTCGTGGTTGCGCATGAGGGCGTTGATCTGCCCGTTCTTCCGCTCCTCCACCTCGTGAATCTCTGTCTTTCGGCGGAGGTCCAGTTCGTCGCGCAACGCTCGCATCTTCTTCTCATACTTGGCCTCCATCTCTGCGGGGAACGGAGATGGGTGAACTCGCTCATCCCCGCGTGCTAGGGTTGCTACTTTTTCCACTGTAGACCAAATCTAGATAGATTTCTCAGTAGGGCCCTAGGTCTATCGGAGCTGTGCAGTCTATTGTAATAAAGTTCAACACAATACCGGTGCCAAATCTCGGCACAGATCAATTCCTGCCACCCGACTACAGATGCCAATTCCCAAACTCTCGCGGGATGTCACTGGGTAATGCTGGCCCTAGAGAGGCGTGGCGTGCGGTGTATTGACATCGCAGACACCTCTAGGATGTGGGTGCAGTACCGGCCCTAGAGGGACTTGGTGAGCGCTAATCGATAGCGCTGGATGGCACCACGCTTGGCGTGCAGTGCCGGCCCCTACAGGATAGGGTGTGGGAGTGCCGGCCATGGGAATGGGGTTACTCAGGGCCGGGGCACTCTGGTTGACCCCAGAGGACACGTGACCGGTTATGTCTACACAGGGGCCCCAAGTGGGGGCTAGGGCTGGTCACGTGTCAGGGTCGAGATCCTGCTCGAGGATTCTGGAAGGTGGTCGTGGCCAAGGGCAGGGCCAGCCACGCCACAGAGGATATAAGCTGGGTCCCCCAGAGGGACCGGCGCTGTTGTTCATCCTGAAGAAACCTTCGTCTACGTTCTACGTCCTACAGAGTATAATAATAGGGGTTTCCCCCTTTTTGTTCTGGCAACAAAACTGAAACTTTCTTACGAGGAATCATGTGTGCATTAACCACAATACTTGTAGTAAAAATGCAAAAAAAACACACTCTGATAACATATGCATTGTCCTTGAAACTGATTGGTCCACACCAGAGACGGGGAGGTCTAATGATGTAGAGTCCCTACAGAGTCTCCAACACGAGGACCTGGACCCAAGCTGTGGTCTTGTTGTTATTCTGTTCAGGGGCAGTTACTCCATGTGTTGGCGTTAAATAAATGTGTTGCCTCCAAGAGTACGTCTGCGACTCAGTTTGACTCACTACATAAGTGATAGATATATGCATATATTTAGTTTAACACAGGTGCTAAGCACATACCTGAAAGCTCAAAACTTCAGGTGGCTAACAACACACAGCACTATGAGAGTTGTAATAGATAAGAGTAGATAACGCCTTTGTAGTGAGTCCAACTGAGTCGCAGACGTTATCTTGGGAGCAACACTATTTATTCAATAAATCAACATAACATAACACAACCTACACTTGGGTGTTGAATGCTCATCTAGCCACGCTACGGCAGAACTAGACACGGTTCGCTATCCCGGCCCGGACCACAAGCTGGGTCCCAGACCGCATGGCTAGAGGCTTCTTTACCCGATGTGGATCTTCATCACCAGCAACACGAAGAACCCCGAGTCCCTTACGGGGCCCCCGTTATATCGGCCTGGACTGGGGCTGTCTCCGCCTTTCGCCACACCCACCTTCTAGATCTCTCGAGCTCTTTCCCAAAGGCTCCCCGAGAGCTCTTTTAGACCACGTGACCGCCCAGTGGCCCCCGACCACCGGTGGCCCCCTCCAATATCATCCGGTCACGTGTCGACAGGTCAACCAGCGTATCATGCCCCAAGCTAACCCTGGCTGGCTGACGCTCCCTCTCGCTCCCTCACTGGGAGCCCGCACCGCACACTGTACGTGGTGCCTCCGCGCTGACCAGCACTCACCCAAGCCCCGCTAGGGCTGGTACTACGCCTAGTAAGGGGGCTACACGTAATGCCAACACATTATCCGCCGTGGCTTCGTAAGCCCGGCACCACACAGGGACAATCACAGTCACTACACATTTATTGAATTGAGCGAGGTTATTGAAAGAGCTTTAGGAAAAAAGAGACGATGGGAGGGAAGAAGTACAGCAGTATGAGGTAAGAAGTACACAGAGAAGCGGAGTGAAATGCAGCGTGGTGAGCAAGTGGGTGTGTCAGTGAGAGAGTGGCTGAGTGTGTGGGTGAGTGTGTTTGTGGGTAAATGTAGAAGTGGGGAGTGGTAGTGCAGTGAACTCGGCGACCCGAGTTCGATTCCCGCTCATGGCCAACACCAGTGACAATTATCTGAACCCGTCGTGGGCCTCCCCTAGGTCGACTCAACCTCAAATGAGTACCTGGTGTGGCGTGTAAACATTACTACTAGGGGAAAAAGGTTGCGGGGTGTGGTGCTGGCCACCCACACCCTCATGTGCCGTGCCAGCCTTCATAGGTGCTCAGTAACAGCATTTGCCCCAGCAGTGTGTTCAGGCTATATGGGAGATCTTTATCTTTGTAGAAGTGTGTGAGTGGGTGTGTGTGTGTGCGAGAAGGTGAGTGAGCGAGTGAGGTGAGTGTGCTGTTGCAATCGGCAGTGTGGTGGATGAGATGAAACAGTGTCTGGTAGAGACCGAGTCCTCACCATGGGTGGAGGAATCAGCGAGTGAAGCTCACGGGAAGCAGTAGCTGTGGCAGTCGTGGTTAAAGAGTGATAATATGCTAGACAAGTGCAACAATCACCCTAAATCCATTCTGATGTTTCTGGAACTCGATTTTACTATGAGCGGCTATTTGCAAGTCATTTGTCTAACATTGGAAAATTTATTTTACTTAATATCGATTTATATTTCTGCACCGTTTTAGATTTCTTATGTAACGCGGTTAATCTAATTGTGGGAAAACCACAGTAGGCGACAACCCTGCCAACACGACCAGACAGAGCCGGAGTTCACAGACGGAGCCAACACATCTCGCCCGACCGGTCAAACGCATACGCGACGTCACGCTCGTTGCGACTTGTGCATTACGTGCACATGAATGCACAGTCGTAGGCACAGCAATAAAACACGATAAGCGGCTCGCAATCAAGAAGGTACCAAGCTCAAATATTGGTTGTGGAGTGGGGGGTTGACTCTGCCCATCATCCATCAGTGGTTGATGAGCACTGCTTTGTGAGTGAGTCAATAGTTGGTTGTAATATGGAAAGACTTGCCCCGTCATATGAATCTGGATCTCCACCACTGGCTTAGCGCTGTAAACAGATGAGCACAGCCTAATTACTCATTCTAGAAAGAAAGAACTTCGACTCTGTTGAGTTTTTTTTTCACACTATGGGTTTAGTTTCCGACACAAAGGGCAGATGACAAGACACATTCTTGCAGAATGGTGAACGATGATAAAACCACTTCACCATTCCGCCGTGGTATGTTGTGGAACGCCTATCGATATAGTTTCCATGTTTCCCTCCTACGCCTCGTGTCATGCGCACAAGACGGACACATTTACGGCCAGCGCATTGCGCAGCCCATGCAGAGTGGTAGCAGCCCACGCAGAGAAGTAGCGGCAGGGAGCAGGCATGCTCACAATAAACACTGTCCACGTGGCGCGCGGTGGGGGGGGGGGGTACTTTTGTGGGTTTTGTGGGGGTTTTATTTTTGGTACCTCTAACTTGCGTTTCAAAATCATCCCGCAGCTTAGTCATCATTTCATCGTTTTTCTGAAAAGGGAAAACGCAGACCACATCCCCACACATGAATTTCCTCAACAAGACACAATACCATAAGACGCTACAGAGCAAAACTGCAGCCCTGATGTTGCTTGCTCGTGCCACTGCCGGTGGAAGGGTGTACATGTGAGCTTTACACACTCCACAGCAATGGCATCAAGAGCCATATAAACATTTTGTCTCTTACGTTGATGAACAGTTTGTACATTTTTGCTTTATTTGGATCGCTTACTTTGGCTCAAATTTCATCTTTTAGAATTAAATGTATCAGATTGCTTGCCATGTGAGAAACATTTTCTGTAAGAGGGAATTAATGAACCTCCTCGTGGTGTGACATTTTTTGTATTATTATTAGAACTATTTCAAACATTATTTTCAGGAGGGTCCTGCCAAGGTTTCACAGGCGAGGACGACGATTGCTACGTTTCTCCAAATTAATTAATTTGATAGATTTTTTACCATGATACTGGCACGCAATGGCCTACTCTTCTTCTAATGAAGTGGAAGGATGTGGCAAGGCAGACATAGAGACACAGACAGACATTGAGACACAGACAAAGAGACACAGACATACAATGAGACGAAGACACAACAACAAACGCCATTCGCCACTAAGTGGCGGTGACGTCACCACGACGCTTGTGCCAGGCTATGTGCATGTTGAGGCCACGTGAAGTGTCGAACGTCCGCTGGCTGGAGGTCACGGGGCAGACCCAGGTGCCATGGGTCGACTGACTGAGATGACTGGCTGATGCACCACCTGTGCCCCCTACTGTGCCAACTTGCAGTGCTTTAGCCACCCGGTGCTCCGCTCGTTGTTGTGAGCATTGCTCCTACCCCCTCCATTGTTGTTGGAGGGCGACTGCCTCCAACTGCCTGGTAGCGTCCTTCACGAGCCTCCTCCACAGAGGCCGATCTTGACACCGCTGTTACCAGTCATCGGCAAGTCCACTCAGCTCCACATTCTCCTGTACTCCATCTCTTCTCTAGACCATGCCGCGCCCGTTTAGCCCCCTCGATCCGGTCGAACAAAAGCTGTGTAGGCATGCGGTGGTTGGGCATGTGGGCTACATGACCCAGCCAACGCAGCCTTGCCTGCCGGAGGAGCTCACCGATAGGACTTTGTCCAGATCTTTCAAGGATATGTGAGCTCCTCACACAATCCAGCCTGGTTAAAGCCACGATGGATCGTAGGCAGGCCAGCCTAAATGTTTCTAACCGGCGAAGATGTTCCATTAGGGGAGTCCACGTTTCGCAAGCGTAGAGAAGGGAGGGAATGACTGTGGCCGAGAAGACGTGAAGCTTCGTGCGGATCGACAGACCAGGTAGCTTCCACACAGCGTTACGCAACCGATGAAAAGATATTGCCGCTCGACTGATTCGAAGTGAGACCTCTGCTGTCAAACCGGAGCCGGTCATGAGCACACTGCCCAGGTATGGGAAACTCTCCACTCTCTCCACATCTGCCCTATCACCAATTGGGAGTTGTGGGGGTGGAGTGTCCGATGGTACAAAATACCCAGGCAGGTGCTTAGTTTTGGTGGGGCTAATAGTAAGTCCCCACCTCTTAGTGGCAAGCTCCAGGCTCACCAGCAGCACCTCCAACTCCTCCTCTGAGTGAGCAGCAATTACCAGATCATCGGCATACATAACATGGTTGAGCAGTAGGGAGCCATCCCTTGACCGCACCCGGGCATCGATCAGCCTCTCATTGTATCTGTACCAGATGGAAATTCCTCCGGTACAGCTATTGAAGGCTTCACGAGCTACGTGGTCGAAAGAGATGTTAAATAATGTGGGAACCAGAGGATATCCCTGTTGCACCCCAAGGTGAACAAGGATCCTGGCCACGTAGTTTTACCCGGGCCCGCTCACCATCATGAAGGTCCTTAATGATCGTGAGTAGCGGGTCAGGGACTCCGAAAGCACGAAGAACAGCCCAGGGCCCAGGCCTACTGATGGTATCATAGGCGTTGACCAGGTCAATAAAGCAGAGATGTAGGGTCTTGTTGGAATTCCCTACACCTGCTGTAGCAGACGGACAGAAAATATGGCATCTGTGTAGGACCGCCCTTTCCTGAAACCACATTGGGGCTCCGCAAGCCTCTCCTCAGCGTGCCTGGCAAGGCGATGTTGAATAATCCTTGCCAGGACCTTTCCCGGCACACTGAGGAGTGAGATGCCTCTGTAGTTGTTACAGTCTGTGTGGTCCCCCTTCTTAAAGAGGGGGACCACCAGGGCATCCTTCCAATTCTGCGGAACCCGTCCAGTGGTCCAGACCGTTGTTATGATGTCATGTAGGGCAGTCTGTGCACAAACGTCACCCTCCCTCAGAATTTCGCTTGGGAGATCATCTCTGCCATTCCTGGTCTCAGGCTCTGAATCGCCTTCAGTACTTCCTCAACAGGTGGCACCTCAGGGGGTGACTTCCTCTTCCAATATTTGAGGCACCACAGCCTAAGCAGGGTTATCTCCACTTTGTCCCACGTTGTTTTCCAGACTGGGGGATTTCCCCTCCCCTAGGATCTCCCAGAAATGCTGAGCAAATCTGCAAACCTGTTCCTGGGGGTTGGAGCTTGGATCACCGTTCTTTCCCCTAATGATGGTAATAGGTGTGGAGCTGCAGGTTACTTTTTTGATGGCATTAAAGAACGATTTGCGATCGCGGGTCATTGAGGCAGCCTCAATCTCCTCAGAAACCCGCAACCACCAACCATCCTTGCAGTGCCTCACGGCTCTCCGAACCTCTGAGCAAAGACTGTGGTAAGCCTCCTCATTCTCTGATGTGGGGGCTTGTCGCTTATTCTCAGCCAGCCTGGACACCTCCTCTGTCAGCCATTGCAGCTGCATGAGCCACAGTCCTAAACCTCACCCATTTCCCCTCGACATCAGGAGGAGTGGGGGACGATGCCAACCTCAGCCGCAAGCGATGATAAAATTCTCGCTCACAACTTTCATCAGCGAGCTGAGATCATGCCACTATGGGTTTGAATTGGGTCCTGGGTGTACACTCACCACCGGCGTAGAAGAATACAAGGCGCATCTTACAGATGACAAGTCGATGGTCAGTGAGCAGATCAGCTTCACGGTAAGTCCTGGTGTCAAGGACATGGGCCCGCATCCGCTGTTCCGTCACTATGTAGTCCAGCAGATGTTCTTGCCTGGACCCGGCATGCATCCATTATGTTGTATGGATGCGCCGATGCCAGAACAGCGTGTTGGAAATTACAAGCCCATGGGCTGCACAAAAAATCTAGCAGCCTACTACCATTGTTATTGAGCTAATCTGGACCATGTCTTCCAATCATTCCAGACCAGGTGCTAGCATCATGACCAACTCGGGCATTGAAGTCACCCAACAAGATGACTCTATCCCAAGGGGCCACTTTAGCCAGCACCTGTGACAGGAGGTCATATAAGGTCTTGCCTGCATCCCTCCACAGATGTTCGTTTTCGGTGGCGGCATAAGTAACCACGACTACCACTCCTCGCTTTCGATTGATGGGAAGGCAAGCCCAAAGAAGCCTGGGGCTTACAGCTTCCCACACCTCACCGCCATGCTGCCACACCTCCTTCATTCTTTTGTTCAGAAGAAGAGCCACACCCTGTTGTTTGGCAGTCTCCTGCCTCGAGTAGAGGACAGTCCACCCCTCATGGTGGCAGGAGCCAGAGCCGGTCCACCGGACCTCCTAAATACCACGTCCATCCAGGCGGTACCGGTCTAGCTCCCGACAAAGGAGTGGCAGCCTCTCCTCCACAGTGAGCATTCGAACATTCCACGTGGCCATCCGAAGTGGCTTTTTGTTGTTTCTGGAGGAGCCCCGAGAGTAAGGATTCAGTCTCCTGGCTCCGCCAAATGGGGTTTGGCCAGGAGACGTCACAGACGTCTGTCCCCCTGGGGCCGCCGGCACAAGCTTAATACGTTTTTTACATTGTAGTTTTGTGGTAGTTAAAAGCCCCCATTTGGCCGCTGTGGTGGTTACAAACGCCATGAGGGGAATGGCCAATCGAAATTGGCCCTCTCCCATGGCACTGCCCACCACAGCGTTGCCATCCGGAACCACGAGGAGGTAGGGGGTTGTTTTCATGTACAGGTGCCGGATGGATTGTTGTGTCGCAGTAACGTCACAGGTGGCAATGGCTTGGGGAGGCCTTCATTTAGCAGTGGATAGACCATGGTTGGTGATAATGATGATTAGCAGATGTTGGGGGTGCGCAGGCTGTGAGCGCACCAGCGTGAGGTTTCTGATGACGTCCTCGCTGGACAGCTCGTGCTCCTTCATATCGACGAGTAGCGAGCGCAAGTCTCGGCGCAGGCCGCTCTCCTTCTCGCGCTGCTCGCGATGTGCCAGCGTTGTAGCCACCGTGCCCTCGGTGCGCAGCTCAGCCACTTTGTTCTGATGCTCGTAGAGCAGGTGCTTTACCTTCTGCTTGTACACCTGCACAAGATCAAGATCCAGATGTCATCGCGCCCAAAGACATTGATGCCACCACCAAACATTCTCCATCACACCTCCACCACCACACCTCCTCCATCACACCTCCTCTATCACACCTCCACCACCACACCTCCACCACCACACCTCCTCCATCACAACACCTCCATCACACCTCCTCTATCACACCTCTACCATCACACCTCCACCATCACACCTCCTCCATCACACCTCCACCACCACGCCTCCTCCATCACAACAACTCCATCATACCTCCACCACCACACCTCCACCACCACGCCTCCTCCATCACAACAACTCCATCACACCTCCACCACCATGCCTCCTCCACCACCACACCTCCACCACACCTCTTCCATCTCGACACCTCCATCACACCTCCTCCACCACACCTCCTTCATCACACCTCCATCATCACACCTCCACCACCACGCCTCCTCCACCACGGCTCCACCATCACGCCTCCACCACCATGCCTCCACCACCACACCTTCATCACACCTCCTCCACCACACCTCCTCCATCACGACACCTCCATCACATCTCCACCATCACACCTCCACCATCACACCTCCACCACCACACCTCCGCCACCACGCATCCTCCACCACGCCTCCTCCACCACACTTCCTCCATCACACCTCCACCATCACACCTCCACCACCAAACCTCCTCCACCACGCCTTCTCCACCATGCCTCCTCCATCACAACCTCCTCCACCATGCCTCCACCACCACACCTCCACCACCACATCTCCACCACACCTCCTCCATCGCACCTCCATCACACCTCCACCACCTTGCCTCCTTGCTGCCAACGCGTTCTCTCCGCAAGCTGCTGCACAGTCGACACGCGAACTTTAATATATGAATAAATCTTGACTTAAAAGCTTTCGTGACTGCAGGAATTCATATTATTTGGTTCTTTTGGTAAAGTCACGTAGATAGGTTCAAAGGAAATAACAAAATAACAAAGAAACTATGACATTTCGATCGCAACACAAGCGGTCATCCTCAGGAAAAGGGGGGTTAGCTTCTAAAGACAACTGTTTATAAATATTTGAAATTGGCGTTGCCTAAATGTCAGCAGCCAATGTTAATGTAAGTTGTGGGCAAGCGACTGCGGCGGTGAGTTTCCACTAATCAAAGGGCTGCCAGGTAAAAATGATCATGTTAATGTAAGATTGCCAAGCATCCTTCACGGCGAGCGCACCAAGGTGGCTATGTTAATGTGAGAGATCAGCATGTTAATGTGAGAGATTAGCATGTTAATGAAAGATCGCCAAGCATCCTCCACGGCAAGCATGCCAAGGTGGCTATGTTAATGTGAGAGATTAGCATGTTAATGTAAGATCGCCAAGCATCCTTCACGGCGAGCGCACCAAGGTGGATATGTTAATGTGAGAGATCAGCATGTTAATGTGAGAGATTAGCATGTTAATGAAAGATCACCAAGCATCCTCCACGGCAAGCATGCCAAGGTGGCTATGTTAATGTGAGAGATTAGCATGTTAATGTAAGATCGCCAAGCATCCTTCACGGCGAGCGCACCAAGGTGGCTATGTTAATGTGAGAGATCAGCATGTTAATGTGAGAGATTAGCATGTTAATGAAAGATCGCCAAGCATCCTCCACGGCAAGCATGCCAAGGTGGCTATGTTAATGTGAGAGATTAGCATGTTAATGTAAGATCGCCAAGCATCCTTCACGGCGAGTGCACCAAGGTGGCTATGTTAATGTGAGAGTTTAGCATGTTAATGGAAGAACGCCGAGCAGCAACCTCGAGGATGGCGCGTGAGGTAGCTGTGTTAGTGTGAGAAATTTAATCTGTTCATGGAAAACATCAGAGTGCCGAAAATAACAACTAACATCGGAAGGTGGTAGGATGGGAACATCACAGCCAGCTATGACTTAAACTGGTTAATAACGTCCTTCCAATGACTGCTTAGTTTGTACCCATCTTCTCGGTTGAAATAAGCAATAGCAATAATTAACATGTTAAATGCTTGTACACATGACAATTACATGTGTTGGGCTATGTCACGTGGTGGAGGGTTTCATGACAAAAATGTAACCAGATCATTGCATGGCCTAACCCAAAAAATATATTTAATGACTCAAAAATATTGGCTGCAAAAACCTACGTGGTAAGTATTCAAGTATTCGTGTATGTAAACCTACACTGTTACTACAGGAAAACTGCATGTGTATTAACCAAAATTGACTACGCGCCGCCTGCTTCACTCCCGTAGATTGTATTTAAAATTGCAGCAAGCGGACTTTCCAGCTCATGGAGACCAGGGCTGGCCCTATTAGTCTGGTTGGCCGCGGTAGTTTCACTGCATCGCTTCTCAAACCCCGCGCCGCTGCCGTTCACGCACAGTCCCGCAGCAACTCCGACCGTGCTCGGGGAAGCACCCACCTTGATCTCCACCTGGTGTCTCTCCTCTGCGTCTTCCATCTCTCGGTCCTTGTTGCGGAGCTCGGCACGCCGTTCGTCAAGCTGCCTGCGCGTGATCTCCCAGAAGGTGTGGATCTTGTCGCGCTCCAGCTGGAAGTAGTTTCGCTCCTCGCGCTCGCGGTCCAGCTCCTCGCGAAGGCGCACAATGTGCTCCTCCAGCTGCCGTCGCGCGCCCCACACACACCACGAGAGTGCCGGTGGATTCACACAATTTTGTTAAACTTCAGAAAACTGGTGTCCTGCAAGGTGGGTGGGGTCATTATCTGTTATTACATTTCAGACCTGCTGCCAAATTATTGTGTAATTTGCAGCATATTATTTAATTAATGGAATATTTGGCCAATAGCAGTTACAATGCTCTCTCGCAATGGAGAACAGGGGAACATACAATCTCTATGCAGAAAAGCACCCGAGTTTGGAACCAAACCTCGGTATTTTTTTTCTGTAAGGCACAGGTGTTACTACTGTGCCACCCTACTGTCACGAGATGGCAGTACAGCAAGATGGCTCCTGCCACATCTTTGTGGACCTTTCGGTGTGTCTTTTCTCACTTCCTTTCCTTAATGACAAAAAGCGACTTCAAAATCACTGTAAGGCACTTCACCACAGCGCTCTATTCATGACAAAGCATTGGGCGGCGAGTCTGGGTGATTGTTCTGTGTGAAGCAGCTCTGTACCTGAACGAGAGTTGCGCCTGGTCAGGTTTTTATTCTCGGGACGGTTACAACTGTTATGTGTTTGAAACCAAAGAGCATTGTCGGAGTAAATCGATAGTTGTTGAGTTTAGTGGTGGCAAATAAATGTATTCCTTTGAAGATATGGATGCCCAGTGAACCAGGCTTCTTTTGTCACCCTATGTCAACCAAAGCAAGATAAAGGCATCCCTATAACCTAAGTTCATGGGAGTTGTTTGACTGAACTTCACCACGCTGGTAAGTGTGAGTGGGTGATGTGTGTGGTGGTGGGCATAGGAACGGTTCAAATATCACTCTCTACTGATATTAGTTGTGACCGGGTCACGAGCTCAGGTCGCCAGGAAACATGAGCCGGGCAGATTGAGTGGCGGTGTCGAAGCCATCTCAAACACGGTAACCCCCGTGCTAATGAGCAATGTACTATGTAATGCATAATAATAACGTGAAACAGAAACCGCGGGGAGAGTGGGAAGGTGGAGGGGCAAAGTAGTGGGGAAATCGGAGAGTGTTCTCAGAGAAATAGTCAATGACAGAAGAGAGAAGGAAGGTCTTGAGTCTGTACACAAAGTGAGGGAGGGAATCAGCAGTGTGGAAGAGTGTAAAGAAAATTCCAAACAGCAGAGAAGGAGCAGATGGTGGTCATTCACAAGAGTAGGGGGGCAAAATGGGCTTCTTAAACACAGCAGCCTGTTCGCTAGGCATGTAAACAAAAAGATGAAGGTGCAGCCCTGCATTTGCTTGCTCATGCCTCTACTGACGGAAGCACCTTCACAAGAGGGAACTCTAGAGGGTATTTGGTCTACTCTTCACCACTGACCTCTGCAGTGGGTGAGAAAAGATGGGAAAAATTGCTCGACATATCGGACAAGGACCAAATACAGGCTTATCGATCGTTGTCAGGAGCTGAGACCCCCTGAATGCATGTCGTCTTAAAGTGTTTTCTCAAGTTGAAAGTCGTTGGAGAAGCCACACTTTACCCCACCATGTGTTACCTGCTGGGTGGACAGTGGCGGCAGTGGGGGAGAATTTAATAAACTTGCACCATTGTTTAAAATTTTATGCCAGAAGATGGATTTGAATGGGTGACCATTGCCTCCCAGGTCCAGTGTGCTAAGCCATTACACCACAGAAGCTTCCTTGGCATATAACAATATATCTCTAGATTAAAATGTATTATTATGTTCACATAAGTCTATTAAATTTTGTGTTAAAGAATGAATAATTTAAATTTACATGGAATATAAATAATACTGTTGTTATTTTTCTTACTTAAAAAGTACGTGCAAATTACTAAATTGGGATTTAAACAGAGGAACATCACCCCTACTGTGAAACTCATACAACTGACCATGTATGTGAAATGCTGCAGCACCTTCCTTGTGCTATAAGAATGGCACAAGTACCAAATGTACTGAATTCACGATCACGAATTCACGATCATATCTCAGCTACGTGATGTGGGGTGTCCCTGTCCACCGCTGCTCGCCTGCTCCTTGCTCATCTCCTCCGTGGAGATCCCGTCCACCACCGTGGGGGTTTTTTTCGCCTTGGCCAAGCCCTTCTTCTTCTTCCCTCCTTTCTTCTTCCCCTTGGGAGGCTGCGAGATGCCGAGAAGGCACGCAGGCGCAAGCAACATTCAAACATCGAACACCACACTTACACGTTGAATGAGCCGGATGTGGGGAATCACACTCAGGGTTGGTGGTTCACACAAATTTATGAGACTCCCAAAATCGGTGGCCTGTGAGGTAGGTGGACCATGAGAAAGTGGGATCCTGCATCATCTGTGCAGACCTTTGCGTATTATTCCCTCGTATGGATGACTTTCTCCGGGTTTCCCCCCGCACACGCAAAACATTCCTGGCAGCAAATCTCAACTCTCGAAATCAGCTCGTACATCATCTCTCAAGCTGTACTCGGCGAGTGTGACGATTTTAACATCTCACTTCCTTTCCTAAATAACAAAACACAATGTTTAAGATCACGGTGAGGCGCTCCACGAGCCCTCTCTTGACGGCCCAGCACTGGGCGGTGACATGGCCCCAGAGTAGCGCCTGATGCAGAGGTTCGCAAATTGACACCGGCGGACCGCCCTGGTTAACACTACTACCAGTAAAGTACGGGTCCTCAGGTTCTTCTCTCGACATTTAGAAATATGCGTTTCGATTAATTAAAGTATTTGGCTGCTATAAATTCCCACATGATGAGCCACTTCGTTGGGCTATCATCTGTGGCCATGTCGCTTCTGAAAAATAATCAAATATCTCAGTGAGCTTTGCCTGGTAAAATAAAAACCAAATGTTTAGCATTATTTGTATTTTCGTGTTATTTGCTATAATTTGCACTCCTATCGTGTTTTTGTACTGTTTATTGTTGTAACGTTCTGACCCGTCCCAAGCGGACATTTGAACCTTATGGCGGGACCCCGGGGTTCCGAATAAACGGAAGTCAAAATCGCAATTAATTAATTTATTTTTGGCGACTCCGTCCCACATCGCACATAAACACCGCAACCCACCTGGCGCGGATCGTTCTATTATCATGTCGTGTCCAAGCGCAGCCAGGACGAGTGTGCAGAATAAACAAAACTTTGAAACTTTGATTAGCGCATCGTGTAGAGCTCATCGAGAGGGATAGATTGCTTATCGTTCGCCTTCAACAGACATAAAATGACTACGCAACGCAGTTTATGCGAGAGCCGAGGGCTTATGGGACCCCGGGGTCCTGCCAGAAGGTTCATTTGTAAAAGAGCTTCATAGCTCATCGGATTCCTCCAGGATAAATATTCTGATGCTGATCACTCCGCTTGCGAACACAGTATATTCGTGCCATTGAGTGCCACACTGCTTTCAGCAACATCGAACCGAGATGCTATAGAACATATAAGAGTTGTATATTACAATTAAATTAAACTGTACTTTATTCATATTTCCCCGGACACAGTAGGCGTCCGCTGAACCTTCCGCGCCCATAACCGGTGACGGAGCGCTCAGGAAATCCGTAAGGCTTTGAGGCCTAATGGCCCAAATTGCATTAAACACACGTTAAACGAAAATCCAATGGGAACACTTCACGAGCCGATTGTTACTCGTGCATGTGCGTCGTATTGTAAAGTACTTAGAGATAACCTCACCATCTCGTTGTGTGGATATTAAAGTCTTCGCTTAACGCGTTCAGAGACAGGGGCGTCTGCACGGAGTCGCTATGGTCGTTGCCGGGGCAACGCGCGCTGTGATTGTAACGCGAGATTTCGCGAGATCTCGCGAGAGCACGGCCACTCGCGAGATCTCGTCTGGAGGTTGAAGCAAGAGACGCAGCCCTGCTGTGTCCGACTTACCCCACTGCCAAAACCTCCCGGGAACTCCCTCTCGGTATTTGGCCTACTCTTCCACGCTGGCCAAACGTCTTGGAAGACCTTCCATTTTACCGAACAACACACTTTAAAATGTCCTGTTGTTGTCCATCCTACTGCGTATGTGTCCAGATCGTGCCGCCAATGTCCTTCCCATCACTGCCCGCTCGTCTTCTTCTTCGTTGGTTCCTCTTAGACGCTGCAGAATCCTTCTGTGGGCGATACATTTGGAGTGACTTCTTCTTTTAACGTCCAAGTCTCACAGGCATACAAAGTTGTTCCTGAACCCGCATGCTTTCCTCATTGTGGCCGATTGGCTTCGTTCTCCAGACGTGATCGAACCCTGCCATTCCTCCTTTCGCCTTCGCGAATCTCGCTGTTCTGTCCCCACACTCCACCTCACCGCACGCGACCTGACTGCCCATCACGGACCAACTGCCATGGACGCATCGACGCTGCTGGCAGGTCAACGGCGGATGGGGTTACAACTCGGCATCTCTCCACTGCTGGATCAAAGCCCTCCAGACATCATCACAAGCTCCCAAAGTCCTGCTGTGGCAATCCATCTCGCGTCTTGCATAAGAGCCGGTGTAAGACTCACCCCCGCCACAGCAAAGTGGAAAGTCCACCACAATAACTTGGCGTGTGTGAAGGGACTGCTGTGCTTACGAAGGTTGCTTTGTAAGTGGATTATCGCATTCGTTTTGTCAAGAATCCCCTAAGACCGAACAGCACTCCTATAACTCTGATCCTAATACAACTCGTACCCAAGGCCTGATCCTAATACAACTCGTACCCATGGCCTTATAGCATGAGGCGTCTTCATTTTAGGACAGATTCAGAATCATAATATTTATTTAAACTGGCAGAATGCGATTTACTTTAAAGATACTTTTTTACAGATGTATAGCAGGGGCGGGTAAGAAAGATACAACAAACAATACAAAACACGATAGGAGTGCAAAGTACAGGCAAGGTAAACAAATCACCCAAAGATAAACAAATAAAACTGAACCATCTCCATCCTACCATGTAAAGTCCACTGACAGACACATCCTGCACCAGACGGTCAGTCGCATCCTTATCACTCATCTATCGCTGCTGCCACTACCACTGTGGTCCATGTAAACTTCACGCATTGATTCATCCACCCACGCTGAGGACTCAGCTCTACCAGGCCGTCGCTGTGTCGTCTCATCCACCAGACCAGGGTTCGGCAACCAAAATAACAACAAGAGCCTTTTTTTCTTTCCGAAATCGGTAAAAAGTTCAATGCATGTGAACACGAGACGGTCCTTAATAAATAACGTCAAGAAGCAGTCGTTAAAGAGCCGCAAGCGGCTCCGGAGCCGCAGGTTGCCGACACCTGCGCCAGACTGACAACGGTGTTGTGACCTCCAGACACGAAGTCAGAACAACTCACCCACGCACCCCCTCACGCAACCACTCACCCACCCACTCGCTCACCCACCCGCTCACCCACCCGCTCACCCACCCGCTCACCCACCCGCTCACCCACCCACTCACACACCCACTCACTCATTCACCCACCCACTCGCTCACCCACCCACTCACCCACCCGCTCACCTACCCATTCACCCACTCACACATCCACTCACTCATTCACCCACCCACTCGCTCACCCACCCGCTCACCCACCCGCTCACCCACCCACTCACCCGCTCACCCACCCGCTCACCCACCCACTCACTCATTCACCCACCCACTCACCCACCCACCCACCCACTCACTCACCCACTCACCCACCCACTCCCCCACTCACGCACCCACCCACCTACCCACTCACCCACCCACTCTGGAATTCCCGTCCCCTATCTTCACCACCATCGTCTCTTTTGCCGAGCTCGTTAATTGTAATCTCACCGCTCAATTCAAGAAACGTGTTAACCCCGAGCGATTACAACTATTGATGGTGCTGTTTGTTGCTGGCCGGTTCGTATTTTTGAAGACTTTGGGTCTGTACTCAGCAAGTGTGGTTCACATAAGGTGCTGTCCGTGGTGCTGAAGTGATCCCAGCTCTCCTTTCCACGCGTAGCACGATACTGGGCAGCCTCGGAGTAATCAATCCATAGGACATTCACAATTGATTATACACAAAGTGGTTCGTGTTCTTACTTTATCGACCCTGGAGGGAGGGATGATGGGCTGAGTCAACCACCTCCCGCCCGCTCGCTCTGCCGAGGGGTCACCAGACCGGTGAAGTGGACACCACGCGGGGTGGTGTCACAGACAATATCACAGCCGCCGTTTACCACGAAGTGGCGGTGACGTTACAACGGCGCTTGTGCCAGGCTAGGTGCACTGTAAGACTACGTAAAGTGTCGAAAGTCCGCTGGCAGGAGGCCACGGAACAGACCCAGGTGCCATGGGTTGACTGACTGAGATGCACCACCTCCGCTCGTTGTAGCGAGCGTCGCTCATCTGCCCCCTCGGTGTTACTGGGGGCGACTGTCACAGCCACACACAGACAGACGCGCGCGTGGCATTGGCTCGCCAGCCGCCGTGGCCACACCACGTGCACCCCCCACAATATCACAATCGCCGTCCTTGTGGAGAACGCAGCGAACATTGTTGGGAAACTCAGCTCCGTCGCACATCTGCCCCTCCACAGGAGAGGACGACATTCTTCACAGAACCCATTTTTTTATGTCGAGGGATAGGTATGGGAATCATGCGTATTGCCTGATTATAAACACGGAAGTATTGAGCTGCCACGCGCGTCCCTGTCACATCTCCCTTAGCATTCAACGCACAGCGAACTATTGCATTGCCCTTCCGCGCAAAACCGAGGTGCGAATGGTCGGGTCCGGATCATAGGGTGATGCTACTGATTGGACGAGTCCATTGCACTTTGTTGGGGGGTGGTACAAATAAATTGTGTACAGCCTTATAGATTAGCGACAACAGTAGCATTCATAAGAGGCGCTTGTATGTGCACTTTCGTGCGTGCATGTGTGTGTGTACTGGGGAGACAACGACGGCCATGCGTGGCACAAAGACGGTCAGACGTGCATCGTCCCGGCCTTCATAGGTGCTCGCTAACAGCACTTGCTCCAACAGCCCCATGTGTGCTGTACGGGCGATCTTTGTCTTTGTGCGCGCGCGTGTTTGTGTGTCCTGGGGAGACAGAGGCGGCCGGGCGTGATGCTGCACGTGTTTGTGTGCGTGTGATGCCCGATTATAGTCATTGGTTTAATGGGAGAGCGCTCTCACACACGCACGCGCGTGTGTGTGTGTGATACGTGTGATTTGCCGTGCATAGATCGACTTAGCTTCCAATGAGTACCTGGTGCGGTGTATAGTAAACATCGCCACTCGGGAGACAAAGGCGGCCGGGCGTGGTGCTGACCACCCACTCCCTCGTATACCGTGCCGGCCTTCAAAGGTGCTTCTCGCTCGAAGCACTTGCCCCAACAGTTTGTTGAGGCTATACGGGGACTATTTGTCTCTTGGTGCACCGTGCATAGCGCACGCACACGCGTGTGTGCATGGGGGCGTCATCGAAGCGAGGCACGGGCCAGTGAAGCTCTGGGCCGCGAGGTGACGAGGAGATGACGGGGAGGAGGAGGCGACCATACGGGACTGGGTGTGAGCGCAGCACAGCTCAGCCTCCTGGGACCTCTGAGCGGAGCTGGTGACCGGGAGACCTGGGACAGGGGACACGTGGGCACCTGGCGACATGGATGAGGCTCTTAGCTCAGGTAACACGTGTCTGTGCGTGTCTTTGTCTTTGTGTCTTTGTATATATAGGTGCTCCCTAACGGTACTTGTCCCAACAGTCTGTTAAGGCTATACGGGGGATCTTTGTATATATGCAGTAGCTAGCGCGCTGTGCTCCGAACCCGGCGACCCCAGTTCGATTCCTGCTCACGGACAGTGACGGAATCTCAACCGCTGCTGATCCTCCATTAGGTCGACTCAGACTTAAAATGTGTACCTGGTGCGGTGTGTAGATATCAGCATTGGGGATACAAAGGCGGCTGGGCGTGGTTTTAGCGACATACCCCTTTATGTACCGTGCTGGCCTTGGCACTTGCCAACAGCACTTGCCTCCACAGTCTATTGAAGGCGAGACGGGTTACATGTGTCTCTGTCTCTCTCGTGTGGTCGGGGGGTAGCGTGTGGCGGTTCGCGTGCAGCGATACGAAACCTGCGACCCGAGTTCGATTCCCGCACACGGCCAACAACACCAGTGACGATTATTTGAACCGGTCCTAAGTGCTCCCTTAGGTCGACTCAGCAGTTTAGGCATCGCCACTGGCGAGACAAAGGCGATCGGGAGTAGTGCTGGCCACCCACACTCTCGTGTGCTTTGTCAGCCTTCATAGGTGCTTGTGGACAGCACTTGCCCCAAAAGTCTGTTGAGCTATTCGGGGATCTTTGTTTGGTCTGTGCGTGTGCCCTGTGCTCTGTTATGTCCTGCTATTCAAATTAGTATCGCCGCGCAGAGACTGCGGTGGAAATTCCACATTCCTACAACGGGGGTGAGTCTCTCCATCATTGGACAACCGCTGTTGGCTTCCTTCACAAAAGCGGCACTCGATTTTTATCGACCCTGGAGGGACGATGGGGTCGATATATACTGCCGGTCAGGCAGGGAACTCGCCACCTTACCAACTGACCCACGGGGTTGACCCACGGGCCGCTCGGAAGCTCTCGGGATGGAGGAGGAGCCGGGGGTGGCGACGATTCACGCGGGGAGCGCCACGGGGGGAGCCTGGCTCGTGGCGTGAACCGGACCGGTCCTCGAGGTGATGGTTGCGTGCGTGGTGTGAATCGCGGCTTCCAGACGAACTCCTCACCAATGTCGATAATTAACCACGACTTTTCTGTCTGGTGACGCTGGTGCGCACGCACACTCTCCAAACAAAAACCCAACGCGATCGTCAATGCCATCACCCCGTGTGCGTGGCTTCAGAAAGTAACATGCAATAGGCGACGTATTGGGCAATGGCCCCTTCTTCATAGCAAATACACGAAGGGCCATTGCCCGAAACGTCGGTGTTATTGACGAATGTGAGTGGAGTTGAATGAGCACTGCTGCGCAGTGCCGGTCACTCGCTCAACACGAATCGTTCGCTGCCCTCTGGCTGTGTTCATGAAGCAGCGGCGACGAGTCATCCCCACTGCGAGCCACGGTCACTCCACTGCTGGATAAAGCCTCCCCGCTACTTCCTACGACCCCCTACGGTGCAACGATCCACTGTGCACCTGCTCTGCACACGTGCTGGTTTCATTACTCCGTCTCCTGGGTGGACGACCTTGGCTCTATTTGACATCACCGATGAATTATCATTTGCGAAATCACATTTGTAATTAAATAAATGTTTACGTTTGGATGGATTCATACAACCCGTCGTGCTTGTTTGGAGAGCTGAGCATCGTCGCTTTACTCGAGAATGAAGTGGATCTCACGTAACTATTTATGAGATCCATTCAGCTGTCTAATTACCCAGACCAAACCCTGCGTCTCCTCGCGTTGCCAACACGAATGATGCTGTGTGATGATAATCGCGTGTTGGTGTGGGGAGAGATAGAGGGGACGGGGGGGTGGGATGGAGAGTAGCGCGGTGCTCATGTCACAGCGCCGGACTTTCACGGAGCTTTAGGAACAGAAGCTGCCGTGTGACCTTGAGTTTATATTGCGCGTGCAGAGGATGCGCGAGTAATCGTACAGACGGAGAGAGAAAGGGCCGCAGAGACACAGGGAGACAGACAGACACGGGGAGAGACAGGGAGACAGACGCAGAGAGGGATGCAATGAGAGAGACACACAGACACACGCACAGCTCTGCTCCTGACTCCCCGCAATTCCCGTCGCTCTGAGTCTCCACTCGGAGAGACGGGAGACGCGGATAAAAGAGGAAGCGCCCGGGGAGAGAGACGCGGGCAGACGCGGGGGAGGGTAGCAAGAGAGCGAGAGAGAGCGAAAGAGAGAAAGCGAGAGAGGAGAGCGAGAGAGAAATAGTTTGAGTTTAAACCACTTTTATTGCTGCCAGCAGCAAAAGCACTGGAGCCGATTTCGATACAAGTCCTATCGAATACAGCATCACGTGTGCACGTCACAAACACTATCCGCGGCACATGCACTGCACGTGACACGCGCAACACAAACAGCACGTCGTTGCACACGCCACGCGGAACAAATAAGCTCATTAAAAGTTAAATTAAGAATGACGTTTGCACTGGTGCAGAGGGCTTGACCGGCCCTCCGCCATTCAAAAAAACACGTGGGTGTCCCCGACATTGGAGTGGTACGCGTGCACCAGCTGGAGCCATGCATTGAGCAGGCCTCTCAACATTGGCACCACAGAACAGCTGTCAGTGCCGCCTTGCAGAATATATTTTTCCTGGTCTTGTATACTGCCATCTTTGCTTGGGCACAGACGAAGTTTACAAGATCATGGCGCTTATTTGGCAGGTAAGTCACCCCTTATGTGAAACTGCTTTTGTAAAAAGGCACCTCCAGTCTCCTGAAAATGGACCCCAAAAACCGTAACATTGGGGTTGAGCCGCGGACACCCAAGTACTGGTTGGGCAGATTTTCCCTGGCTCTGCAGAATGCACAAGAGTCTGGTGCCCCTGGGGAGATTCGGCTGAGCCACCTCGGGAGGCTTGTACATCTACTGCAACTGGGGGGAGGGGGGGGGAACCTTAATTATGCGAGATAAATTATCTCTCCATTTTGTGTCTGGTCGGTTCGCCACGTCCTAAAAAATGCGGCACCTTCACGCAGCACGTTTAGAGCGCTATCTTCACGGTGCTCTTCAGGCACATGTCCCTGCAGCCTCCGAGCTTCAATTGCTTCCCAGAGTCATTGCGCCCAGGAGGCTGAGTGCAGGAGAAGCGCAACTCTGGGAAAAAGGATGGGTGCCCGCCACTGTCCTCCAGCGCCTCTTGCATGGCTATGAGCATTCTAGATTTGAAGCTTTCGTGACTGCAAGGATTCATACTTTGTTTTTTTTTTGTAAAGTCACGTAGGCTATGAGCATGTCCCGCAGCAGCTTCTCCCCGGTAAGCATGGAGCAGAGTCTTGCAGTGTTGGCAATCTCAGCTGCGGTCTTCCATTTAGACGTGTGGCTCTTCACTCGTCTAAGTGGAGAGGCCATTGTAGAACAAGGCCTCATTCAAGGAATGTTTGAGGTCATAGTGCGTGCACACCATGCTACACTCAAAGCTCCGCAACGCGTCCAAAAGGCTCTGGTAATAACTTGGCAGCCTCGTGTAGCTGATTTTCATGAGACTGGATGTGCCTGTGTACTCCAGCCTAATGTGAGAGCTAAATGCCTGGCCGAAGCCAAAAGACGCCAGCAGTTTACCCATTCTATCAAAGACCTTCTCTTGATTCAAGAAGAGGTGGCCTGTGTTCATGTCGTGCCTTTCTGCAAGGACATATCTCTGACCATATTGATGTTATCATGTATGCACCGGGCAACAATACGACTGTTCAGGCTGGAGCAGCTGACCCAACACCATCTTGAGACGGTTGGCCAGCACCTTGGAGAATATTTTGTAATTGGCGCACAAGAGGGACACGGGTTTGCCAGTTTTCAATGAGGCGCAGACGCCCCTCTTAGGCATCAGGGTAACCACCGCTCCCCGACAGCTCTGCGGGGGGTTGACCCTTCCGCAGGCTCTCTGTCAACAACTCCAGTAGGCAGGGGCCCCACGCTTCCTGAAGGCGGACTGCAGAAAATGGTGGATCTCCTCGGGTGAATATTCACGATCGCCCTTGATTTGTGAGAAACTCATCTCACTCACGTTGTCGTCTACATCGGATTCTGACAACTTGTCATCAGAGTCCTCGTACACAATCGATTGTGGCTCGGTAGACTCCTCTTCTGCCGACGCAAACGCCAGGGCCTTCCCGAATCGGGATGCCTCGCCTCTACCGAGGCTCTATAGCTACCAGCTCGGGTGAGGTGAACTGGCTGGCACCCTCCAGCAACGTGGCACCGTCGGATGCTGCGCAGGCCTGTAGCCCTTCTTGCTCGGAGGTAACCGATGCAGCACCTGCTGGTCGTGCCTCTCCCACCACACCTACCCCCCCTAGGCCGCCATCGACCGCACTTGCTTGCATCGCTTCCCCCTCAGAGCCGTCTAAGACGGCGTCCCACTGGGGGCCGTTCCTCGGCCTGCACTGCGTCTGGTGGGTCGGGCTCATCGCCCGCGGTGGCTGCACGCTTGGGCCTAGTGGCAGGCGTGCCCTCCTCCGGCAAGGCCACCCTTTGCCCGACGTTTTCGCGACTCGAGGGTGGTTAAACCGTCCTCGCTTTCGGTAGACGGCTTGGCGCGGATGGCCACCGAGTCAGTGACCTACTGTTGCTGCTTTTGCACCGTGTCTGGGACAAGCTTTTCAGCTTTCTCTTTTGCCTTGGCCGGGCGGTTTCTCCGGGCATGGCCGACAGCACCGCACCTGAAGCACCGCTGCACCTCGGTCGACGCGTCACAGTGTGGACGTGCCCGTCCACCGTGTACTTGAGGTTCACGTCCAGTTCGGCATTGTGGTCAAACAAGATCATGAACGTTTAGCGCTGAAAGGACATTACGTGCGCCAACTTCTGCTGCCGTCCCTGCAAGGGCATCACGATGATGTGGAAGACGATCTTCCCAAACCGCTGGAGATCTCGTTGCAGACCGTTGTTTTTGAGGTAGGGTGTGGCGTTTGAGAGGGGGAAGCCAGAGGGGAGCACCAGGGGCGTGCGGTCAGGGGAGGCAGAGCCTCACCTGTCATACTCCAATGAAAATATTTGTTTCGAAAAGTAAATAATAAAATACATATTAAGATTTTCCCACTGATCTGTGTTATAAATGTAATTTCTATATGATTCCAATAATTTTTTATAGTCAAAATCGCCAAATTTGCGGAGCTTCACTGCAAATACAGGAAGTGCCGAGAGGTGAGGCAGCGACGTGCTCAGCCTCCCCTCTGATTGTGCAACCCCTCAGAAACTGGATGGAGCGCGGGCAATAAGCGTGTGCCTGTTACTATCTCTCTGTATGTCACCAATGTAATGTCTGTAGATCCCTTTATTACATCTCCTCGCCTTCCTTAGTCCAGGTAACTTACTTCACGTGTATAAAGATATTTAGGCTCGATGGTCTCGTCATAAAACTGCAATGAAAAAGCACCAGGGGAGGCAGCTATAACATCTGCCTCACTGAGGGAGACGTGTCTGACACGCCCCCCTCAGTGAAGACACGCCCCCTCAGTGAGGACACGCCCCCCTCAGTGAGGCAGCTATCACATCTGCCTCACTGAGGGGGCGTGTCTTGAGCCCACGTAATTGACGCTCGCTCTTCCTCCACGTCAGCCAGCTCTAGCAAAAAATGTCCAGCGGCTGCAAAAATGGAAAACGTTATATCCAACCTTAACATTTTCTCAAAATTGGACTTTCAATGAAAAAGGGGAGTGATAAACAATGGAAGACCAATGCCTAAGCTTAAGGACCTACTTAAAACGAAGGGACATAAATTAACACGGTCGTTTCAAATGGAGTGGTACCAACGAAACGACTGGCTGTGTGGCTGTGCTACGAAGAATCACCTTCACGGCTTCCCCTGCCTTCTGTTCCCCACTACCGACAACGTTTGGACTAACGCGGGATTCTGTGACTTGAAAAATCTACCAAGGAGCCTCAACAAACATGAAAAATAGACAACTCACATTTAAAGCCAAATTGTTTTAAAAACTTTGGAGTTTCAAGGATAGATCTGGCTTTGAATGAACAGCGGAGATTAAATATCAGCATCCACAATGCTAAGGTAAAGGAAAACCGTGAGGTTTTAAAAGACCTTATTAATGCGACCTGCTTCCTAGCAAAACAGGAATTAGCATGTCGTGGTAACGATGGGAGTGCAAGCTCTTCTAATCGTGGCAACTATGTGGAGCTATTACATGCTTTTGCTGAGAAAGATTAAAAGTTAGCTAGACATTTGGAGACATCCAGTGTTTTCTGGCTAATCAAACAGAATACAGAACGATTTCATCAAAGCAGTCGGTGATGTAATTAGAAATGATATCAAAGAGGAGATTAATGCAGCCCCATTTGTTGCAGTCGAAGTGGACGAGACAACGGATGTCACAAACAAAGCCCAGGCCTCTGTAACGTTGCGTTATGTGGCTAGAAGTGAGGTGACTTGTGAGGTGAGGGACGTGTTCTTGGGATTTGATGATGTCAGTGATGACAGACAAGCACCGGCTATTGCTGATTATGTTTTGGGAGTGTTGGGGAAATACAATTGCGTTGAAAAGCTGGTAGCTCAGACTTATGACGGAGCCTCTGTGATGGCATCAGATCTCAGTGGGATGCAGGCCAAGATTCAAGACAGCTACCTGAAGCCACGTTGACCCATTGTGATGCACACAAATTGAACCTGGTGCTCTCGCATTCAGCAACATGTATGCCCGAGTGTAACACTTTTTTTAAACAGTTGAGGGACCTGCGACGTTTTTCAATGAGTCGACCAAGCGCACCCACCTACTGGACGATGTTGTGAAGCGACGTTGACCAAGAGCAGCGCCCACGAGATGGAGCTCAAATTCTAGACTAGTTCAGACGATCAGCATGTACCAATCTGATCTGCGTGCTGTGTTCTGGATTATGAGCGAAAATCCCGATGGTTTGGACAATGACACCCTGATGATGGCCGCCGAATATGATCTCTGGCTGTCAAAAGCATCAACCTGCTTCTTCATAATGGCATGAGGGCATTTTCAATGAAACCGATGCACTCTTTTGTGTGCTTCAGAATAGAGTAACGGACATTGGATTCTGCTGTGCGCGAATCCGCGACACAATGGGAGTTGTGGAACAACAGAGACAAGAGTTTGGCAGGTTCTATGATCGATTCGAGCAGACATGCGTCACACTTGGCCTGACAGACAATGCCCCAGGTAAACAGCCGATCAGTGAAGAGAGGAAAATAATATTTCATAACATTCTGGACAATATCAATGTTCAAATGAAAGCTGGATTTGATCATTTCGTTTAGCTAACTTTCCTTGGTTTGGTTGATTGCACTAAATTTTATGAAATGTCACAACATTTCGATGACACCAAACTGCAGAGCCTATCAAAATATGCAAGGTACTTTGACTTTGTTAGATTAAAGGCTGACCTTATCGGATTGTATAGTTCACAAATGGTGAGGAACGAATGCAAATCACCCAGACAGCTCGTCAGCTTTTTGGCCCAGAACGATCTGATGCAGACGGTTCCCGAGGCGACAAAGTTACTCCAGCTGCTGGTGCTCACTATGCCAGCTACAACAGCGTACGTTTAAAGGTCGTTCTCTGCTTTGAAACGACTCAAAACATACATTTGGAATAGGACTGACCAAGGACGACTTTCATCCCTGGAAATCATCTCTATTGAGACGGAGAGACTTTTAAAACTAAAATAGAATAAAGAGGACTTCTACAACAAAGTCACTGACATATTTGTCCAGAAGGCTAGGCGAATGGACTTCATTTACAAGGTAAGACCATGCAATATATATTTTAATTTGTGTTGAATGAGTATGAATAGTGGAATTGCATTCGCCTATACAACGTGAATCGAATACGTAACTTGCCTGTATGCGTGTGTTGTAAAAGAATGCTGATATGAAATTAATCATACGGCCGCCTAACCAATCGTCATTGTGCAACCTGCCAATTGAATGGTGAATTTAAGCTACCTCTATCGGCTTCACATCTGTGTGAATCTGGCTTTGATACGAGCCAATGCTTCCCCAACCATTGACCTGACCGCACGTCACTGGAGTGCAATGCACAAACAAGCCTCTCCCTTGATGTTTAAGACCGCCTCCACGACGCGCGCCACTTGTTGAGCCCAGAACAAGGCCACGGCTCGTGCGCGAGTCGGGGAGACCGCTTGCAAGATCCACACAGCCCCCAGCAGCCACAGACACGTCCTCCACACTGACCTCCACTGGGGGAAAGCGCATGAGGCCATTCTGCCAAGTGAGAGCCTCTTACTTATCGTTGCTGTGCCGTTATTGATAGAGGAACAGCACCAGCAAAACAAAAGTGATTAGAAAAATAGATTAAAATAAAAAAATGAAACATTTGTTTTGTAAGAAGAGGGGGGTGATAGGGAGAGTGAGGCTCGTTAACACGAGCAGGCCAGCAGCGTGGCGAGTGCCGGAGGGACAGAAAAGGCACCAGAATAAGAAGTTGTTACGCGCAGTAGCCACCAACCATCAACCACCACCAACCACCATCACCACCACCACCCAAGACCAACCACCACCAACCACTACCACCCACCATCCAACATCAACCACCACCATCAACCACCACCACCAACCACTATCACCACCACCACCACCACCACCCAAGACCAACCACCACCAACCACTACCACCCACCATCCAACATCAACCACCACCAACAACCACCACCGCCCTGTGTTTAACGAGCACACTGCAGATCATCTCACTTCTCTCTCTGCTTCTTCCCTCGCACTCCTCCACTGTGGAATCCCCTCTCCCATCACCACAACCACCACCACCATCGTCTCTTCTCCCCCAGCTCTCACAACAAGAGGCTCTCTCAATTCGAGAGGCGAGTTGAGCTCTTGCCCATTACAACTTTGGTAGTGCTGGCGTGTTGCTGGCGTATTGGAGTGTTGTTGGAGTGTTGTTGGAGTGTTGCTGGAGTGTTGCTGGCGTGCTGCTGGCGTGTTGTTGGAGTGCTGCTGGCGTGTTGTTGGAGTGTTGTTGGAGTGCTGCTGGCGTGTTGTTGGAGTGTTGCTGGAGTGTTGCTGGCGTGTTGTTGGAGTGTTGCTGGAGTGTTGCTGGAGTGTTGTTGGAGTGTTGCTGGAGTGTTGCTGGAGTGTTGCTGGCGTGTTGGAGTGTTGCTGGAGTGTTGTTGGAGTGTTGCTGGAGTGTTGCTGGAGTGTTGTTGGCGTGTTGCTGGAGTGTTGCTGGAGTGCTGCTGGCGTGTTGTTGGAGTGTTTCTGGAGTGTTGCTGGAGTGTTGTTGGAGTGCTGCTGGAGTGTTGCTGGAGTGTTGCTGGAGTGTTGCTGGAGTGCTGCTGGAGTGTTGTTGGAGTGTTGTTGGAGTGTTGCTGGAGTGTTGCTGGAGTGTTGCTGGAGTGCTGCTGGAGTGTTGTTGGAGTGTTGCTGGAGTGTTGTTGGAGTGTTGCTGGCGAGTTGCTGGAGTGTTGCTGGCGAGTTGGTGGCGAGTTGCTGGAGTGCTGACGTTTTGGGGTCTTCGGCGCCATTCTGAGTGGAGGTTGTAGGAGTTTCTCTCTCTCCCCCTGTTCTGCACGGGTTTCCTCCAGGACCTTCGCTTTCCTCCTCCCATAGCTAAACCCACATACACTGTGGAACTGGTATCGGCCAAACCCACATCGCAGTGCTGAGAACTCACCGGGCTAAGTACTCAATTGGGATCACAGCGGAGCAGCAACATCGCCTCCTGCTGAGAAAACTCCTGAAAAGGAGCCAAGAGACTCGGTGAGGCTATCCTGACCAAACCAAGCGGAATGTTCATAATGATTCTGCAACAGTGAATCACTGTGGACGGGAGTCGGATGCGCGAGTGCCGAGGTTTCCTCTCCCATGCTGGGTAGACCTTCTTTGACCTCTCCCAGCAGGTGACCGTGACCTCGACGTGGTGGCCGCCGCGGTCACCTGCGAGTCGAAGGCCGCCAAGGCACAGGAGCGGCAGCGATTCCTCTTCTTCGAGGAGTCTTGCCACCAGCCGCACGAGGCGGACAACTTCCCCTCTCCGGGGCTGCTGCAAGTCGTCGGACAAAGAGGTGAGAGCCGTGGGGGTGGTGCGGCATTCAGTCGGGTGGGGCCCCCCAATATTGTGAGCGGCCTCTCGCACGGTGGCACCTCGAGGCTTTGGTTGCAAATCGCGGCCTCCTCTTTGCCATAACCGCATCACGTCGTTATGAACATTTAACGCTGTCGGGAGCGCGCCGTCTTGGTTAAATTCAGCCACTGCAGCTCTGCTCGTCTTACCTGGTGACACCGTGACGATGACGATGACAACATATAAACAAACATGCGACGCGCAATTTGTGGAAGCCCAACGTTACCGCTCTAATTGAACAATAATACAACGCTGAACGTAAATGAAAGCCTTTCATTAAAACAAAAAACAATGTAAACCGCGTTTGAATTAAACGGAAGGGGGTACCCCGAGTGTGCCTCACGCTCGCGACGCGACTGAGCAGCGGCCACTCCATTCCAGCAGACTCCAATCTGCGAACGGGGCGGAACTCCAGCACAGCAGCGATACGACTCGCGCAGAGCATGGCACGTACAGGCGCTCTCAGCCTTGTCCAGACCAGCAGCGCAACAGAACTGCGCGCGTGCGGCCGTGTTGTTGAAGAGGACCACCGCCACCCCACCAGCAGCGCACAGAGATGAGGGTGAGGCCGCCGAACAGGCGGCAGTGAACCACGTGACAGCGGCAAACACGACCGCCTGTGCCGTGCCGATGAGTCCGAGCGAGGGCGAAACCAGTAGTGGGCGATGGAGGCGGTCCGGCGTCCGGAAGCCGTTGTTGGTGCAGGACGGCAAATAGGCGCTCGCAAACCTCGCTCTCAACGCCGCGCGTGGGCAATACCAACACGGCAGTCAGTGAGCATCATCAAGACCGGCACAACTTGTGACCGTGAATGTCGAGTTATCATTCGGGCATTATGATCATTCATTTCAAGTGCATTCTCCCACTCTATCGCACTCCATCTTTGTTAGCTTCTCGATTTACCAGCCATGGAGGAGGACCATTGCCCGTAACGTTGCCCATTGTGAATGGTTCCTTTTCGGGCAGCAGCGTGAGCGCCGCGCTATGAACTTAGCCACCCGAGTTCGATTCCTGCTCAACACCATCACTCAACACTGCTCTAGAGGAGCTGTGCACCCCTAGCTGCCACTGCTGTTCAGTGGCCTTAAATCAAATGTTTCGCTCCGGATGAACCCTGCAAAGTATGATCTTGAGTTTTGATGATAGTGTTGATCTTTAAAGGTGCATTGAAATATTTTGATACTCCTGCTGTTATGGAGTGACTCATGCTGCCATCTGTGGCTGCAAAGTTTGGTCGTACATGTTATGTATATCGTTTATTGTTAAATTTTAATCACAGTTCCTATGATCACTGTTACGTTGTTTTTATAGCTTTATTTTGGTGATTTCGAAAAGTTTTGGTTTAGCCATATGTGTTTGTTGTAGTACAGAGTTAGACTGATAACTTTAATCTAAATTGTCTTATGGTTGTTATTGTTTGACTTGCATCCCACTGGGATTTTTGCACACAGCATTGATATACGGTGCTTTTTCTGGAAGACTTTGCTGTTTTTTCCTGGATTTTTATGTTGCGCGTAGTCACTTTAAGATGTTTCTTGTTCATGTTTTTGTTTGTTGTGGTTGCACCCGAGTCAAGAGCCGGATGGCTCAGAGCTATACCTAATAAATGAAACTGAAAACAACCAGTGACGATTATCTGAATCGGTCCTGGGCATCGCCTTGGTCGACTCAGCCTCAAATGAGTACCTGGTGCCACGTGTAAAACATCGCCACTGGGGAGACGAAGGCGGCCGGGGCGTGGTGCTGGCCAGGCACTCCCTCGTGTGCCGTGGCTGCGTTTCATCGTTGCTGCTCGCTAACAGCACTTGCCCCTACAGTCCGTTAAAGGCCACACGGGGGACCTTTGTGTGCGTGTCGCGCAGAGCCCATTGGCAGCATGTCCTCCATGGAGGTGAACGTGGATGCGCTGGAGCTGCTCGACGTCTCCGACCAAGAGGTGTTCGCCGGCTCGGGCGGAGAGGACAACACCGAGGCCTCGCCCGTGCCCGGTGGGGAGGCTCTCGTGGCGTGACGCGGCGTATGCGGCCTGGGCACAGTGCGGTGACGTGTGGAGTTCATTGTATGGCTGTGGCGTTGTGCGGCGCGGCGCGGCCCTGGCGCGGCGCGGCCCTGGCGCGGCGCGGCCCTGGCGCGGCGCGGCGCGGCCCGGCCCTGGCGCGGCGCGGCCCTGGCGCGGCGCGGCCCTGGCGCGGCGCGGCCCTGGCGCGGCGCGGCCCTGGCACGGCGCGGCCCTGGCGCGGCGCGGCCCTGGCGCGGCGCGGCCCTGGCGCGGCGCGGCCCTGGCGCGGCGCGGCCCTGGCGCGGCGCGGCGCGGCGCGGCCCTGGCGCGGCGCGGCACGGCCCTGGCGTGTCCGTGGCGCGGCGCGACCCGTGGTGTTGCGTGCGTCTGGTGTGGTGCGCCGCGCCTGTGGTGTGCCCGTGCTGTCATGCGGCGTTCCAGCGTTGCAGCGTAACCCGTGATACGGTGTGCCCGTGCGGTGCGGCGTGCCGGGCTGCGACCACGCCACCCGCAGAGGAGGAGCTGTGCCTGGCGGTGCCCGCGCTCCCCGGAGCGGCCCCGCGCTCCCCGGGCCCAGCGGCGTCCGGGCCCAGCGGCGGCGCGGCCATCGAGCGGGCGCAGCCGCCCCGCACGGACGCCGGCAGCGAGGAGGGCGACACCAGCGAGGAGGGCGACACCGGCAAGGAACAGCTGGCGGCCTAACTCCGGAGAAAATCCAGAAACAATGGCACCCTCCTCCCTGCCAGACTCCCCGAGTTCCTATATCGGGGCTCATCTCCTGTTTTCCAGCCCTGCAGAGCCAGTGCAAATATTCCACATTAACATGACGGGGGCGAGTCCATCCAAAGGACTCAAGCACTTGCTGCCGACTTCCCGCCACGTAAAGTGGCATTCAATATCAATGCGACGTGGACTTACGAACCGGAATCTGGCGGCCTTAGCCGTGTACACGGAAACACCACCACCACCATCAAACAGCACGTGTCCAGGCGTGGGCAGGGGCGATGGCAATGACCTCGACTCCGTCTGTGCGGAGCTGCCAGCGGTGTCCACGCGTGCACTGCGCGTGGAGTGGATGGGGGGTCCCTCCAGCACGCCGCTCGGCCACGGAGCGAGACGGTGGCCCCCGTGGCGAGGGGGGCTTGGAACCCCGACTCGAGCCGGCTCACGCCTCCTCTGTCCCATACCCGTCGCCTGCACGTTCAAACAATGTAAAGGTCCTTCCGTACACATCCCAGCTGATCAGGCACACGGTCTTACGCATCACGTCAGCAGCGTTGGTTGAGTGCAAGCAAAAAGTCAGTGTCCCGTCAGCACTCGCGCGTGGAGAAGCCGTGCGTAGCGCGGGACCCCTCTTGACCATGAGCCTCGAGACTGGGCGAGGCTGCTGGGTACACCACGGGGCACGCGGAGGGGGGGCGAGGGGGATAGAGGGGGTGGGGGGGGGTGGGGGATTGGGGGGTGGATTAAGGGAGGGGGGGGGGGCGCAGCAATGACCAGGAGGCGCCCAGAGGTAAAAAAAAACCCAAAAACTTTATTTGGAAAATTCAATTGAACGCAACTCTCGCGGTTAAAATGCACGAAAAACAATTACACTTAAAACGTCTACTTAATAAAAACCTCATCATCATCGTCGTCACCATCGTCGTCGTCACCATCATCCTCCGAGAAACCACAAATCAGAAAATAAATAAATAAAACCGCGCGTTGACACTTCCTAAAACAGAGAGCGGGGAAGAGGCACAGCGAGCGGGGAACAGGAACGCAGTGGAAGTTGGTGCGGGGGACGAGGGGAATGGAGCGCAGCGACTGAAGCGAGCCTCCCAGACGGGGAAACCACGTGACTCTCGCGCGACTTCCACGCTGGCGCCGGCACAGCGGCCGCTCCCCCCCCCCCCCCCCGCGAGGCCCCCACGTGAATTTATTTACCGTGGTCGCCCCCCCCCCCGACCCCCCAAAATCCGTCGCGCCTGTTGCGTTGTCGCGTCACGGAGAATCCCTAGGGAACTCTCGCGGTCTGGAGAGCGGCCCTTGGAAGCGGATGTCAGGGAGCGACCCCCTGGGGATCCGTTTCAAAGCGCGCGCACAGGGCAGGGCTGCCGTGGTGAGCGATGTTCGTCACGCCGCGCTTCGAGTGGCAGATTTGTGTCAGAAAGACGCCTCTTGTTTCAGCAACAAAAATAAAATTGACGTGACACGAGACCAAGCCAATTGCACAGATTCACTGAAGAGGCGACTATCGAGAGCGACCTAAGCCAAGGTAGCATCGTGGCCTGTCGACTTTTAAACGAATCCCCCTTTTAACCCTGACGTCGGTTTCCGCAGAGATAATCAGACTTTCAACAAGCCTCGAGGAAAAGTAGTCCGACTGTTTTGTTAAGGAATGTTTTGGTTTTGCGAATCGGAGCGCGGTGGGGGGGGAAAGAGGTTTTCGTTTAAACTCGGCACCGTTTCCAACGTCCCCTGGGGGACTCTTTAAATTCACGGGGGACACAGGGCCGCGTTTCTTGAGCCGCGTCTTTCCGCCACCACGGCGTCGCAACATGGGAGAGCACATCACGTGCACCCATCACCACGGCCATCAATCGGCGGAGAGTAAAATGGGTACACCCGAGAGATAGAAAAGGCTGCTCGTGTTGGTGCAGCGACACGCTCGTGGAAAGACTGGTCCCCGCCATGGGAATGTGGAGTTCCCACCAATGCCTCAGAGATGGGTATACATTTAATACCATCGTGTTTGCTACAACTAAGATGACATTGCCGAATCTTCACCGAGGGTGCTTCACCGTGACGCGTCCACATCCACCACCATGTCTCATCTGGGTGAAGGTAAAAGGATCTCACGCATTCATCCGCTCTCTCAAACATGCAATCCAGTCTGGTTAAGCCCAGGATGGATCGCAGGCAGGCCAGCCTGAATGGTTTTCTAACCAGCGAATATTCCATGGGGGGAGGGGGGGAGGAGGGCATGACTGTGAAGACCTCAAGACTGTGAAGACCTCAATGTTGGTGTGGAGCGACAGACCAGGTCGCTGCCACACAGCAGCAGCGTTACACAGCCGATGAAAAGATAACGCTGCTCGACTGATTCGGAGCGAGACAGCCACTGCGAAACCGGAGCTGGTCATAAACACACTGCCCAGGGACGGAAACTTCTCCACTCTCTCGACAACTGCCCCATCACCGATTGGGAGTTGTGGGGGTGGAGTGTCCGATGGTACAAAATACCCAGGCAGGTGCTTAGTTTTGGTGGGGCTGATGGTAAGGTCCCACCTCTTGGTGGCCCGCTCCAGTTTCAGAAGCAGCGCCTCCAACTCCTCCTCTGAGTGAGCAGCAACCACCAGATCAGTGTACATAACATGGTTGACCAATACGGAGCCATCCCTCGACCGCACACGGGCATCGATCAGCCTCCCATTTTATCTGTACCAGATGGAAATTCCTCAAGTGCAACCATGGAAGGCTTCACGAACTACGTGGTCGAAATAGATGTAAAATAATGTGGGAGCCAGAGGACATCCCTGTCGCATACAGCGAATGGCTCCGACTCCCGGCGATGTAGTTTTACCCGGGACCGCTCACCATCATGAAGGTCCTTAATGATCATGGGTAGAGAGTCAGACTCCAAAAGCACGAAGAACAGCAAAGAGCCCTGGCATATTGATGGTAGTATAGGCCTTGAATAGGTCAATAAAGCAAAGCTGTAGGTCCCTTTGAAATTCCCTACACCTCTGCTGTTGAAGGCGAACAGAGAAAATGGTATAGTGCAGGAAACCACAATGGGGCTCCGCAAGCCTCTACTCAGCACACTGCCTGGCGATGTGGAATAATCATTGCTAGAACCTTTCCTGGCCCCTCTTCTTAAAGTGGGGGACATCACCATGGCATCCTTCCAATCCACACACACTCATTCACACTCTCACCCACCCGCACTCTCTCACTCAAGGCATGCGAGGATCTCTGCGCACAGCGTAAACCCAGCCCCGCGTAGCACCACATCGTCTTGGGGGAGGGAGCGGGGGGGGGGGGCGAAGGCAGGCAACCCCAACCCCTCAACCGATAAGTCGTTGTCGTCATCGTCGTCGTCTTCCTGAGTTAACAGAACGGACTCCTTCGCTCAGTGGCTTTGTAGCGTCTCACGACTCGCCGTAGCTGCCTCCGGAGAACACTCACACAGTGCACGCGCAGGGTGCAACTCGCAAGCAGGCCATGAGTTCAAATCCTGACCGGGGTTCGTCACCGTCATAGCATCCCCTTGAGGATGAAAAGCGCAAGACAACATTGGTTGACCTCATGCTCCATGGGGAAGAAACAAACAACTAGTTCCCCGTCATGGGAATGTGGAATATTTCATTGCTTGGCGAGGATTTGCCCTGAACGAAGACGTTTGGAGTTGAGGGCGCGCGTTGGAGGTCAGGGAGTGGTGGACACCATCAGGGCAAAAACAAGGAATGAGGAATCGGGGGGAGAAGGTGGAGGGAAGGAGAACACGAGGGAGCAGGGAGGGGAGTGGATGATGGAGAGACGAAGGTTGGGGTGATGGAAGGCGGAGGGAGGTGAGGGAGGTAGGGAGGAAGGTGAATGATAATGGAGAGGGAGGTTGGGAGAGGGTGGTGTAGTGTTTCATGTAGACGGGTCCTCGCAGTATCTCACAGGACTTCAAGGTATCTCAGGCTATGGCCATGTGTGGAGCAACTGTCATCGTTATCGTCGCAATCATCACCGTCGTCATTGTGTAGGCGAAACGTCTCAATCTTAAGGCTTTGTTTTCACTTACAGAGAAATTCAAAGAGAAGGCATCGAGCGCGGGCTATCCCGCAAGGCGCAGCGTCGCACAGGCCACGCTGGTCACGAGATGCGATCGCTGGCGCGAGAGGAGACGGTCGCCACCGCCGCCACCGGAGGAGGCGCCGGCAGAGGCGGGATTCTCACCAAGCGGCGGTGCGGGAAGACGGCGGCTCGGTGCGCTGGGGGGGCGCGTGAGTGGACGTTCGTCCGGCCCGGCGATTCTTCTTTGGAAAAAAAAAACCACGGAAGAGTTCCTTTTTGTTGTTGTTTGTTTCGAGCGTCCGTCGATTCGTGAACGTCCGTAAACTGACTCCTCGCCGAGCGAGCATAGTGCATTTCCCCAAGTCTGTGATTCTTGGATTTGCATTTTCACCACCGTCCACGTTTCAGCGACAACGATAAAATCAACGGCATTCCGCGCTCTGTCGCTTCTGTTCAACGCAAAAAAAAAACACAAAACCGAAACATTTTACAAATGAAAAAATTAACAACCACAGACGAAGGGGGGGGGGGGGGTGTTAACAGCGCAAGGCCCACGTGTGCCGTTAACTCCCTGGGAGTGCACGGCAACCGCCACCACCGCTGTGCCGCATCCTCTTGCCTCTCCGACTTTCCCCAAAACCCAGTCACCGCAGCTGCCCTAAGGGACACGCTCCGCACACAGGTCCTCACGGCACGGGTGGCCCAGCGCACCCCATCGCTGGCGCTGCCCCCCAAAACCAAACCGCGGGGGCTCACCCCCACTCCCCTCGCTTTCCGTGCGCAGCGCCCGCGCTCACGGTACCCGGCCGCTCCACTCAGCGTGGGGGGGGGGGGGGGTGCGCCACGCGGATTGGGAGTCCCGGTGCGAGACCGAGTCGTCCTGCAGAGGCTGCCCCACCACCCTCCCCCAATCCCTGCGGAGACATCGCGTTACTGCACAGGAACAGGAACCGTTTGGGAAAGTGCCCGCGTGACCAGGATTCACGATTGATGTTGTGGTTGGGCCCGGCGGCAACAGCGCGTCACGGCCCAGCCGTGCGCCAGCGTCCCCCCAGTTGGCCGTGAGAGGCGCCTCCCGGACCCCCGCTGGACACGGCGGACAGTCGCGCACCACCGAGCGACACCATTTGTGTCGTGGCTACACGGAGACCTCGCCCTTGGTCGGAAACCCGTTCAGCGGGGCCCAGTGATGGCATGGCAGGTCGGTGCCGGGCAAGAGAGACTGTGGGATCAGTGATAAGAAACTGGTTTGGTGTGGATTTTTTCCCTCTGTTCCTCTGCGCCAGTTGGTCCCCCGCCAAACAGTGCTGGCACGGCCGATCGCTCTACAGCGGGCATCATGATGATGATGATGGAAGACGTGCGGCAGGCGGATTTTGAAGATGACCCTGAAGGACGCTGGACGCACTTCTCAGTTTCATCGCTGTTAAATTTGGTTGTTTATGAGACAAAAAGTTTGGCCAGATAGCTACATGGACCCAACCCAAAAAAATCAATCGTGAAAAATAACCTTGGCTGTAAAAAACCTAGGCGGTCAAGTTAGCCGGTATACTTGGTGTTTGAGAGGTGTCAGTACGTACGGCTACACCGGCACAATTCACACCCGCAAAACACTAAAACAGCTCAACACGGTGGCAACGTGTCGACGCAAACAGTAAACTGCCTTCTCCTCCCGTCACTCGAGAGGCGAGGAAGGCTTTTAAACAGTCACACAAAGGAATCGCTAACAACAACAACAACGAGGCGGAGGAGACGGGGTTAGGGTGGTTGTTGTTGTTGTTGTCTGTGCAGCTGCCAGAGGAATGGGGAAACGGGCTGCACGTGAGGCCGTGGCCACCCTGAGCAGCTCAACAAAGGCACTGGCTTAGTTCGGCGGTGCCCTCCGCCCACCGTCGCCCATCGGCAAGAGCAGAACCCGACGGTACGAGCGCGCCGCACCGGCGGGGTCGCGCACCATGCAGCGGCGGAGAAACGCAAAACATTCTGGTGGAAAAGGCGCCGGCACGGCAACTTTGAATCGGGAATTGTGGGCAATTCTCATCCAGTTTTCAGCCGCCCCGATTGTCCCAGCGGTCACTGCGGCGTCACCAAGAACCCGTTCGGAAATCTCGACCCCCTTTCGGTGCCGGAGAACGGCACGCGGAAGCACATATCGCAGAGCTACCTCCGAGATCGTTTGCAAGCGACACCTCCGTTCCACACGAAAGAAGTAATGCTCCTCGCGTAACAGCCCAACTGATATTTGATTCTGAAGAGCTGAATTTGGCCAATGTTGCTGGCAAACCAAATAAAGTACATGCCGCGTTTCCTCCGTGCGGTCGCTGGCAGCGCTTTAAACACGGGCTGCGTTTTCACCAAACTGGGGCTGGAGATCGTCCCCCCTCCCCCCTCCGCCGATTCGTGAACCCTACCCCCCTCCCCCCCGCCCCTGTGGAGCGGGTCTGAATCGCCGACCGCGCGTCGGCAGATCTAGCGGCGAGCTCCGCTTCATTGCTCTGCACGGCGGCTTTGACTTTGAATGAAAATTGGAAAAACTATTCCAATATACAACAGAAGGGCGAGGCGAAGAGTCGGCGGCATGGGCTAGACACGTGGGAACGCCGCCGCCGCCGCCGCGTCTGGAATCATGTCAACACGACGTATCCCAGCCGAGGGCGATCCCAAGTCATTCGATTACATCGTGAGGATGCCGAGCAGAGGATCAGCTCATTAAGTTACTTATGAAATGTCAAGTAATCAGTAATCACACCGATTAATTTTTCACTCCCCACGCACGGGGACAATCGCAGATCCTCACCGTCCGAGTCGGCGAGACTAAAACGACGCTAATCGGCGAACATGCGACGTACGTGGAGCCTACAAATGTCGCGAGCATGTCGGTGCATCACTAGGAAATAAATAAAGCATTTCAGCAAAAACACTTCAGAGTTAATTCCATAAATAAAAGCGAAGAGAGATAAAATCGCAACGCGCACACCGCCACCCCCCGCCCCACCACCGCAGGGAACCGAACTCCAGTAAAGTTCACGTCGACACAACCCCCAGGGAGACTTGAAGCTAACGAGGAGTTGACGTGGACACGGGGAGCTCCGAATCACACCTCTGACGACTCGAGCGCAACGCCCCCGCGGTGCGGCACAACGGCGAGACGGTGGCGCACCGCATTGCCGTCGCACGGCACCGCCCCCCTGCCCGCACGCAGGTACACACACGGACGGACGCATACGTCCGCACGCACACACGCACTCGCACGGACGCACGTGCAGGCGTGCGCGCGTGCGCGTGCGTGCACACATGCACGTGGACGCACGTACACACACGCACATGGACGCATGCACATGGACGCACGCACAGGTCGACTAACAAATGACCAATCGTTGTCAGCGACTTGCGACCAGCCTAGCGGTCGAGAAGGCCAGACGCACAGAGCACCCCGCCCCATGGGCTGCCAGGGCTGCTCACGGGCAGCGCCTGCGAAGGTCGCCGCAGCACGTGTGGGCGCCGTGTGCCCGAGCGCCACGCCTGCTGCCCGCCTCCGTCTCGCCGGTGCTGATGTCTGCACGCTCACCGCACCGGGTAATCGTTTCAGGCCGAGTCAACCCTACGGGAGGGCCCAGGGCCTGTTTAGATATTAGTCACCGGTACTGGCCGCGAGCGGGGTGGCCGGGACTCACGACGCACTGACCGTCGCTCCCCACGCGCGTGAACGCACGCGGGTCAGCATTACAGCTCGTGCGTTCCTGCTGTTCCGTGAACGTGGCATTTTCCTGGTTTAAGGGCAAGCACCATGTTTGTTTCTCAAGCCCAACTGTGGCATGAAGCCATCACGTCGCAAGCACCATTGTGAATCGTGACGTCACCGCCGCTTAGCGTGACGTCACCGCCGCTCAGCGTGACGTCATCGCCATGATCATCATCATCATCATCACCACGACTACTGGGGAACTGCGTCGTTCTCACCTTGAATGGCTTTCAATTTTAAACAAAACACAATATCAATGTTATCAAGAAAGCAAAAACAACCATTGGCTAGACCTGAAATCCTTTCACGCTCGCTAGGTAATTGTCGACAACATCCCAAGAAACGTCCCTCCAGGGGAACATGACACCTTAAAGACCCAGAGAGGAATGAGGATTATCCAGAGAAATGCGCAGCTCCGAGATCACCCATGGAGACATTGTCGTGGCCAGAGCCACTGCTGATGCCACCGCCACGCCGCCTTCTCCACCACCACCACCACCATTGCACCTCCTCACTACCAACGCATTCTGCGCCTACAGTCTCCCACCGTCCGCTCATAGACTTGCACCGAGACCCGTACACTCGCACCGAGACCTACAGAGTCACAGAGAAACCTACGGACCCGCACCGAGACCCGTAGACCCGCACCGAGACCCGTAGACCCGCACCGAGACCCGTCTCGGCGACTGCGGCCCGAACCGCCAACACGGTCGCGGTCAACGGCGCCCGAACCACGCGGGGCAGAACAGCCGACATCAGGACGGCCGCCTCCATCGCTCCCCACGATGAGATCGGCACGGCGGCCCTAACGCTCTCCTCCCGCTGCTGCTCCTCGTGCGGTCGTCGTGCAGCGGCGGCGACCTGGCTCAGGAGAGGCCCTGGAGCCGCTTGGAGGTGGCAAGCGGCGGCGGCGGCGGCGGCGGAGACGGTGCCGGCGTCGCGAGCTCGGGGGAGTCCCGCGTACGAGTGAGCGGCGCCAGTGGCGGCGGCGTCGCTGGGCCGCCGTGGCGAGTGCGGCGCGAGCTTCTCTTGGGCCGCGATGGCGACGCGGCGGTGCCGTCGCCCGACGCCACCGCCGTGGTCACCCGGTACACCAGGCTGTTGATCTGCTCCTGCCGAGAGAGAGAGCGGGGAGGGAGAGCGTCAGAGTGACAGAGAGGGGAGATAGATGGGGGCAGCATTGCAGAACACCTCCGCTCACCGCGCGCCTCACCTCAAGGGGGGGGGGGGGGTGGTAATGGTGGTGGCGGCAGGGGTGATCATAACGTTGGTGATATTGGTGGTGGTGATATAAGAAGCGAAAGTGTCGCGGTTAGCGCATTTCGCTACGAACCCGGTGACGTGAGTTCGATTCCCACTCATGGTCAACACAAGTGACATATCGGAACTGCTACTGGGCCTCCCCTAGGTCCACTCAGCCTCAAATGAGTACCTGATGGGGTGTGTAAACATCGCCACTGAGCCGGTCGTTGTGCCCTGCCAGCCATCATGTGCTCGCTAACAGCACTGGCCCCAACAGTCAGTTAAGGTTACATTGGGGATCTTTTGGTGGTGGTGATGATGATGGTGATACTGATGTATGGTGGTGTTGATGGTGGGGGTGATGCTGTGTTGATGGTGGTGATGGTGGTTAGTTTTGTGTCCTTTCGCCTGCACCTCCAATTAGCACATTTGGCTACATACAGTGGAAATTAATTCAACGTACACACACACACGTACCTCGTCGTAGCGGTACATCATCTTCAGACCGCGGCACGTCTTCTTTTCCTTGACGTGGGCCAGCACGCACTCCAGACAGAACACGGTGCCGTCGCTCTCCTGCACCACCTGACACATGGTCGTCATCAACAACGTCGTCAACATCGTCGTCAACATTGACGTCGTCAACGTTGTCAACATCGTCGTCAACATCGTCGTCAACATCGTCGTCAACATCGTCGTCAACATCGTCGTCAACATCGTCGTCTCAACTCTAGACTTGAAGCTTTTGTGACTGCAAGAATCCATACTCTTTGGTTCTATTCGGTAAAGTCACGTAAAAGTATAAAACAACTAAAAATAAAAAATTCCACACGTTTCGGCCACAACACAAGTGGCCTTCATCAGGTGAAGGGACCAGACTGTCTCGAGGACAGCGCTGGAGTGAACACAGCCAAGCTCAGTCCGCGACCTTTAAGCTTGTGTGAGAGGAATTAAGGTGCCTTGACAAAGGAATTAGCATAAACATTTACATTTAATTGGCGGACTTAGCATGATGAACGGTGTAGAGGGGGTGAACATGTGCAGACCGGCGAGGGGGGGAGGGGGAGTTTACATATTGATGGTGTGAAAAGGGAATTTAAGCAGCTGCGAAAGTTTGGGGTACCACTACTTTAATAAATACACTGTACCATTGAAAATTAGTTTAATGTTTGGTTCGATTTAGAACATCTTTCCAATGGTTACTTAATTTGAAACCATCTTCACGGTTGAAATTGTGTCTGTGTTTGTAAATCTGAATTGCCTTGTGAACAAATCTCTGATAAAAACCCGTGGGTTTGCAAAGAACCTTGGTATCGGAGAAAATTATATCGTGATCACCCACAGCGTTGTAACAGTGATCAGCTACGGCAGAAGAATTCGTTCTGCCGTGTTTCAAATCTGATTTGTGCTCGCGAATTCGGTCAGAGACATGTCGTTTCATCTCCCCGATATAGCAGTCACCACAGGTGCAGATCAATCTGTAAACTCCGGGGTACTGTAAGTCAGGAATGACATCCTTCACGGAAGGGATCAGGTCACGGATTTTGTGTACTGTATTGAACCGGACCAGGATCTTGTGTTTGTTTAGAATTTTGGAGATCGTTTTAGTAACGCCTGCTATATATGGTAGTGTGATGATTTTGACCGGAGTATCAAGTGGTTGTTTCTGTATAGAGGGAGAAACAGCTTGGCGGATGGTACGGTCAGAGTATCCATTCCTTTTGAGGGCCAGATGCACATGTTTTAATTCACTGGTCAGGTGGTGTTGGTCCGAAATGCAATGAGCCCTGTGGTATAACGTTTTGATGAGAGAATTCTTTTGCGTCGGGTGGTGGTGGGAATCAGGTTTCAAGTATGAATCTGTGTGGGTGGGTTTCCTGTAGACAGAATGTCCCAATGAGCCATCAGGTCTCCTCTCAAACAGAACATCCAAGAATGGCAGCTTGCCATCTTTCTCCACTTCCATGGTGAATTTGATGGCGGGGTGTCTGGAATTAATGTGGTCTAGGAAATGGTTCAAAGCCGGGAGGCCATGTGGCCAAATGACGAAAGTGTCGTCTACATATCTCTTCCACAGGAAAGGTCTGAGGGTGGAAGTCTGGATGGCGTCTGATTAAAATTTCTCCATGAAAATATTGGCTATCACTGGTGACAAGGGGGATCCCATGGGGGTACCCTCATTTTGTTTGTAGAAGAAGCCATTCCAAGTAAAGTAGGTATTGTTGAGGCAGTGCCTAACCAGTGCAGGTGTATCGGGGTCTAGTCCATGTTGGACCAAATTTTCAATTATTTCAATGGTATCAGGTACTGGGACCTTGGTGAACAAAGAGACCACATCGAAACTGACAAGGATATCGTCAGGGGACAGTACAACGTCTTTGACCATAGAGACCAATTGGGCTGAGTTGAGTACTGCTGAGGCAGTCTTGCCAGTGAAAGGCAGCAAGGTATCTGACAAAAAACGGGCTAGTCTATAGGTAGGGGAGTTGATCGTGGATATGATGGGTCGTAGTGGGGTGCCTTCTTTATGAATCTTGGGAAGACCATATAATCTAGGGGGTCTTGCAGCAGAAGGTTTTAGGGAGGGACGTTTAGTTGGGTCGATTAGGGAGGTCGAACTTGTGATGATCTTGTTGGTTTTTATCGCTAGGCTATTAGTAGGGTCATTTTTAATTTTTGAGTAACTTCCATCGTTGAGCAGATTCTGGATTTTGTTGTTGTATGAATCTTTATCCATAATTACAGTAGCGTTGCCTCGTCGTCGTCATCAACGTTGTCAACATCGTCATCATTAATATCGAAATCACCAACATCGTGAACATCAACGTCGTCATCAACATCGTCGTCGTCACTATGATGGTAACCGTGAGGATTGGTGCAGGCTGCTGCTGGGTGGCGCGATGAGCGTTGCTCCCGATCACAGCAACAAGAACCATAGTGGTGCTACACACACAGGTGATAATAACGATAGTATCAACATAATTATTATGGTGATGATTATGAACACGATAATAATGATATATATACTATTTTATGTAGATGCTGAGCGAAGCCCCCATGAGATAAAAAAAATCCAGTTTGGTGAGTAGGCGAGTGAATGAGTGGGTGAGGGGGATTGAGTGTGGGTGGGTGAGGGGGTGGGTGAGGGGGCGAGTCCTCTGGCTCCCACATTATATAACATCTATGTCGACCAGGCAGTTTGTGAAGCCTTCGATGGCTGTACTGGGGGAATTTCCATCTGGTACAGATACAATGGGTGGCTGATCGATGCCTGAGGGCGGTCAAGGGATGGCTCCCTATGGGTAAACCATGTTATGTATTCGGATGATCTGGTAATTGCTGCTCATTCAGAGGAGTTGGAGGTGCTGCTGCTGAACCTGGAGTGTGCCACTAAGGGGTTGGGTTCTACCATCAGCCCCACCAAAACTAAGCACCTGCCTGGGTATTTTGTGCCATCAGGCACTCCACCCCCACAACTCCCAATTGGTGATGGTGTAGTTGTGGAGAGAGTGGAGAGTTTTCCATGCCTCGGCAGTGTGCTCATGACCGGCTCCGGTTTGACAGCAGAGGTCTCACTCCGAATCAGTCGAGCGGCAATATCTTTTCATCAACTGCATAACGCTATGTGGAGGCTAGCTTGTCGGTCGCACCACACAAAGCTTCGGATCTTTTCGGCTACGGTCATGACCTCCATTCTCTATGCTTGCGAAACGTGGATCCCCCTAATGGAAATCTTCGCCAGTTAGAGACATTCAGACTGGCCTGCCTACGATCCATCCTGGGTTTAACCAGGCTGGATTGTGAGTAGCTCACAAATCCTTGAAAGATCTAGACAAAATCCCATTGGTGAGCTCCTCCGACAGGCAAGGCTGCGTTGGCTGGGTCATGTAGGCCGCATACCCAGCCACTGGATACAGAGGGCTAAACGGGCACGGTATGGGCGAGAGAAGAGATGGAGTGATGTGGTACAGGAGGATGTGGAGCTGAGTGGCCTTGCCCATGACTGATACCAGTGGTGTCAAGATCGATCTCTGTGGAGGAGGGTTGTGAAGGAAGCTACTGGGCATCGCTCTTCTGGAGGCAGGGGCCCTCCAGAAGAGCGCCGCTCACAACAACGAGCGGAGCGCCGGGTGGCTAAATCACAGCAAGTTGGCACAGTAGGGAGCACAGGTGGTGCATCGGCCAGTCATCTCAATCAGTCAACCCATGGCACCTGGGTCTGTCCCGTGACCTCCTGCCAGCGGGCGTTCGACACTTAGTGGAGAATGGCGGTTATTGTTGTTGTGTGAGTGAGTGGGTGTGTGGCTGTGTCGTAAAGATGTGCGGTGAACACCGTGTGCATGAGCTGTAACAGTATGCAGAGCGATGGCGACGCGAGCGGTAAAAACTCCAACTAAACTATTTTTTAGATTTGACCAAATATTGCCCACTACTGAGCTATGTAGCTCTTTTTCAGAAGCGACATGGCTATCACAAATAATAGTTTAACGAAGTGACTTATCGTGTGGAAATTCACATCGGCTAAATACTCTAAAATGCTTCATATGTTGATTCTGAATGTCGAGGGAAAAACCAGAGGACCCATAGAAAAATCCACGCAACCACGGGGAGAGAGACACGCAAACTCCAAATATACAGCAGCAGGCGTCAGGGTCGGGATCTAATCCACGACCTCCTGCACACCAGGCGAGGTTGTTAACATCTCATAGCCACCGTGGCGCCTCAAGCCATACCATGGAGAGGTAGCAGAGCTGCCGGCACGTCTGGCAGCGTCTCTCTGGTGACTCGGGCTCGCCGGGGGAGCGCCGCACGCGCTTACGGACCACCATGGGGCTGCCCGGCGCGTGGGGACCCTCCGGGGCGGCTCCGTGCCGCGCCGAGAGTCGCAGGCCGGCCTCAAAGAGACGGCGCCGCCGCCGCAGCTCCACGTCCCTGCGGCCGCACACACCGAGATCCGGACATCACGATGGACGTTGTGATGCCACCACCACGCAGACTCACACAGAGACCCAAAGACTCACACAGAGATCCACACACTCACACAGAGATCCACAGACTCACACACACAGTGACCCATAGACTCACACAGAGATCCAGACTCACACAGATATATAGACTCATAGAGACCCACAGACTCGCACAGAGATCCAGACTCACGCAGATATATACTCACAGAGACCCATAGACTCACAGAGACCCAAAGACTCACACAGAGATCCAAAGACTCACACAGAGATCCAGACTCACACAGATAAATAGTCTCACAGAGACCCACAGACTCACACAGAGACCCATAGACTCACACAGAGATCCAGATTCACACAGAGACCCATAGACTCACAGAGACCCATAGACTCACACAGAGACCCATAGACTCACACAGAGACCCAAAGACTCACACAGAGATCCAGACTCACACAGATATATAGACTCACAGAGACCCACAGACTCACACAGAGACCCATAGACTCACACAGAGATCCAGACTCACACAGATATATAGACTCACAGAGACCCATAGACTCACACAGAGACCCAAAGACTCACACAGAGATCCAGACTCACAGAGACCCATAGACTCACAGAGACCCAAAGACTCACACAGAGATCCAGACTCACACAGATATATAGACTCACAGAGACCCATAGACTCACACAGAGACCCAAAGACTCACACAGATCCAGACTCACACAGATATATAGACTCACAGAGACCCATAGACTCACACAGAGACCCATAGACTCACACAGAGACCCAAAGACTCACACAGAGATCCAGACTCACACAGGTATATAGTCTCACAGAGACCCATAGACTCACACAGAGACCCATAGACTCACACAGAGACCCAAAGACTCACACAGAGATCCAGACTCACACAGGTGTATAGTCTCACAGAGACCCACAGACTCACACAGAGACCCATAGACTCACACAGAGATCCAGACTCACACAGATATATAGACTCACAGAGACCCATAGACTCACACAGAGACCCAAAGACTCACACAGAGATCCAGACTCACACAGATATATAGACTCACAGAGACCCATAGACTCACACAGAGACCCAGAGACTCACACAGAGATCCAGACTCACACAGATATATAGACTCACAGAGACCCATAGACTCACACAGAGACCCAAAGACTCACACAGAGATCCAGACTCACACACATATAGACTCACAGAGACCCATAGACTCACACAGAGACCCAAAGACTCACACAGAGATCCAGACTCACAGAGACCCATAGACGCGCAGAGACCCAAAGACTCACACAGAGATCCAGACTCACACATATATAGACTCACAGAGACCCATAGACTCACACAGAGACCCAAAGACTCACACAGAGATCCAGACTCACAGAGACCCATAGACTCACAGAGACCCAAAGACTCACAAAGAGATCCAGACTCACACAGATATATAGACTCACAGAGACCCATAGACTCACACAGAGACCCAGAGACTCACACAGAGATCCAGACTCACACAGATATATAGACTCACAGAGACCCATAGACTCACACAGAGACCCAAAGACTCACACAGAGATCCAGACTCACACAGATATATAGACTCACAGAGACCCATAGACTCACACAGAGACCCAAAGACTCACACAGATATCCAGACTCACACAGATATATAGACTCACAGAGACCCATAGACTCACACAGAGACCCAAAGACTCACACAGAGATCCAGACTCACACAGATATATAGACTCACAGAGACCCATAGACTCACACAGAGACCCAAAGACTCACACAGAGATCAAGACTCACACAGATATATAGACTCACAGAGACCCATAGACTCACACAGAGACCCATAGACTCACACAGAGACCCAAAGACTCACACAGAGATCCAGACTCACACAGATATATAGACTCACAGAGACCCATAGACTCACACAGACCCAAAGACTCACACAGAGATCCAGACTCACACAGGTATATAGTCTCACAGAGACCCATAGACTCACACAGAGACCCATAGACTCACACAGAGACCCAAAGACTCACACAGAGATCCAGACTCACAGAGACCCATAGACTCACAGAGACCCAAAGACTCACAGAGAGATCCAGACTCACACAGATATATAGACTCACAGAGACCCATAGACTCACACAGAGACCCAGAGACTCACACAGAGATCCAGACTCACACAGATATATAGACTCACAGAGACCCATAGACTCACACAGAGACCCAAAGACTCACACAGAGATCCAGACTCACACAGATATATAGACTCACAGAGACCCATAGACTCACACAGAGACCCAAAGACTCACACAGAGATCCAGACTCACACAGATATATAGACTCACAGAGACCCATAGACTCACACAGAGACCCAAAGACTCACACAGAGATCCAGACTCACACAGATATATAGACTCACAGAGACCCATAGACTCACACAGATCCAGACTCACACAGATATATAGACTCACAGAGACCCATTGACTCACACAGAGATCCATAGACTCACAAAGAGATACATAGACTCACACAGAGATTCAGACTCACACAGACATCTATAGACTCAAACTGAGGGAAGGAGGGTGGGAGCAGATGCAGGGAGGCAGGAAAGGAGGCAGGGAAGGAGGCAGGGACGGTGGGAGGGAGGGTGGGAGGGAGGGTGGGAGGGAGAAGAGGGGGGGAGGGGGCACCGGAGGGTCTGCAGGAGCGGGGCGACGTGTCCGAGTGCCGCTGCGTTCTCCCTCTCCAGCTCCGCTACGGCCGCCAGGTAGAGGAGCTTTTCCACCGCAAACACGTTGGGGGAGCGCCGCTCCCTCAGCGTCTACACGGGAGACACAGGGGGATACGGGGGGGGGGACATGGGGGATACAGAGGAGACACACGGGGAGAAAGGGGGAGGGCAACTAATCAGCGTGCCGCAGTGCGGCGAGTGTCGCGCGTGGTGATGGCGAGTGGTGGAGTGGTGGTGAGTGACGGCGAGTGGCGGCGAGTGCTGGTGAGTGGTGGTGAGTGGCGGTGAGTGGAAGTGAGTGGCGGCGAGTGGTGGTGAGTGGCAGTGAGTGGCGGCGAGTGGTGGTGAGTGGCGGTGAGTGCCAGTGAGTGGCGGTGAGTGGTGGTGAGTGGCGGTGAGTGGCAGTGAGTGGCGGCGAGTGGTGGTGAGTGGCGGTGAGTGGCAGTGAGTGGCGGCGAGTGGTGGTGAGTGGCGGTGAGTGCCAGTGAGTGGTGGTGAGTGGCGGTGAGTGGCAGTGAGTGGCGGCGAGTGGTGGTGAGTGGCAGTGAGTGGCGGCGAGTGGCGGCGAGTGGTGGTGAGTGGCGGTGAATGGCGGTGAGTGGCGGTCAGTGGTGGCGAGTGCCAGCGAGTGGCGGCGAGTGGTGGCACACCTGCGCGGCGCGCCATGCCGTGGGCAGCCACCCGGCGGTGGCAAAGGGCACGGCCTCGGAGACGCTGTAGCCGCAGGAGACGTTGGCCGTGCAGGCGCCGGGGAAGACCACGAGGAACTCGCCGCTGCGCTGGACGGCGCGGTGCACGCGCACGCCGGCGCGGCGCAGCGCCTCCGGGGAGACCTGCCGGGGCCCTCGTCATAAGACACGTGGCACCCCCCCCCCCCCCCCCCCCCCCCCCCCGAGTCCCGCCGACAAACCCCGACACACCGGAACTGGAAGCCGCGACCGGGAGCGACGCGCGCACTCACAATGTTCTGCTGCAGCAACTCGAGCGCCGGCTTCCCGTTGGCCGGTGACAGGGAGAGCACCGCTCTCTCCAGCGCCTCCTGCTGCCCCGCCGGGATGCTGTACCTGCAGCAGCCCACGGCACAGCGCGGCACGCCGCTCGCAAAACCTCCGGCATTCTTGCTGCGAGTGCGACTGTTGCACCGCAGCCATCGCACCTCACCCCTCGCCTCGCCTCGCCCCGTCCCTCTCACCACACTCCTCGCCCAGCTGTCACCCCCTGCATCACGGAGGACGACTCACCATATTTTGTCGGCGCCCGTGTGCAGGAAGTCGATGGAGGGGAGGAGGTGGGGGTCCTGGGCCCACGACGAGGTGGAGTAGATCATGCCGATGTTCAGCCATGGCACAGTCACTCCTGCACGCAAATGCACGGGCAAAGGTGCCCCGTGTAGCCATCCGCTGCTGAGGCAAGTGCTGTTAGCAAGCACCTATTAAGCACGGGCCTAGGTGCCCAAAATGTGAAGCGGCCATCAACAAACAGTTGTAAGTGACAGGAAGCGTTAATGGGCTTTGTGGAGCGAGTGTGGTGATTGTCGAGAGAGCTCGGGGGGGTACGGGACGATCGTGGTGGTGACGAGATGGTGAGTGGTAGTGGTGATGATGATGAGTGGGTGAGGAGTGCAGCAGTGCAAGGGAAGAGAAGCGATGCGACATGCAGTGTGTCGAGTGGACGGGTGAGCGAGTGCGGGTGAGCGAGAGGGTGAGTGTGTCGTGGTGACACTGCAGTGTGGAGAGTGGGCGGGTGAGCGAGAGGGTGTGTCGTGGTGACACTGTAGTGTGGAGAGTGGGCGGGTGAGCGAGAGGGTGAGTGTGTCGTGGTGACACTGTAGCGTGGTGAGTGGGCGGGTGAGCGAGAGGGTGAGTGTGTCGTGGTGACACTGTAGTGTGATGAGTGGGCGGGTGAGCGAGAGGGTGAGTGGGTTGTGGTGACACTGTAGTGTGGTGAGTGGGTGGGTGAGCGAGTGGGTGAGTGAGTGAGTGAGCGGGAGGGTGAGTGTGTCGTGGTGGTTGTATAGAAGCCAGATCACCATTTGCCTCTGCCCAAATTGTCCACACTGAGCCCGGCCAATCGGATCTCAAGAGGGCTCTGCCGCTAGCGCCAGCAGTGAAGTAATGGGGCTCGCCACCAGGGGGCGGCCGGGACCCACACTACCCCGCTCACGGAAGTCGCGTTCTCATCGACAAGGACGACGACGAAGATGTTGGGTCACCATCAATGGCGCAGCTATCGAGTAGGGGGTGCAACTGCACCGGGCCCCTCGGGATATGTAGAGGGGGGGGGGGGGCGGGGTGGAGAGATTGGACGAGGGCCAATCCCCTCCGATTCATCCCATGCACCAGGGCCCACAGCGGCCTCGCGATGTTTGGAGGCGATCAAAGTAACGCTGGTGATGAGTGGTGATGATGAGTGATGATTAATCTAAGACGATGATGACGTCGACGTTGATGACGTACCAGACACGGTGCCCAGGTGACGCAGCACCGAGGCCGGGTTGCTGGGGAGAACGGTCAAGTTCCAGCCGTGCCTGACGACGCACAGCGACACAGCACCACCACCACCATCATCAATCAGCACCACCAACAGCACCACCAACAGCACCACCAACAGCACCACCATCATCATCAATCAGCACCACCAACAGCACCACCAACAGCACCACCAATGTCATCAGAAACTTCAGGAACATCACCATCACTATGACCATAATCAGCACCACCACAACCATAATCACCACAACCACCAAAACCATAATCACCACCACCACCACTCACCTGGAGAAGGAATCCGATTTGGAGACTGGAAATCCACTCCCAGAAGTCTTTGTGTCAACCTTCCCGCAGTGCACTGCGACGTGCGCATCACGCTCCTCCACGAGCTGCCAGAACCGTTGCTGCAACACCACCACCACACAAATAAAGCACCACGCTCAGCTGCCTTTTTCTCCCCAGTGGCAATGTTTACACACCGCACCCATACCTGTCGACCCCTTTTCAGTGCCCTACCTTATTAGACCTTATTGGTCACCCTGCGCCCTTATAGATCTCAACGTTCATCCTACAAAGTCCCATCACAAGGGAGAAACACAAACAAATAGACAATTATTTTTTAAAATGTGCCCGTATTCAAATGGCTGTACGCTGTATGGACCTGAAAACTCAATTCAACTGTGCAAGAACATGGGTAAACCATATGGGTTGACAGTTATGCGCACCGTGTACTCATTTAAGGCTGAGTAAATCTAGGGGAGGCCCCAGGTTGGTTCAGATGTTTGCCGCTGATGTTGCTGTGAGCGGAAATCATACTCGGGTCGCCAGGTTCGTAACGCGGTGCGCTAACCACTGCGTCACCACTCCCCGCCACACATGCGCACACACACACTGCCCAGAAATAGTAGCTACGTTTAGTTCAGAGACAGACAATGGATCGTAGGTCTCTACAGTGAGGGAAAAAAGTATTTGATCCCATGCTGATTTTGTACGTTTGCCCACTGACAAAGAAATGATCAGTCTATAATTTTAATGGTAGGTTTATGTGAACAGTGAGAGGCAGAATAACAAAATCCAGAAAAACGCATGTCAAAAATGTTATAAATTGATTTGCATTTTAATGAGGGAAATAAGTATTTTACCCCCTCTCAATCAGAAAGATTTCTGGCTCCCAGGTGTCTTTTATACAGGTAACGAGCTGAGATTAGGAGCACACTCTTAAAGGGAGTGCTCCTAATCTCAGCTTGTTACCTGTAGAAAAGAAACCTGTCCACAGAAGCAATCAATCAATCAGATTCCAAACTCTCCACCATGGCCAACACCAAAGAGCTCTCCAAGGATGTCAGGGACAAGATTGTAGACCTACACAAGGCTGGAATGGGCTACACGACCATTGCCAAGCAGCTTGGTGAGAAGGTGACAACAGTTGGTGCGATTATTCGCAAATGGAGGAAACACAAAAGAACTGTCAATCTCCCTCGGCCTGGGGCTCCATGCAAGATCTCACCTCGTGGAGTTGCAATGATCATGAGAACGGTGAGGAATCAGCCCAGAACTACACGGGAGGATCTTGTCGATGATCTCAAGGCAGCTGGGACAATAGCCACCAAGAAATCAATTGGTAACACACTACGCCGTGAAGGACTGAAATCCTGCAGCACCCGCAAGGTCCCCCTGCTCAAGAAAGCACATATACATGCCGTCTGAAGTTTGCCAATGAACATCTGAATGATTCAGAGGACAACTGGGTGAAAGTGTTGTGGTCAGATGAGACCAAAATGGAGCTCTTTGGCATCAACTCAACTCACCGTGTTTGGAGGAGGAATGCTGCCTATGACCCCAAGAACACCATCCCCACCGTCAAACATGGAGGTGGAAACATTATGCTTTGGGGGTGTTTTTCTGCTAAGGGGACAGGACAACTTCACCGCATCAAATGGACGATGGACGGGGCCATGTACCGTCAAATCTTGGGTGAGAACCTCCTTCCCTCAGCCAGGGCATTGAAAATGGGTCGTGGATGGGTATTCCAGCATGACAATGACCCAAAACACACGGCCAAGGCAACAAAGGGGTGGCTCAAGAAGAAGCACATTAAGGTCCTGGAGTGGCCTAGCCAGTCTCCAGACCTTAATCCCATAGAAAATCTGTGGAGGGAGCTGAAGGTTCGAGTTGCCAAACGTCAGCCTCGAAACCTTAATGACTTGGAGAAGATCTGTAAAGAGGAGTGGGACAAAATCCCTCCTGAGATGTGTGCAAACCTGGTGGCCAACTACAAGAAACGTCTGACCTCTGTGATTGCCAAAAAGGGTTTTTGTCAATAAGTACTAAGTCATGTTTTGCAGAGGGGTCAAATACTTATTTCCCTCATTAAAATGCGAATCAATTTATAAAATTTTTGACATGCGTTCTTCTGGATTTTGTTGTTATTCTGTCTCTCACTGTTCAAATAAACCTACCATTAAAATTATAGACTGATCATTTCTTGTCAGTGGGCAAACGTATAAAGTCATCAGGGGATCAAATACTTTTTTCCCTCACTGTAGGTGAGTCCATGGCTCTCTGTGCGAGTTCATTGGTGTCTGTGTGTCCATGGGTCTGGGTCTGTGTCCATGGGTCTGGGTCTGTGTCCATGGGTCTGGGCGTGAGTCTGCGGATGTCTGTGCGAGTCTATGGGTCTCTGAGCTGGAGAGAGGACAACGACACTCGGACACGTCGCCCCGCTCCTGCAGACCCTCCGGTGCCCCCTCCCCCCCTTTCTCTCCCCCTCCCTCCCTGCCTCCTTCTCTGCCTCTGCTCCCACCATTCCCCCACCATTCCCTCATGAGTCTATTGTTTTCTGTGTGAGTTTATACATCTATGTGTGAGTCTATAGATCTATGTGTGAGTCTATGGGTATCTGTGTGAGTCTATGGGTCTCTGCACGAGTCTATGGGTCTCTGCGCGAGTCTATGGGTCTCTGCGCGAGTCTATGGGTCTCTGCGCGAGTCTATGGGTCTCTGCGCGAGTCTATGGGTCTCTGCGCAAGTCTATGGGTCTCTGCAGAGTCTATGGGTCTCTGTGTGAGTCTATGGGTCTCTGCAGAGTCTATGGGTCTCTGTGTGAGTCTATGGGTCTCTGCGTGAGTCTATGGCTCGCTGTGTGAGTCAATGGGTCTCTGTACGAGTCTATGGGTCTCTGCGTGAGTCTATGGGTCTCTGTGTGACTCTATGGGTCTCTGCGTGAGTCTATGGCTCGCTGTGTGAGTCTATGGAAAGCACTGAGTGCATTCCAGCAGGGAGTCATCATTTTGGCAACAGCAAAAATTAAATCAATTTTCATTTTCCACTGAGTGGGAACGACCGGCCAACTCTTCCTCTCTGGCACGAACCAACGACCTGGGTCACGGAGTCTCACATTAAATTTTGCGCAGCACCGGGAAGAGAACGGAGAAATAACAACATCCAAAACCACAACACCGCCCCGACACAGGCGACCCACCAGCCAACTGCGCCGGCCAACTCGTCGCTCGCGCATCAGCATCGGCTCGCGTCATTGGCTGGTGCGGTGCGGCACCCCTCCCCCCCAGTCTGGGCACGGCGCCAGCCCTCGCCACCCATCCCCACCCCCCCACAAACGCAGAAGTGATGAAACGCGCAACGGCACGGGATTAATCGCACCAGTTCCGAGCCGGTGCTCGCCAACCGGGGGGGGGGAGGGGAACGCCGTGCACGCCAGCGGCTGCCGTGCCGCAGTGCCCCGAGCCCCGGCAAAGTCACAAATTCCACCCCCTCACCCCCCACTCCGAGCTGCTCGCTCCGGGGGCCGAGAGAGGCCGAGAGGGGCCGTCGGTGCCGCTATTCGAAGCCGGTGTCAGCGATGCCGCCGGCTGACGCGAGCACCGTCGCTCGCATTGCCACCGACGGTGCTCGCGTCAACGGCGGCGTTAATGGCAACTGCTGGTGCTTCCTCACCTCGACCTCGCAGGCAGCAGGCTCCTCGGTGCTGAAGCACATGGCGACGGTGTTGCGCGCCATGCGGTAGAACGCCGTCAGGGTCACCGACTTCCCCTGGAGGAGCACGGAGCGAGAGCGGTGTTCACTCCGCGCCCACCGGCGTTGCGAGCCGCACTCGATCCGCTACTGGATCGCGCCCGCCACCGCTCACAATCCCACGGTGCCCGTGTGGGCAGATTTCGCCGCGTGTCGCTCCTGACACGCGATGTTCGCACTTCGGGTTCGACGCTCGGAGCCTCATCACCGAGACGGCCGCACGGTCCCCGTTGTTTACTCTACTGCTTGCAATCTCTATGGCAACGGAAATCACGATTCTTGCGCTGTGCGTAACTCGTTGTTGTTGTTGTCGTTCCACGTGTTTACCCAGGAAAGCCTCGCCAAGCCTCAAGACTCGCAGCTATCGCAGTCGGGGGCAATGCTGCTGCTGTGTGATACCAACCGAGTGACTTGCAAGTAAAATTGTCAGCATTGGGGATGTGAGTTTGGCCGATGTCAGTTCCACTGTGGGTGTAGGTTTAGTTATGGGAGAAGGAAACCAGAGAACCCAGAAGAATCCCGTGTAGCGTAGCGGTTAGCTCGCTGCACTGTGAACCCGGCGACCTGAGTTCGATTCCTGCTCACGGCCAACACCAGTGGCGATTATCTGAATCGGTCCTGGGCCTCCCCTAGGTCGACTCAGCCTCACATTAGTACCTGGTGCGGTGTATAAATTTCACCACTGGGGAGACAAAGGTGGCTGGGCGTGGTGATCTTAGGTGATGTGGGTGGTGAGGTGGGTGGTGAGGTGGGTGGTGAAGGTGGGTGGTGAAGGTGATGGCACCTTGAGCACGCAGTCCTGCAGGCCGTGCAGGAACGCCGCCTCTCTGCCTGGCGCCGTCTCCTCGCCTCTGCCGGTGTCCACGCTGCGCCTCCGTGTGCTGCTGCTGCTGCTGGTGCTGCTGCTGGTGGTGCTGGTGCTGCTGCTGGTGCTGCTGCCGGTGGTGCTGTTGCCGGTGGTGCCGGCGGTGCCGTTGACGCTGGCAGAAGAGGAGGTGTTGAGGCCGGTGTCGCCGTCATCGCCGCCGTGGCCAGCCTGGTGTCCCCGCGAGCGAGCGCCGACTGCTGCCGCTGCGGTGGCGCCGCGGCGTAGCGCCGCACCGTTGATGTGGCCATTGCGTGGTTCAGCGATCGGTTTCCCGGCCGAACGACCTCTCCTCCACGGCCCGGGCGCCGGCTGCTGCTGGTTCTGCAGATGAGACCGGTGCCAACTGGTCAGCAGGGAACGGCGTTTTACCCATGAAACTGACCAATCGTTGCGTTGTGACCGTTTAAAAATGTTCATTACTTTCTTCGCTATTTATTCCGCCACTGCAGTCACCATCGCTGCCAACTGCTGCTCCGCACCGCCACCAGCGCAACCCATCACCGTCTCACAGCAACGCCGGCGCCACTCCATCTACCACCTCCACAATCACTACCACCACTGCCTCCTTCGTGACCAACAGCACCACAACCACGACCACCTCCACCATCACGACCACCACCACCTCCACAATCACCTCCACCACCACCACCTCTACAATCACCACCACTAGCTCCTTCATGACCACCGCCACAACAACCACCACCAAAAACCAACACCACCTCGCTTGACGGCGCTTTTCCCTCCCCCGCTCACCGCGGCGGCTGCTGCGGCCGCGCCCTCCTCCTCCTGCTGCTCCTGCTCCAGGCGCCGCTTCTCCGCCAGCACGTCACGCAGCAGCTGCTGTCGGTCGGCGGGCGCCAGGCAGTCGTACGCCAGCAGGTACTTGCAGTAGGCCTCCTGCAGCTTGGCGAGGCGGTCTTGGGCGCCGCGCGGAACGCGCAGCTGGTCCGCCAGACGGCTCCATGGACGCGTGCCCACCACACGGTGCACGCCGCCCATCCCGCCCATCAGCTGGGAGAAGCGCGCCAGGTCCAGCTCACAGCCACCTGCGGGGGGGGGGGGGGGGCAGGATTGGTGAGGAGGGGGAGGGAGGGGAGGAGAGGGGAGGGTGGGAGGACAGGGGAAGCGAGGAGGGAGGAGAGGGGAGGGGGAGAGGAGAGGGGAAGCGAGGAGGGAGGGGAGCAAGGGGAGGGAAGGGAAGAGAGGGGAGGGGGGGAGGAGAGGGACGAAGGAGAGGGGAGGAGGGAGGGGTTGGGGAGGGGGGCACCTATGAAAGCCGGAATGGCACACAAGGGGGTGGATGGCCAACAGCACACCCGGACACACACAACGACATGCACACACACACGCACGTGCGTGCATGCAAGCCGACAAGCCAGTCCTTTCAGAGCCACAGTTTCGTTGAGGTCCGTGACGCGACCCTGCGGTAGATAATTTGCTGCTCGTTGCAGAAGTTTGTGGTTACAACCCGGCAGGGCACGCTGGTGAACACTGCGCAGTAGAACCCATTCAATACTCAACACCGTCCGCTTCAGACAGGACATTAAAGATCCCGTGGCAATATGCGAGAGGCATACCCCGTTGTGCGCTGGTATTATGGTCCAAATTTGTAAATTACACCGCAAATTGCTCAAATGGGATTTACATAGAGCAAAAATCACCCCCCTACTGTGAAACACTGCGGCGCCTTCCTTCGTGATAGCCTCGCGCTGTGGGGGCGATAGCTCAATTTTCAATTATTATCATTATTAGGAGCTTCAGCTGTTACACAGCGCTGTGTGCACAGAAATACAAAGATCCCCTGTATAGCCTTGACACCACCACTCCCTCCCCCCACACGCACAAAGGCACTCGCGGCGACTACCACTGGCCGCCAATGTTACCACCGACTGTGCCAACTCCTCCCTGTACCAATCCAGAGACATCACCACGGCCGCCACGACGGGAGTTGCTTAGAGTTTGCGAACGTGCCTGTCCATGAGCGTGCGCACTCGTCTGTGTGTGTGGGGAGAAGGTAATGGGTTGGGGGGAGGGTGAGAGGTGGTGATTGGGGGGGGGGGTTGTGGTTGTGAGGGTAAGGACCGCGGCTCCCCGGGATGCGTCAATTTTCGACCACCAGGGACCGGCGGAGCCGTGAGAACGGAACTGGTCGAGCCGGAGCGTCGCGGAGGAGGAGTGGGGGACTCGACTCCATCAGCTCTAAACCACAGAGCCCTAGCCCTGGCCCGAACCCTACTCTGGCCCTAGCTCTAGCTCTAACCCTGGTCCCAGCCCTAGCCCTAACCCTTAATCCTGGCCATAGCTCTAACTATGGCCCTAACTCTGAATCCTGGCCCTAACCTTCAGGCCTGGCCCGAACCCATAGGCCTGGCACTGCCCCTTAGGCCTAGCTCTTACACTTAGGCCTGGCACTTACCCTTAGGCCTGGCTCTTAATCCGTAGGCCTGGCTCTTAATCCTTAGGCCTGGCTCTTACCCTTAGGCCTGGCTCTTAATCCTTAGGCATGGCCCTTAATCCTTAGGCCTGGCCCTTAATCCTTAGGCCTGGCACTGCCCCTTAGGCCTAGCTCTTACCCTTAGGCCTAGCTCTTAATCCTAAAGGCCTGGCACTGCCCCTTAGGCCTGGCTCTTACAATTAGGCCTGGCTCTTAATCCTTAGGCCTGGCTCTTAATCCTTAGGCCTGGCTCTTAATCCTTAGGCCTGGCACTTACCCTTAGGCCTGGCTCTTAATCCTTAGGCCTGGCTCGTAATCCTTAGGCCTGGCTCTTACCCTTAGGCCTGGCTCTTACCCTTAGGCCTGGCTCTTAATCCTTAGGCCTGGCTCTTACCCTTAGGCCTGGCTCTTAATCCTTAGGCCTGGCTCTTAATCCTTAGGCCTGGCTCTTAATCCTTAGGCCTGGCTCTTACCCTTAGGCCTGGCTCTTACCCTTAGGCCTGGCTCTTAATCCTTAGGCCTGGCACTGCCCCTTAGGCCTGGCTCTTACCCTTAGGCCTGGCTCTTAATCCTTAGGCCTGGCTCTTAATCCTTAAGCCTGGCTCTTAATCCTTAAGCCTGGCTCTTAATCCTTAGGTCTGGCTCTTAACCCTTAGCCCTGGCTCTAATCCTTAGTCTGGCCCTAACCCTGACAGATTCACAGAGAGTACACTAGTACTTGCGTTCACCCTGCCTCTAGCGTTACCCTTTAAACCAAATCCACAGCGCATATTACACACCCAATTCCAACCATACAGCCATAACCCAAACTCAACAGCAGCAACCTTCAGGCTAGCCTTAGCCCAGCCCTAAGCCTAAACCCTACAATGAAAGAAGTACTACCACGATAACTATTCTACTGGTAAACTCGAGCACACAGCAATGCGTCGGGTATCACCACCTCCCCACCACCGCCCCTGGAGAAAGAAATCTTTTCTGTTAATCGGTTAATCCTGGGTGTGGTGTGCTGTAGATGGGGACGCAGACATGAGTGCACGCACGCACAGACAAGACAAAGATTCCCCGTATAGCCTTAACAGACTGCAGGGGCATGTGATGTTAGCGAGTATCTATGAAGGCCAGAACGGTACACCAGGGGGTGGGTGACCAGCACCACGCCTGCCCGCCTTTGTCTCCCCAGTGGCGATGGTTACACACCGCACTTGGTACTCATTTGAGGCTGAGTCGACCTAGGGGAGGCCCAGGACCGGTTCAGATAATCGTCACTGTTGTTGGCCGTGAGCGGGAATCAATCCCGGGTCGCCGGGCTCATAGTGCAGCGCGCTAACCGCTACACTACTGCTCCCCATAAGGCATACACACCCGTACATACACAAGTAAACGCACACACTGACACGCACAGTACATCAACACCACACACACGGGTACCGACAACAACCATTAGGTCCCCCTCCCTCACCAACCCCCTTAGGGGGACATCATTAAGTATCGCTCAAGTGATGCCATCATGACGCTATCGTGACGCTAGCATGTCTTTATCGTGACGCTATCGTGTCACTACCGTGTCAGTATCGTGTCTGTATTGTGTCAGTATCGTGACGCTATCGTGTCTGTATCGTGACGCTATCGTGTCGGTAGTGTGGAGGTATCGTGTCGCTATCGTGTCAGTATCGTGTCGCTATCGTGTCAGTATCGTGTCGCGATCGTGTCGGTAGTGTGGAGGTATCATGACACTATCGTGTCTGTATCGTGACGCTATCGTGTCAGTATCGTGACGCTATCGTGTCGGTAGTGTGGAGGTATCGTGTCAGTATCGTGTCGCTATCGTGTCAGTATCATGTCGCGATCGTGTCGGTAGTGTGGAGGTATCATGACACTATCGTGTCAGTATCGTGACGCTATCGTGTCGCTATCGTGTCAGTATCGTGACGCTATCGTGTCAGTATCGTGTCGCTATCGTGTCGCTATCGTGTCAGTATCGTGACGCTATCATGTCGCTATCGTGTCAGTATCGTGACGCTATCGTGTCAGTATCGTGACGCTATCATGTCGCTATCATGTCAGTATCGTGACGCTATCGTGTCAGTATCGTGACGCTATCGTGTCGCTATCGTGTCGCTATCGTGTCAGTATCGTGACGCTATCGTGTCAGCATCGTGACGCTATCGTGTCAGTATCGTGACGCTATCGTGTCAGTATCGTGACGCTATCGTGTCGCTATCGTGTCAGTATCGTGACGCTATCGTGTCAGTATCGTGTCAGTATCGTGACGCTATCGTGTCAGTATCGTGTCAGTATCGTGTCAGTATCGTGACGCTATCGTGTCAGTATCGTGTCGCTATCGTGTCGCTATCGTGTCAGTATCGTGTCGCTATCGTGTCGCTATCGTGTCGCTATCGTGTCGCTATCGTGTCGCTATCGTGTCAGTATCGTGACGTTATCGTGTCAGTATCGTGACGCTATCGTGTCAGTATCGTGTCAGTATCGTGTCGCTATCGTGTCGCTATCGTGTCAGTATCGTGTCAGTATCGGGACGCTATCGTGTCAGTATCGTGTCAGTATCGTGACGCTATCGTGTCAGTATCGTGTCGCTATCGTGTCGCTATCGTGTCAGTATCGTGTCGCTATCGTGTCGCTATCGTGTCGCTATCGTGTCAGTATCGTGTCAGTATCGTGTCGCTATCGTGTCAGTATCGTGTCAGTATCGTGTCGCTATCGTGTCAGTATCGTGTCAGTATCGTGTCGCTATCGTGTCGCTATCGTGTCGCTATCGTGTCGCTATCGTGTCAGTATCGTGTCAGTATCGTGACGCTATCGTGTCAATATCGTGACGCTATCATGTCTGTATCCTGACGCTATCGTGTCAGTATCGTGACGCTATCGTGTCTGTATCCTGACGCTATCATGTCGCTATCGTGTCTGCATCGTGTCGCTATCGTGTCAGTATCGTGTCGCTATCGTGTCGCGATCGTGTCAATATCGTGACGCTATCATGTCTGTATCCTGACACTATCATGTCGCTATCGTGTCTGTGTCGTGTCGCTATCGTGTCGCTATCGTGTCAGTATCGTGTCACTACCGTGACGCTATCGTGACGCTATCGTGTCTGTATCGTGTCACCATCATGTCTGTATCCTGACGCTATCATGTCTGTATCGTGTCACTATCGTGTCAGTATCGTGTCGCGATCGTGTCAGTATCGTGATGCTATCATGTCTGTATCCTAACGCTATCGTGACGCTATCGTGTCTGTATCGTGACGCTATTGTGATCCACTGGCCTTTGGGCCTGCGCTCAGGTCATCTCAGTACCTGGTGCAATGTGTAAACATCAACACGTGGGAAACAGGCAGCTGGGCATGGTGGTGCTTGGCCACCCAGCCCCTCTGTTAAGGCTACACGGGGGATCTTTGGGCCTGTGCTCAGCAACTCTTTTAAAAAACAGCCACGAGTATAAGCACAAGAGAGAGTGGGGGAAGAGAGAGAGTAAAGGAGAGAGGGAGAAAGAGGGAGAGAGGGTAAGAGAGAGAGGGGGAGGTGGATTGCGTGGATGGAACGCAGCCTGAGAGCAGCAGCAGGAGGAGGTGGGGGGCGCCCGCACGGCATCCTGCTGGGACTACGTGGGGTGAAAGGTTAAATCTCGCGGCACGCACGCACAAAACCACATCCAGTCGCGGTCGGCAGCGACTCCCAAACACGACACAGCCGCTCCACGTCCCCCCTCTCCCTCACATTCACGGGGAGAGAGAAAGGGAGAGAGGGAGGGAGACAGCATCGCCATCCACCGTCAAATTACTCCGAGTGGCAGGCGCACAGATTCACTCGCGCGGCGCTGCTGGCTGGGCACGCACCTGTCCACTCCCTCCCACACGCAGTGGTGCTCATTTTATTGACCCGGCAGGGAGGGATGATGGTCCGAGACAACACCCCACACCCACCCCTCACCGATCAAGATTTGAACTCGCGACCTTTAGATTGTGAGCTGACCGCTCTCCCACCTGACCGGACCCGCTGCTGCTGCTGCTGCTGCCAATGGCATCGTGGTTGGTACCGGATTTGCTGACGACCGGTACCAATGGTGTCAAGATCGGTCTCCGTGGAGGAGGCGGATCGTGAATGACGCTACTGGGCAATTGGAGGCTGTCGCCCTCCAGCAAAAGCGAAGGGCAAATGAGCGACGCACACAACAACGAGCGGAGCGCCGGGCGGATAAAATGAAGCAAATGTGCGCAGTAGGGGGTACAGGTGGTGCATCTGCCAGTCATCTCAGTCAGGCAACCCGTGTCACCTGGGTCTGTCTCATGGCCTGCCAGCAGTGAGCCTTCGACACTGCACGTGATGGCCTCAAAGTGCACCTAGCTGGCATAAGCGCCGTGGTGACGCCACCGCCACTTAGTGGTGAATGGCGGCTGTTGTAGTTGCGTGCAGGAGAGTGGGCACACACGCGCGAACGTGTGCATGCACGCGGGTGAGCGAGGGAGGGGAGAGGAGGTGTGAAGAGCCGAGAGAAAAAAAATTCCGCGCACGTGACCGCACGGCTATCAAAACAACGGTGACGCAGCATCGCGGCGTTGCTCACCGCAGGTGCAGCAGCAGCAGCTCACGCCACCGGCCCTGGGGCATCGGCAGCGGGGGGGGGGGGGGGGGCGCGGTGGGGGGGGGCCGGGGAGGGGTTACCCCAAAGAAGACGATGGGTGCTGGGTAACCAACAATTCACCCCCCCCCCCTCCCCCCAAATGGGTATTATGTAGATAGCATGGAGTGACTGCACGGTCACTGTAAGTATATATATAGACCTAACCCATCATCCCCTGGGGTCAATAAAATACGTACGACTTTGATGGAGAAACTCACCCCAGCCATGGGAATAAGGAATTTCCAACACTTGCTCAGGGATGTAGACAAGAGCTATGTAATAGGTGCAACAGACTGTTGGGGCTCGTGCTGTTAGCGAGTTGCACATTTAAAGGATGGCACGGGACCCGAAGGGGTGGGCGGCCAACCCCAAACCGACCGTCTTTGTCTCCCTAGTGGCGTTGTTTACACATCGCACCAGGTACTCATTTGAGGCTAAGAGAGACCCAGGACTGGTTCAGCTCGGGTTCGGGAATCGAACTTGAGTTGCCGGGTTTGCAGCACAGCAATACCCACTGTGCCACCGCTCCCCACACACACACACGGGCATACAATACACTCGCACTCGCTCACCACACACTCTCACCACACACGCACTCGCTCACCACACACTCGCTCCCCACACGCTCATTCAAACTACGCTGGCTTGCGCTTGTTACCGATGACTGGCGGCTCGTGCAGCGCGATGCCCTGTGCCAGGAGGTGCTTGCGGATGCAGGCGAGGCGCTGAGCGTTGGGGCCCCAGCGCTGGCCCAGCTTGTGCACGTGCTGCACACGCGTCACGAAGCGCATGTCCTCGTGCAACTTGCACTCGGGACGCCAGTCGGCGGGAGGCACCACGCGGCACGCGCCGAACGCCTCCGCGTGCCCGCGCATGCTCTCCACGTACGCCACGGGATCCTGGAACTCGCGGCTGCTCGGGCGCAGGGTAGGGATCTCGGAGAGGTCCGATGGCGGGGCGGCCGGCGGCACCGCCGACCGCGCCGACCTGCCCGGCGAATCGGCCGAGGCCCTGGTCCTGCTGCAGGCCGGGGCCGACGGTTGCGGCGGGGCGGGAGTGGTCGGTCTCGCTCCGCCGGTTTCCCCGGCGCCCGGCTCGTCTTCAGCCGCCGTTTCCGCGCAGCCGGCGCCGCCTGCCGTTGCGCCGGGCGGTTCGGCGGTCGTGGGCTTCGCCCTCTTGTTGCTGTTGTTGCCATTGTTGCTTTTTGGCTTCTCGCTCCGAGCGGGACAGGCGGTCGTCGTGGTCCCGAGCCGCGGCCGGGCGATCTCGGCTGCCTTGCCATTCGCGCCGTGCGTCGCTGCCTCCGCCCCGTCCCGCTCGCTCCGTGCCCTCGGCCTCTCCACCGGCGTCTTCACCAGCGTCACAGTCACCGTCGCCGTCGTCGCCGCCGCCGCCGCCGCCGCCGCCGCCTTCTCATCGGGGTCTCCGTTGGCCGCCCGCCGGACAGAACTCGACCGCAGCGCTGGTCCCGTGCTGGCCCCGCCGCGATCGCCGCTGTCGTTTCTCGCCCTCTCCGCCTCCGCCGTCCTCTCCGCGGCCATCGCCTTCCTGTGCAGCTGCTCGCTCACCGAGCGCGTCAGCTTTGCCTCCCCCGCGGTGGGGCGCCAATGGCGCCGCGCCACCGCCGTCCCTGCCGCCTGCGCTCCCCTCGCCGGCCTTCGCTCCCCGTCGTCCCCGCTCCGTCCGAGCGCCCTGACGGCCGCCCCCTTTCTCAGACAGCCGTTAATTTTTGCGGTGTAGCCGGCGTCGCCGCTCTGCTTCCCGGCGAGACACGGAGACGGCGATGGCGCCGGCGGCGCCGGCTGCGTACGCGAGATGATGCGGCCGCCGGACTTTCCGGCTGCGTCGGATCCGGTCGCCCCGAGCTTCGGCGTTGCAATGTCCGCGCCGCCCGACTTTTCCGCGCGGCTAGCGCCGTGCGCCAGCAGCCCATTGGCTCGGAGCGTCGGTCGGCACGAACTGCGGCCGCCGCCGCTGCCGCCGTTCTGCCGTCGCGTGACTGGCGCGTCGGCGTGGCCCTGGCGAGGGGGCGGCCGTGGGGAAGAGCCGCTCCGTAGCGCGGCGCCATCGCCGCCGCCATCATCGCCGGCGCTGCCTCCGCCGTTGCCGGCGCTGCGGAGGGAGTGGCGCCGGCCCTTAGCACAGTAAACGTGGCCGTTGCGGATGGCGATGGCGCAGCGCGAAGACCGTGGCTGCATGCGGGCTGCCGCCACGGCACGCGCCGCCGCCGCCGCCGCCGCCGCCGCTGCCGCCGCCCGCACCTTGCCGGCCGAGTTGGCGCACGGAGAACCGTTCGGGAGTTTAGAATCCTGCGGGAGAAGGGGGAAGACGGGGGAGGAGGAGAATTGAGAACATCGACGATCACAATAAGCGAGTACGCGTGGTAGTGGTGCTGCTGTTCCTGCAGCGCAGGGCGATCGCCAGCGAGTGGAGGGCGGGCGATGTTCCCCTCGAGTAACCCAGGTAACTTGTGGTGTCATTTTTGACGCCGGCAAGCGATGGCCGACCACTCTCTTCAAATTATGTCATGGGGATCTTTATCGACCCTGGGAGCGGAGCACAAGGCACGCGGTGTTTTACGGTCGGAACGCGCGCCACCACGGGGTTAACCAGGGCGGCCTGCCGAACTCAGAACCGCGAAAAACTCTGCAGCGAGCGGCGCAGGCCACTGCCGGTGGCAGAGCCTCTTCTGGAGCCAACTCCAGAGGCCACTTGGTCTCTTCTTCCGCGTCTCGACCGGAGGCGTACCCACGATTGCCCCACAAGTGAACCGCTCACGCGGGCTCACGTGGGCAGCCCGCCGCCAGCGTGCGGAGCTGTGCCCGAGCGTGAACCGGGAGAGGCGATGAGAGCGGGGAATGAGAAGAGGTAGGAGGGGGTGGGGGGAGTAAGAGAGGAGAAGGGGAGCAGAAGCAGGGAGAAGATGGTGGAATGGAGAGGCCGGATGAGGAGGAGGAGGCATTGTGTTTTGCTCCAGGGTGCCGAGGGGCACGCTCGCTGCTAATCCGCGACACCGCCACGGAGGAGGCCCGGGGCGGCGGCGTTGAGCCGGATTACTACGCCGGTACAACGCACCCCGGCACTCGGGCGATCGTGCCAACACATGTGTGCGTGCACGTGTGTGCACGTGTGTGCACGTGCACGCACGTGCGTGCGCGTGTGTGCACGTGTGTGCACGTGCGTGTGCACGTGCGTGCGCACGCGCGCGTCTTTCAGCGTGCGTGTCTGTGCATCCCTTGGTGCGGTTGTGTAAACATCGCCACTCGGGAGACAAAGGCGGCCGGGCGTGGTGCTGGCCATCCGCACCCCCGATGTGCCGTGCTGGTCTTGATGCTACTCACTAACAGCACTTGCCCCAACAGTCTAATACAGGCTACACAGGAGACCTTTGTCTTGTGTTTATGTGTGTGCGTGTGTCAGTATGTGTGCGTCAGTGTGCGTGTGTGTCAGGGGGAGCGGTGGTGTAGCGGTTAGCGCACTGCGCTACGAACCCGGCAACACGATTTCGATTCCCGCTCGCGGCCAACACCAGTGGTGATAGATCTGTGCTGGTAACGTTGTTGCTCAGTGCTAGCTGCGTAGCTGGTGCGGTGCGGCGACACGGCCGCTTCGTCCGCCTGCACCCAACCAGGTGGGTCGCTTGCAGACAGATGCGTGCACGTTTGTTTCGGCGAGTGTTGACGAGTCTACACGCGCGTGTGTGTGTGTTGGTGTTGCAGCATCGCCCCCTTTCAGATGCACTTCTGCGGCCGTCTGGAACGCTCTTCCTTCCGATATTATGAAGCCACTGGAACCGTGCACTTTTAAATCATCATCAAGATTGAAACCCGAATGCAGTTTTGCAAAAAATGAGCAACCTCCACTAGCAGGTTCGTACCTTTGGTGACGGCGCGGTGGTCGTGGTGACCGGGCGACGCTGGGCCAGCGAAGGGGGCGCCGGTCTGCCCACCACCACCACCACGGGCACAATCGCAGTGCCGCCAAGGCCCTCCGGGAAGGGCCTTACAGTGCCAGCGCGCACCGCCACCGCTCTCCTCAGCCTCTGCTGCTGCTGCGCCTGCTGCTGCTGCGCCTGCTGCTGCTGCGCCTGCTGCGGTGGCCGGCACGGCCTGGTCGGCGTCGACCAAACTGGAGAGGGAAAGAGAGAGAGGGAGACTCAAATACGATGATCATGTTAAAAGATCCCCCGTATAACCTTACCAGACTGTTGGGGCATGTGCCGTTAGCGAATAGCACCTATGAAGGCCGGTAAGGAACATAACATAGGTGGCCAACACCACGCCTGGACGCCTTTGTCTCCCTACACATCGCACCAGGTACTCATTTGAGGCCGAGTCGATCTAGGGGAGGCCCAGGACCGGTTCAGAAAATCGTCACAGATGTTGGCCGCGAGCGGGAATCTAAACTGGGTCGCCAGGTTCGTAACGCAGCGCGCTAACTGCTACACTACCACTCCCCACGACCACTCACTTGCACACTAACACTTCTCTCACTCACAAACACTCTCTCACACACTCTTCTCGCACACTCACTCTTCTCTCTCTCACTCGAACCGTCTTCTCTAATGTTCACACACTCACTCTTCTCACACACACTCACCTTGCACACACTCACTCTTCTTGCTCACACACACTCACACACTCTTCTCACACACACACTCACACACTCTTCTCACACACACACACTCACCTTGCACACACTCACTCTTCTTGCTCACACACACTCACACCATCTTCTCACACACACACACACACTTACACACTCTTCTCACACACACACACTCACACACTATTCTTGCACACACTCACACACTCACAAACACTCACACTCTTCTTGCACACACTCTTCTTGCACACACTCTTCTTGCACACACTCTTCTTGCACACTCTTCTTGCACACACTCACAAACACTCACACTCTTCTTGCACACTCACACACACTCACTCTTCTTGCTCACACACACACTCTTCTTGCTCACACACACTCTTCTTGCAAACACACACACTCACCTTACACACTCACACACTCTTCTTGCTCACACTCACACTCTTCTTGCTCACACACACTCACACTCTTCTTGCTCACACTCACACACACTCTTCTTGCACACTCACACACACTCACACACTCTTCTTGCTCACACTCACTCACCTTGCTCACACAGTCACACTCTTCTTGTACACTCACACACTCTTCTTGCACACACACACACACACACTCTTCTTGCACACTCACTCACTCTTCTTGCACACTCACTCACTCTTCTTGCACACTCACTCACACACTCTTCTTGCTCACACACACCTTACACACTCACACACTCACTCACACACTCTTCTTGCACACTTACACACTCACTCTTCTTGCACACACACTCACTCTTCTTGTACACTCACACACTCTTCTTGCTAACACACTCACACACTCTTCTTGCTCACACACACTCTTCTTGCAAACACTCACACTCACCTTACACACTCACACACTCTTCTTACACACTCACTCACTCTTCTTGCACACTCGCAAACTCTACTTGCGCACACTCACACACTCTTCTTGCTCACACACACTCTTCTTGCAAACACACACACTTCTTGCACACTCACACACACTCTTCTTGCTCACTCACACACTCTTCTTGCACACTCACACACTCTTCTTGCTCACACACACCTTACACACTCACACACTCACTCTCCTTGCACACTCACACACTCTTCTTGCACACTCACACACTCTTCTTACATTCTTCTCTCAAACACTTTAACTCGCACACACACTCACACACACTCTTGCTACACATACACACTCACACACACTCTTGCTACACATACACACTCACACACACTCTTGCTACACATACACACTCACATACACACTCTTCTCTCACAATCACGCCCGCTCCCTTGCTTGGTGAATAATGCCCAGGCACTGATGCATCTCTCCGCGCGGTGCACCGCTATTTTCGGGCCGGCTTCAAGCCTCAATGCGGGGGCGGCTTATTGGGTCAAAGGTCACCCTCCCTCACCGCGGGGGGCGACCCCGGTGCGGCCGAGCGTCTCCGAGCCCATTGTGCCGCTCGGCGGGCCCACAAAACCGCCGCGCATTTCTGGAGTGTGGGAAAAAATCTCGTCCATCCATTACGACGAACGAGGGTGGGTGGGGGGGTAGTGGTGGGGGGGGGCAGTTGTGGGGGGCACGGTGGGGGGGGGTGGGGGGCAGCAGTAGCTCTGCTCAGCCGATGGCGTGGAGAGCAATCGACACGATCGGAGTTCGCGATTAGCCTTTCCGGCGCCGAGGAGGTCCGGCTCGAGCCTCCCGGGGAGGGGGGGTCCCCAGTCTCTCCAGGCCTCGTCCCGACGACGCTCGGCGCGCTCCTTAGGCGCAACCGCCGCCAATCTCAGTTGCCAATGGGTGACGCGGCGCCGTGAGCCAACGCCCATGCACCGCATGGCAACTCAACGTGGCTCTGCCGGGTGATGGAGGGGTTTCTGGTGACGCGGACCGGGATCCCCCTCGAGTCACGACGTCGGCAGGGAACACCGACAGCACCCCCGGTGGGCGCGGTGCCACGCGTCTCGTCTCACCGTGCCCGTTGCTGGCCGGGGGGCGCGCGCCGGGGCGGTTGCGACGAGGTGTGGACGGACACGACGAGGTGGGGGAGGCGGGGAGGGCCGACTCCTCCATCGCCATCGTCGTCGCTCCTCCTTCCCCGTCCACTTCCGCCGCCGCCGCCACCACCGATGACGCCGAGGAGGTGGAGGACGATGAAGAGGACGCCTCTTCAGCCGCCGTCTCCTCGTCGTCCCACTCGTCGGAGGCCCTGCCGAACAGCTCCATGCTCCGGGGCAGGGCGTGGGTGCCTGCGCCAATGCAATCCACACATGCACGCCGTCGATCGGCATCAACGGCAATGCTCTGCGTAGAGCTGTCAAGACTCCTTTTCAGGAAAATCTTGCTAAGTTTTCACAACAGCGGAGCGATGCTGCTGCTGTGTGATCCCCACCGAGTACTTTGCCGGTGATTTCTGAGCACTGCGTTTGCCCAATACCGCTGACACCGCGCGAAAGGGTTTAGTTCGGGCGTGGTGCTGGCCACCCACCCCCTCGTGTGCCGTGTCGGCGCTGCTCGCTAACAGCACTTGCTCCAACAGTCTGAAAAAGGCTACGGGGGGAATGTTTGTGGTATTAGCTTAGGGAGCAGGAAAGCTGAGGTCCGGGAGGAAACCCGTGCAGAACATGGCGAGGGACAGAACGTTCATCCTCCACTAAGAATGGCAGCATGAGTCGGGAATCGAACCCAGGTGCTTCTGGCCGTGAGGAGCAAGTGTCACCACTGAGCCGCCCTGCGCCGCCCTGCGCCGCCCTGCACCACCCTGCACCACCCTGCACCACCCTGCACCACCCTGCACCACCCTGCACCACCCGCAAATAAAAAATGAAATCCACCCTGGGGGCTGAGGGCGACGCCACTTGTCTCGGAGACAGATGTTGGGGGGTTGCGGTTGCCCGGTAACTTCTCTGCCACAGACCCCCCCGGGGGGGGCCTGCGGTGGGGGAGCCACAGGGCAAAGAGGCGCCCAGCGGCATTCACGAGAACAACAACAGTGCGGCGAGCGTGGAGGAAGCAGAGCCGGGGGCGGTGAGGGTTATGGCAATGGTGAGTGTTTCAGTGTGGGTGGGTGAGGGTTGTGGGTGATGGTTCTGGTGAGGGTTTAAGTGAGGCTTGTGGTGAGGGTTGTGGGTGAGGGTTGCTGCAGTGGTTTCGGTGAGCACCTCGGAGGCAGAGGAAGGTGAGGAAGTCCTCCGTCTTGGGCCGCTTGGGACACACATCCACCATGTGGCTGGCGGGGGCGGAGGGGGGCGGCTCGGGCGCCTTCACAGGGGTGCCGCCCGGGCTGCCCGGCTGAGACTGTGCAAACTTGCGCTGGGCCCGCAGTCTGGCACGCACAAAGACAAATATCCCCCCCACCCCCCGTGGAGCTTCAACAGACTGTTGGGGCAAGTGCTGTTAGCGAGCAGCACCTATGAAGGCCAGAACGGCACCACGAGGGGGTGGGTGGCCAGCACCACGAACGGCCGCCTTTGTCTCCCGAGTGATGATGTTTTCGCATCGCACCAGGTACTTATATGAGGCCGAGTCGACCTAGGGGAGGCCCAGGACCAGTTGCGATATTCGTCACTGCTGTTGGCCGTGAGCAGAAATCGAACTCGGGTCGCTGGGTTCGTAATGCAGTGCGCTAACCACTGCGCCACCGCTCCCCACATACGCACACAACAACAACCGCCATTCGCCACTAAGTGGCGGTGACGCCACCAGGGTGCTTGTGCCAGGCTATGTGCACGTTAAGGCCACGTGAAGTGTTGAACGCCCGCTGCCAGGAGGTCACGGGACAAATCCAGTAGGTGCCAGAGGTTGACCGTGTGAGATGACTGCAGATGCACCACCTGTGTCCCCTACTGTGCCAACCCGCTACGTTTAATCTGCCTGGCACTCCACTCGTTGCTGCGTCGCTCCTCTGACCTCCGTTGTGTCTGGAGGGCGACTGCCTCTAACTGCCCAGCAGCGTCTTTCACGAACATCCTCCACAGAGGCCGATCTTGAATCTTGACACCGCTGGTACCAGTCGTCGTCATATCCACTCAGCTTTGCATCCTTTTCTACCACAGTTCATCATCTCTAGCCCATGCGAAGCCCGTTTAGCCCCCTATATCCTGCCAAACTGAAGCTGCTTGGGCATGGGGTGGCTGGGCATGCGGACCATATGACCCAGCCATATGCAGCCTTGCCTGCCAGAGGAGCTCAAGGATAATAGGACTGTGTCCAGATCTTTGAAGGATGTGTAAGATCTTTACACAATCCAGTGGTTAAACCCAAGATGGATCTTAGGCAGTGCCAGGTGGATTGCTTCAAACCGGCGCACATGTTTCTTCGAAGGCGTCCATGTTTCGCAAGCATAGAGAAGGGAGAGCATAACTGTGGCTGAGAAGATCCGAAGCTTCGTAAGGAGTGACAGTGGAGTGACAGGCCATATAGCTTCCACCCAGCATTACACAGGTGATGAAACGATAACGCTGCTCGACTGATTCAGTGAGACCTCTGCTGCCAAATCGACGCTGGCCATGAGCACAGTGCCGCATCATTCATGGAGAGGTGAGGGGTTAGAGTTTCATGGCAGATATACCCAGGCAGGTGCTTAGTTGTGGTTGGGCTGATAAGGCCCCACACCTCTTAGTAGCAGGCTCCAGCTTCAGCAGCAGAGCCTCTCAGAGTGAGCAGTAATTACCAGATCATCAGCATACATCACATGGTTGACCAATAGGAAGCCATCCCTTGACCGCATCCGGGCATCGATCAGCCTCATTTGAATTTATACCAGATGGAAATACCTCCGGTACAGGCATGAAAAGTGTCTAAGAAGATGATAAAATATGTATAAGCCAGAGGATATCCCTGCTGCACCCCAAGGTGAAAAGGAAATGGCTCTCATTCCCTGCCAAGCAGCTTTATCCGGGCCTGCCCACCATAATAAAGGTCCTTAATGATTGTAAGCATCGGGTCAGGGACCCTGAAATCACGAAGAAGAACTCAGAGCCCCGGCCTGTTGATGGTATCGTAGGCTTTGCACACACACACAAGCACACACACAAACACGTGAAGAAAAAGACACCCCTGATAGCTTTAACAGACTGTTGTTAGGGTAAGTGTTAAGGCTATTATTTAGTTAGCTAGCGTGATGAGGGTTAAGGTTAGTGTCTAGTTGGGCGAGCTTGGCGAGCTAGCGGCCAGCCCACTGCCCTCTGCTCTCTCCCTTCCCCCTCTCCTCTTCCTACTCTCCCACCTCCTCCTCATCACTCTCCCTCCTCCTCCTCCTCCCACCATCGCACTCACTTCTTGCGAAGGTTTCCCTCCTCGCTTGCTGCCCCTGCCCCGGCAGTGGGGGCAGGGCTGCCCTCCCTGCCCTTGTCGCGCTTGCGTTTGCAGGGCAGGACTGTGGGGAGGCCGCTCCGAGCCAGTCTAGAGAGGGACCCGGCCTTCAACTGCGGCCCCTTTCCACGGCCTGTCAGAGACACAGACACCATTATCGCCATCATCATCATCATCGCCATTGTTGACACGGCCCCGTGGCACGCATAGCCGATGCATGCACGGGCGAGCAGAGAGCGTTTACCCATCGCGGTGTTGGCGGCGTGGGGGGCGCGCGTGGGGGCGCCCCCCTTCTTGGCGCCCCTCTCGTCGCGAAGGGAGCGGTAGAGCGCCTTCTGGATGTAACGCTCCTCCCACCACAGGATTCCATGGTTGTACTCCTGGCCAGGGTGAGGAGACGCAAGGCGTATTACCACACAGCGGCGACACAATACAACGTGGCACGCTATGACACGTTACTAAAGAGTACACCCCAATACAACGTAGCATACTATGGTACGTTACTATACAATAGGTTAACATCTTACGATAGAAGACATGGAAATAAAATGCTCAAGATCAATGTCATCATGGCCAAAACTGCTGATGCCGCCACCACCACCACACTACGTCCTCCACCACCACCACCACCACCACACCTCCTCCACCACCACCACACCTCCTCCTCCTCCTCCACCACCACCACCACCACCACCACACCTCCTCCACCACCACCACACCTCCTCCTCCACCACCACCACCACCACCACACCTCCTCCACCACCACCACACCTCCTCCACCACCACCACACCTCCTCCACCACCACCACACCTCCTCCACCACCACCACACCTCCTCCACCACCACCAAGCCTCCTCCACCACCACCACATCTCCACCACAAACACCACACCTCCTCACTCTCAATGCTCCCCATCCTCCCCCTGACCCCACAGCTGCTGCAGGGACCTCCACGGTCTGCCCCGACGGTCTCCTCCTCCGTCTGGCCCGGCGCGCTCACTCTCTCTCTCTCTCTCACGCTCGCTCTCTCTCGCGCTCTCTCTCTCAGCGCGAGAGAGAGCGAGCGTCTCTCTCTCTCGCGCTCACGTAGATTCAGCGCACATTAACGTGGTTAATGTCCAATTCCACTTGCCGTGCCGGATGATCGCTCAAGCACGGCGCGCTCCCTGTCCACGCGCCTCGTTAACAGCAAATTAATGAATCACCACCACTCTCTCGCTCTATGTGCGCGAGTGTGTGTGAGCATCGGTGCGTGCATGTGAGTGTGTGTAGGGGAGCCGCGCTTTGAACCTGGCAAACTGCTCACGGTCGATAACAGTGGCGCCGAATCGGTCCTGGGTCACCCTTAGGTAGACTCAGCCTCAAACGAGTGCCTGGAACGGTACGTAAACATCACCACTGGGGAGACAAGGGTGACCAGGGGCGGTGCTGGCCACCCACCCCATCGTTTGCCGTGCCGGCCTTCAGAGGTGCAACTAGCTAACGGCACTTGCTTTAAGTCTGTTTGGCTACACAGGGGAATATTTGTCTTTGGAGGGGAGCGGTATTGCAGTAGCGGTCCGTGCGCCGCGCGACGAACCCGGCAACCGGAGCTCAATTCCCACTCACGGCCACCGCCAGCTTTTGTTGTCCGAACTGGTCTTTGGCACCGATGGCTGTCTTCTACTGACGAACCCTAGCGAGGGTGAATACCGGTCTCATCTCACCGCTTCCCGTTAGGATGGCCAAGCATTCAGCTCCACGGGTTGGCGGTCTGGCCAAGGCCGAGGTCACGTGACAGCACGCGGGTCGTGGCTCACGTTCAGCCGCACTCCCCGAGGTACACATCCATTGATTGTCCGCCACGGTGGCAACGCCGGATACCGGGAATCAAACCCGCCCTGGTTCCATTAGAAATAAGTTAAATTAGCGTATTGGCAGGCCTCCAGTCGTAGTGCGCGGATATCATACATTATTTTTGCAAATATTATTTATTTTCCCACGATTCGCAACCCCGGTCAGAAAATCTTGCGGGATGGTGGTGGTGATGCATCAAATCAGCCCTCGTGATGTGGAAGCAGTCAGAAGATGAACGTTACAAGCAGCTGAACACGAAGCTTCACAGTCTGTTGCCGTACAGCAGCACCCAGCCTGATGACGATTGGCTGCTCCGTGTTCCAAAGGCAGATTTAACTCCTCGTGACCTAGACTTGGTCGGACGGTTCTTTGATAAATTTCAAGAATAATTTCTTGGCGGATGGTGGCATCAAAAGATGACGACTCGTGATGTCACCACCGCACGTTCGAATGGGAAAGTGGCTACTGAATCTAAGGAAACTTCAAATGGAGAGTCTGCAGCTCACTAAAGGGGGCAACAGGTGTGTTGTTATGCTCCACCGGTGTACCGCCAATACGTCCAAATACATGCCCGCCCTCCCTTCCCGCCTCTCTCTCCAGTGAACGAGCCATGCGTCGGTGCGGCCAATACGTGGGAACTCTGACCCCGTGACCTTTAGCCCCGACTCTACGGCACGGTGGTCGAGCGACAGGTTCACAACGACAATAATAATTATTAGTTACCCAGGAGAGCCACACTGGGCACCACGGTGGCGACATGTTAATGCCCTAGCTTGGTAGGTAGGTCGTGAGCACGAACGCGGCCCTGGCGCCTGCTGTTTATTTAGAGTTTGTGTGTCTATTTTCCCGTGGTCATGTGGATTTTTCTCCGGGTCCTCTGGTTTTTCCCTCCACATTTAGTATTTGGCTGCTGCTCTAAATGTCCACATGATGATAAGCTACTTCGTTGAGCTATCATTTGTGATAGCCACATCGCTACTGAAAAAGAGTTACATAGGTCAGTGGGGCCTTACCTGGTAAAATAGCAAAAAAATTGTTTAATCGTTTAATAGAGTCCAACGACTCTTTCTCATGGGTGTCCTGTGTTGGCGATGTTTGTCCAATGTGAGCTATTCTCAGTGTGGGTTGTAGCCACTGAGTGTGAATTATAGCTGTGGGAGGACACCGAAGGAAACCCATGCTGGACACGGAGGGAGAGAACGTGCAATCTCCACTCACTCAGCCTCAAATGAGTAGCTGGTACGGGTGTGTAAACATCATACACTCGGGAAACAAAGGCAGCAGGGTGTGTTGCTGGTGACCCACCCATTCACTCGCCGTGCCGGTCTTCATAGGTGCTATTCGCTAATAGCACTTGCCCCAACAGTCTGTGAAGGCTACATGGGGGATCTTTGTCTTTGTTGCTCCCTCTGTCTGATCCCTTTATCCCTCTCTCTCCACATTCCATCCTCCTCCTTCTACTTACAAGACAAAGACAAAGATCCCCAGTGTAACCCCCACAAGCTGTTGGGGCAAGTGCTGTTTGCGAGCAGCACCTACGAATGAATGCCAGGACGGCGCAACTAGGAGGGGGGTGATGGTGTGGTCTGCTGTACCATGGCCCGGCCACCTTTGTCTCCCCCGAGTGCCAATATTTATTACGCAGCTTGCCGAGCACGGATCCAAAGGTCCAAAAATGTCAAAGGGTCAGCAACAAACAGCACCACCAAAGTTTGTAATAGATAATTATACAATTTTACATAGTGTAATTCATGCTAATTGCATCCCACGACGCTGCAGCACGATTCTCGGATTGAGCAAGGTTGTTGGTAAATGGAAGAGGCATATGGAGAAGTGCTTCACACACCACACCAGCTACTAATTAAAGCCAAGTTAACATAGGGGAAGCCCAGCACTGCTTCAGACGTTCGCTGCTCTTATTGGTCGCGAGCGGGAATCGAACTCGGATTTGTGGTGCAGTGCGTTAAACACTGCGGCGCCGCTCCACACACAAAAGACCAAGATCACCCACATAGTGTTAACAGACTGTAGGAGCAAGTGCTATTAGCGAGCACCTATGAAGGCCGGCACAGCAAACGAGAGGGTGGGTGGCCAGCACCACGCCCGGCTACCTTTGTCTCCCCAGTGGTGATGTTTAAACACCGCACCAGGTACTAATTTGAGGCTGAGTAGACCTAGGAGAGGCCCAGTACCGGTTCAGATAATTGTCACTGGTGTTGGCCATGAGCGGGACTCGAACCCAGTTTTCCGGGTTGGAAGGACAGCACGCTAACCGCTACATTACCGCTCCCTGGCCGACTACACACACACAGATACACACAAAGATACACACAAAGACACACAGGCAATTAATCCTAAGTGTTTAGATGTGGACTGGGGGAGGGGAGGACGGAAACATTGAGGAGGAGGAGACTGCAGCGTGGTGAGTCTGAGTGGAGGAGGAGGATTCATTGCCGTTCTGGAGCTGAGTAAATAAACCGGGGCCCCACGTTTACAAAGGAACGAATTTTTGTTGCTGTTGTTTTAAAAGCACAGTTGCAGAGCACAGGGGGCCCAAAGGCCCAAAACGCTCAGCGGCCAGCGACAAATAGCACCACCAAAGTTTGTAATCGGCGAGTAACGCCTGTGCTGAGCAGCGCGGAGCAGGGCGAGGGGACGAGGCAGAGAAAGAAGTGAGGTGGACTTGCGGTGTGGTGAGTGGGTGGGTGGGTGAGTGGGTGGGTGAGTGGGTGGGTGAGTGCGAAAATGAGTGGGTGAGTGGGTGAGTGAATGGGTGTGTGAGTGGGTGAGGGAGTGAGTGAGGGTGTGTGCAGGCGATGGGGGGAGTGAGCCGGTTGTGATCGATGAGGTAGAGAAAAGAGTGTGATACGAGTGACTGAATCAATCTGGCAACACCACCACCTCCTCCACCAGCAGCAACACCATCATCACCACCCACAACACCTCCCCCACCTCTACCACCACTACATATGCGGTGTGCGTGAGCATGCTTGACAGGGGTTTGACGAAGTGCATTCACAACTTGTAGCAGTGGTTTGCTGTTCCAACATAGTAGGTTGCCCTGGTTAATTTGGCGGTGCGGATTAACCGTAAAACACTGCACTCCGTCTGCTTCGCTCACACAGCTAGTTAAAGATCCTGTGACGTCATATGTCAGAGCAGGCCATTGTGTGCTGGGGTAACGGAACCAAATTTGCTCAATTTGAAAAATTACACCGCAAAACTACTCAATTTGGATCAAATGCAACAGCACCGTCGCCCTAACTACTCCAGCCTGGGTCGGTGAAACACAGCGCCGCCTTCCTTCACGATAGCGCCACAACAACGATAGTGCCAATACCCCACACGGACCGAGTCACCACCGCTGCCATCGTGATCGTCGGCGAGAGGCGCTCACCCACTCTTCCCACGGCGAGGATGCGCGACGTGGGCAGCAGGCGGGAGAGAGCAGCACCACGCCGGCACCACATTGGCACCATGTGGTCGCACCACGCCAGCGCCACCGCGACAGGAGGAGGCGCGTCGCGTTTGTTTTCGGCTCGCAC